ATGTCGACAACTTGTTTTCAACCTAGAATTATTCCCTCATCGTCCCAAGCACGACAGTATGCTCGGATTTGAATTTGGTTATCGTTTGACTATCGAACGGATATTGTACCTATTATGTGATATCCAGGTTCAATAGATTCAGACCGTTCAATCTGTTTCAATTTCAGTGATGTTGTTCTCTGTACCTCTAAGATCGTGTAGGAATTTACGGATTGAGAATCTAGGTTATGGATACTCCGAGTCAATGATTATAAGGTTAGGCGAACCAATCATCGTCCGATCTTACAATTGGCTTAGATCCGACCGCTCAATCGAGACCAAGCTTTCGGGACTTGTTTAGTAGACTTTGTTGGACCTATAGAAACTTTCAGATCGGAAATATGAGGTTGTGGGCCCTGTGAGACTAATTGACCTAGATGGTGGGCGTCGCCGGCTCGATTGAGACCTTTTGGTTAGGAGGTGTTTGTGGTTTGATTGTTTGATTTTAAACTGAGTTCTGCTAGGGGAATTGACGCATTATTTGTGTTCTCATATTGAGTATATCTCATTGAGTCTTGCAAGGGGAATTGACGGATTATTTGCCTTCTTAGGTTGGCCTCGTGTCCTTGAGTTCTACTAAAATGCGACACACATTTGAAGTTGGGCATTCCACATGTGTAGCACTTGGAATTGATAGATTATGTTTGAGGTACATTTATGTGGAGAATAGTGCAGTACCAATGTGTGGTATAGTTAACAGGATATTCTTTGCCACCCTACTCATATTATCTGCACAGGGTTGGTTAGGATCCCTAGCCACCTGCCTGACTTGTCTACACATGTGGTTAGCTAGTTTCCCCTTCTCCGGTTACCTTTGGATTTAATGATATTTCTCATATACCCTCTGGTGGGTGATTGCATGACATATGCACTATGTGGACGGTCACAGGTATGACTTTCAGGTAAAAGGTGTGGGTACATGTGTTTTTGGTGTACAATAATAAAATGATTGAACAGTTAGGTACATAATTTCAAGAGACATGATATTCAATTATATAGTTTGTTGAAATAAATGTAAAGAATGATTCTATAATTTTATTGTTGGTTTCACTTTGAATATTTTTGGAATTAGGGTAAGAAGAGTATTCTAGTGATTTGGGCCGACACATGCTTGATGTCAGATAGGGAGAGGGTTCGTCACGAATTCTAAGGGGGAATTCGTGGCTGGTCCTTTCACAATTTCTCTCTCCTCCTCTCTAAATGTTGAGAGTCACCAAACTCAAATAAAGAGTTCTCTAAAATAAAGAGCCATATAGCAAGTCTGCTAAAGCTGCGTCTGTCCTCATTCTAACCAAGATGACTAATAATAAGAATATAGCAATTCTGCTGAAGATTCTCTTATGTCCGAAGTTGGTGGTTCCTTTTTTTCCAATCTGTTTATGTTCACCACCATGCACATAAAGTCTCTCATCTTTCTTAAATACATTTTCCTTACCATCAACACGTGGGCCCATCCACCGTCCACACCTCAACATTTACAGCAGGTTTTATTTTCTATTTTTTCCTGTATCTTGGGGGGATACAGTAAAAAATAGACAATCAAGAATCAACCAACATTTTAAAGGGACCCCTCCCAAAATGTGGTGGGCACATACCCTTCTTGAGTACCCATCATCCATCTCATCACTTTTACATTCCACGTGGGTGACCATGTGATGTTGCTTTTACGACCTCTGACATCTTAAGCCCTATTAGGTTTAGCCTGTGGAAAGTGGAACCCCGCCTAAAACACAACGTTTGAAGTCAAAGACAAACTCCATCGTCTCTCTCCGATAATTGTTATGTAACCGAAAGTAGCCTCAAATTCTATTGGATTGCTTCCTTCACAAATTTTATATCCACCACACGTTACGCATGGAAGAATTCTTGGCCCCTTGCTTGCTGCAACAGTGACCATGCCCGTGCATGCAACCGTACAAATTAATCCCCTGTTTTCTCTTAAATTCTTCTATTCAAATGGAGCACTAAAGTATTGCATTATGTTAGGCTCTCCATGTTAGAATAATTGTATGTTGGAAAATTTGTTGATACAAGCGATAAGGGGAGGGGGGAATCGAACCTAGAATCACAGACGTAATGATAAATACACTTAATCATTTTAGCTACAAATATCTTATATGTTAAAAAATTAAAATTAAAATATTTCTTATTCTGTTAATGTATAAAATTAGAAAGTTACGATAGTGGGTGTTTAACTCAGCAGCAGAGGTGTTGTTTGCAAACCCCATGGCACCAGTTTTTAATCTCCTGTGTGCGACTCTCACCCCCAGATTAACTGATCTATAAAAAAAAGAAATAGAAACTTAAAACATTTCAATCTTAGTATTTGCGAAACGTTTTTTTTAGTGTTGCATATATTGTCTTTGTGGTTGAAGAGTTGCATAGTTTATAATTCAATCACTTCTCTTTGAAAAAGGTGTCCTATGTATCATTTGTCGGAGGAAATTCCTTTTACAGTTTTTTTTAATTTTTTAATTTTTATTGGTCGAACTTTTTGAGTTTGTTTTAGAAAGAAAACTTTTGTTTTTTTGTTTCTTCTAGAATAAGGGCTCGTTTGGGAGTGCTTTTGGAGCAACGAAAAGCGCTTCTAAATGGGTGAAAGCGCTTATGTCTTTTAAAAATGGTGTTTGGCAAAAATTGCAAAAGCGCTTTGGGTGAGATCCAAAAGCACTTGGAGTGGTTTTAGAAGAAGCACTTGAGAGGTGCTTCTTCTTAAAAGCGCTGCAGGACAAAAACACGGGAAGCACTTGACTCCCTTTAATGAAACTTTTAAAATACCAAAAATACCCATATTTAATTTTTTTTAATGCCAAAATACCCTTCTTCTATTTTTTATCTCTGTCTCCTATTAAAACCAAAACTACCCGCGAAATATCAGACGCCAAAACACCCAACCCTAAGCTTCTACCCGCGAAATATCAAACGCCAAAATATCAGACGCCATCTCTCTCACACAATCTGCTTTGGCAGGCAACAAAGCTTCAGCCTCAGCACCCTTCAGCAACACCCTTCTTCTTCTTCTGCCTTCACATCCACAAAGTCAAAGCACACACCAACTCTTTAGATTTTTTGGACTTCATACTTCAGGGGAATTCCATATCCTGGTGGACTTTTCATCTGTTATATTTCTGCTTCTTCTGAAAGAGAGGTAAATCATTAATTCTCGTGGTTTGGAGTGCAACCATAAGGAGGTCATTGTATCCTACAAGATGTAGGGTAGTTTTGTCTTAAGGAGATAAAACTAATTTCTAGACTTGACCATATTTTGTTATTCAAGCGATAATCTAAATTAATCTAATATACGGGCAACAATATTCGAACTTGAGTGCAAGAGGGTGGGCTCACTACCCTTACTAGCTGGCTTAACCCCACGTTTCCAGTTTTTCATGAATTAAATTCTGATTTTCTATAAATAAAGTAATTAAAAAAAATTCCAACATTATATCAAGGTAGAGTGTGGTCACATGCTGTAATTTGTCCACGTTTTTAATTTAGGTGGATATTTATTGAAATTATACCCTGAAACTAAGAAATAACATTGTTGTCCAGTCTTGTTATCACACATAAACGAGGTATATCATATTACTATATTTCAGAGCCATACAATAATTTCTCCTATGTATCAATTGATTTCCAGTTTATGTTTTGACAACCTACGAAGGGTGCATGTGAGGTCTGTGCCCTAAAACCCATAAAAGAACACTAACTACCACAACCAAGAATGATAGTACGGGGATTATAGCTCAAGTGGTTAAGGGCATTTAGATGTGCACCCGAGGTCTCAAGTTTGATTTTCCCTCTCCATCCACTTATCAAAATAAATAAAAAAAAAATATAAATAAAAATAAAATTATAAAAAAAAAAAAAAAAAAAGAAAGAAAAAAAAAGCATTGGGCCTTGTTACCCTTAAAGTACCATCTATCATAAAAGTCAGGTATGGACTCAAGATTTCAAAATGGAATGAGCTAAATTCACCTTACGTGAAGGAGTTACGTGTGAAGTAGTATTATGGGTAGACTTGGGTGGATTGTATTCGAAATTTTGGACTAAAAAAAAACCCCCTCACCTGTGCTATAACCCCGATTAATTAGTTTTTACTAAAGATCGTCCCTGATAAAAGGTTCGATTTAGTAGGAGGATTAGATGCTCAAATACCATTAAAACTGACACTTCATGTGTCCGTTTCAATAACCACATGTTGGCAAAATAAGTTCCTAATGTGGCCTTTTAATTCAATAATATTAAATGTGTATCAAACGTGGAGGATATGGCACGCGTATAATACGTACATTTAAGAAAAGTTGTCATTTACAATATATTTGTAAAAAAATATTTAAATATATATATATTCATACATGTATAATACAAATATTTAATATGTTCGTACATGTATGTATAATACGAATATTATAACTAGATTTCGATTAAATTATTTCTAAGGATGACATTGTGAATTTCCTTTTGCAATTTCAAACCACGCACATGCATCCAAAAGTGAAATTATTTTTTTGATTAAAACTTAAATTTACTAATTATTTAAACACTGCAGAAGGTCCCAGAATCCAATACTTGTGCGCAGATTGAAAACATTAGAAAGCAATCGAACGGTTCAGATTCATTAAAAACCCATTGGGCCCACAATCTTACATAGCATTAGTGAAGCAAAGAACACACGCTCTCTCTCCTTTTGGAGAGGGCTACATCTCATCGGTAGTGCACATCTACAAATAAAACCAGTTGAACAGTACAACGTAGGAAAAGAGAAAAAGAAAAAAAGAAAAAGAAAAAAGAAAGAGCATTGGATGCCATTATAATTAGTGCAATCCAACGGCTACTTTTGGGTCATGGGGACAAGCCCTGTTCTGTGGGACTAGAAAGTGCTTAGTTAAAAAAGTGCTTCTACATCTTGACCTCTTTGTCCAAGACCACACCTCTGCAAAAGTGCTGTTGCCATTAGTTAGCTAGGAGTGGAAATTTAGGCGAGAAGTGTAAGTGGCTTTTGGAGACCAATTGCTTGGAATCACATCTCTGGCAGAGAGAGTTTTTGCTGTTGAGAGCGTCGTTATCTTCACTGAGAAGGGCCCGTTTAAGGGTCCTCCATTTATGCACCAGTTAGCACCCCATACATGGTTCATCTGTATCCACTCACTAGAACTTGCCTGCCACATAAAATTTTAATTTCGTAAACAAACATTATAAATAAATAAGGAAATTATACTTCCTCAATTTATTCATCAAGGGAAACCATCTTTGCCTTTTTGTTGATTTGTCATGCATAGAATATTTTGATATGAATATTTTGATTTATGGAAAGTAAGAGAGAAGAATATCGTATGTCTACTTTATCATCAACAAATCTTAGATCTAGTGAAAGTTTGTAGATCAACCTGGTTGGACGAGAACTCAAATTCGACTGACATTGATGCGAGAATAATGTATATATGCGACAGAGTTCGAGACCTAGTTGTGACTAGTCCTATTAGGTACAATAATGTAGTTCAAAGGAATAAAAAAGATTTTAAAAAACATAGTGTCACTGTGGACATAAAGGTTCATCTTAAAAGAAAGTTATTGGTAGAAAATGAGAATCGGAAAAGAAAAAGGACGGAAATGCTTTTCTCAGTTTCTTTCAAGTCTTGGCGTGACATATAATTTTTCCGTTGACAATAATTATTTAACGTGAAGCACAATTCATAAAATTCACTAATGACAATCATCAACAAAATTCATGGTAGTAAAAATAAAACATAACAACATATATAAAAAGGAGAAGGCGAAATATATAGATATACGTACTGGTCTTATATGCATTGATCCAACGTCTCCATCTCCACCCTCAAACTCGACCAGAAGGGATAGCCAAAAATTCGTTGAGCCTTCATTTACATGGAAGGCCACCTGCCTCCCTGGATATTTACATGGTGTCCTGTCAATACAAACAAATCCAAATTTACAGCGCCCTAATTGTGCTTTTTATGAAGATTTGTTAAAAAAAAACAGGAGCCAAAACAGAAACCGAAAAGGACAAAAGAGGACCGTTAAAGCAAACAAGAAGAGCTAGCAGAGAGAGAGAGAGTCACACACCACATAGCATAGCACACAGTATAAACCACAAAACAGTAAACAAAGATGACATTTCGTACACACCGTCGGTAAAGGACTGAGAGTTCGCCTCGGTTTCTAAGCATGCCACCTTCACCGGCCACAGCCATGCGCCCGAAGGCGGCGCCGCTGAGATCGAATTGGGTCCTACCCTTGGTGCAACCGGGGCACTCGTCCGTCACGATTATCGTCACCGCTCTTCTCGAGCATATGCTCTTGTCCAGGCACTTCACTTTGTAGCACGCCCCGCACCCCTCGCCGTTCTTGAACAGCAACGGGTTCACTGCTCCCACCCTCGCCCTCAACGGCTTCACGTCCACCATCGACCCGTATCCACATGCTCCGCCTACCAAAATTATGGCCACCGCAATTAGTATACGAATAAAACTATTTGTACCATCTTAACTGACTATATATAATAAAATGTAGCATCATTTTTATAATAAATGTAATTTCACTTCAATTAGAAAGCTCTCGCATAATTAATATATAAAATAAAATTATTTGTACCATCTCAATTAACTATGTGACTATGTGACATTATTATTTCCGTAGATAATTAATTGAGATGGTACAATTAGCAACTCTAACGGTCCAAATAAGCGGCATTGTGTGCTAAAACCAAATGGGGTCTATGGGTAGGGGCTTACCGTCGCTGCCGTCTCCTTCGGGGCTGCCGTACCAGGTGGCGACGGCTGGGAGCCATACCGTGTGCGTCCCAACCGGGTGCTGAACTTGAGCGGAGGCGACAAGCTGCCCCAAACAATTGGCCACCAGGAGGACCAGCAGAAGCCCAGAGCCATGGCGGAGGAGGAGCTGCATTGTGCGCTGAGCTTGAGTGGGTCTTGTCGGCGGCGTCACCAGCTTCAAACTGGTTTTGGTCAACAGTGAACCCAAAGCTCTGCCGACAGTATGAACTGTTTTCAAGGCGTAGAGGGGTTTTGGGTCTCTTGGTCTATGTGTTGCTCTTTATAAAGGCATAGGATATTAGCATTAGCTGCAAAAGCTGCCACAGAAAATAGGTTTTAATAATTTCATTATGACCGCGTGGCCCATGGGCTGTGGTATTATTTGCGAGACATGCCACTGCATCTGGGGCCCACCGGCGGTTAAGGCGTTAACTCCGCCCTGACTGTTCCTCCACGTGTCTGCTGTGCATTGAGCAGCGAGGGAGGGTGTTTTGGTCACGGAAATTGGACCGTTAAACCTTTTTCTTCTGGTGAGTTATGTGCTAAACCTCTTTCTTCATTATTTGATTGTTTTGATAAACAGTGTGCCGTTAAACTTTAGCACGTGGAGGGCAGTGGCGCAACCAATGTTGGCGCGGCAAGTGTAGCCAGGAACGACGCCGCTTCGGAAATTATGCAGCAGTGTGAACAAGGGCCGACACATTCTACGCTTCTACTCCTAGATATCAGAGTTGCTGCTGGCAGTTATTGTTGACTCGTAGCGAACTCATATCATATAGAAGAGTAAATTGTAATGTCACATTTATAGTGTGTTGAGGTACATTTTATTTTAAAATATGTTTCCATATAAATGAAATCAATTGATGTAGTACATATATATCTATTATTTCATTCAACAACCACTTTCTCATGGGATGGTGAACCGTATTAACTTTAGAGTAGTACGATAGACACCAATTTAGTACACTAACTTTTATGATATATCAATTTATGCGATGGTGTTTCATTCGTTTCTTGACTGGTTCACTTGAACTTTATTTTATTGCGTAGTTTACTTAGTCCTCGATGAAATCATATGCATAATGTGTGGCGAATCTTCTCAATAAGATGCGCTAACTATGGTAGTAGATATGGGCGTCATTTCCATGAGGCCGAACACTTTTGGGATGTCTTGAGGAGGTCTCATGCCATTTTATCCCAAGAGTGGAGAACTATATTTACTTTTTAGTTACCTTTAGCTTGAAGTGATTGCTAAATGTACGATGCCCTCCTCTCCGTCCAAAATGTTTGTGTGAATTGGGTTGCGGTTTGAGGACTCACAATTGAAGCACAATTATGGTTTGGTAGTCAAATTTCTCTGTGAAGAAAAAACAATAATAATTCCCCTTTGGCTGATAAGTCTTCATCACAAGGATGTCTTGGCTATTTTTTTATTTTGGTTAATAAATGTGTGGCCCAAGGAGGCAAAATTTTGTCTGGTCCATTAATAAAATTTGTAGCCTATCAATCCTAGCAGATGGAGACAAAGCTATAGCTAGTGGATAGACCTCCCACCAATTTAAAAACAACATAAAAACTTACAAGAAAGTTGGAACAAACACACATGCAAATAGCAATTTCATTGTCTTGTTTCATATTTTCAAATCACCTAAAAGCTAAATGACAGTTTCCATTGATGATGGTTGGTGTTATTGCTTTGCCTCCCAACTCCACTGAAATTTCTAGCCAATATGCAGTAATCTCGTGGATGAAGTTACCCCAACAAGCACATGCACTCATATAATCGAAGATGACTTCCACTGTGCGTGCGTCATGAGGATCATGATGCAGCCAATGACTACATATCAACTTGTCACGCTCACGTAACTACAAATGATATGGAGCTAGAGCTGAACCATAGGTAACAATTCGCAGCATTTTCTTGATCTGCAGTTCAAAAGTCATGCCGAGCAGGATCCTGTCAAGCATCAGTACGTGTTGGGTGATGCCTAGACCCAGCAATAGATAACATTTTTATTATTATTATTTAAACATCCTTGATTATCGGTAACTGAGAAGTTACTTAGGACTAACCATTTATAAAATCACATCTTTGTAATATTATAAAGCTTAAACACAACGCATCGAACAAATGAAGAGTTAGCTAGGTGCTCTAAAAAGAAGATTTTCTTAAGCTTTTTTTTAGCATTCTTTGACCAACTATACAGAACTAATCTAAACAAACAAAAATATAATCATATAAAAATTCTATAAAAAGTCGGCTTTTTTTAATTAAGACTATAACTTCTTCTCATTTGTAATGTGGAGCGCTTGCATAGTTGGTTGAGTTCTTCAACCTCCACTCATTTGGGCAAAATTTTGAAACTGCCAAACACCCAATGAATATTTGTGTGTAAACCTTCGTTCTCCAATCGCTTATACTAAAAAATGGAAAGGGTTTAATACAAATTACTAAGATTAATAAATAATTAAAGGCTCTCTCAAAAGACAAAAAATAATTAAAGGCAAGCACGACGCATTTCCTAGCTAAAGGTGCCCCTTAAAATTTATTATAAAAAGAGTGCGTTTGTTGATTCTGTTTTATCAAGTACGACTTTCTGGTAGTAAAGTTGCAACTGTAGAAGAAGATACTTTGTGAATCCATTCAGCAAAACCCACAAAATCTGCCCCAATTATTATTTATTTAATGATTAAATCTGACACAAAAAAACCCAACCCAGTTTTTATATTCAAGAACATGGCTTGGGTGCATGTCCTTAGAATGAGTAGCTGCATCATGCTTTCTCCAAAGGCAAATTGAAAGAGAGAGCCTCTTTTAATAAAAATTACTTTACTTTTTCCCCCCCTTTATCTTTTCCTTGTTTTGTGTTGTGAGTTATGACTTTAAGCTGGAGGTGCTTTAAGGGTTGTACATATGAGCTCAATGCTAGGAGAAACATTTGTGTAAAATGGGGATAACACTATTTTGTTATTTTCAGTCAATCGCTACATGTCATGCTTGATAAATTTCCTACATGACAATCTGTGATGGTTGAATATAAAGAAACAGTGCTATCCCCGTTTCATACAAATTTTTCTACAATGCTAGGCTGTATTAAGGGTTGAATTTCTTTGTTCGTCAGTTGTTGCCACATGCCTCTTTACAAAAGCAAAGTTTTCTCGACATACAAAGTACAAAAGTCATCAAAAAGCAAAAAAAAAGAAAAAAAAAAAAAAAAAAATACCCACGTATCGAAATGTGATTTGCCCATGAGATTGACTTGGTGATTTGCCAGTATGCGGAATATACTTTCACAGTGTACATGGGAGGCAACATGCACATATTCTTGAGGAAGTTGTGCGTGTGGTTTGCAAGTTCATTTAACAGTTAGTTGTGCATATCATCAAAGAAATGGATCAAAACATGGAGAACGTTAGAATAATACTTTTAAAATTTATGAGCAATTATTCAATCCAGTAAGATTTTTATATAAGCTGTGTATAATTTATTAGACATGTGGAACAATCTTTGCATATGCAGGAATACCAGACTAAGAAGTCTTTAATTAATGGTGAAATTGTAAACTAATCGTTACTCTTCTTAAAGTCAAATACCATCGCCGTAGCTCGAGTTACTAGCTCAACATATGCAACGGGGAAGAATGCTAGGTTAGAATCTGGTACTAAACTCTTAAAGGAGATCATGTCATAAACTAGGGAGAGAAGGAACGTACAAAAATGACGAGATCATTCCTTATAAACTAGGGAAAAAGAAGGAACGTACAAAAATGAAAAGTTGTGTGAGGCCGAAATGCGGTGAGGACGTGCTTTAAGCTTGCATAAAAAGTCAGTGCCTTCTAAATTCGAAATATCAAAGAGTATATATGTTGCCCACATTGCAACCTGTAATGATGAAAGAACACACAAACTAGACAATGCTGTATCAGAAAGTTGCTGAAGATTTAATATCCACACCATTCATGTCGATTATCTTAAAACTTTTCTGGAGACTAGAAGGCATCCATACACACTGTAATGATGATGTTGCTCACAGAAATCTTTAAATGGATAAGTAAACTAATGACCAGAAAATCATGCACAAGTACTTGCAAAGCCAACTGCCACTCCTCATGTTCCTTCAGTGAAATGGACAAAAAGGGAAAAAAAGAAAAAGAAAAAACCATTTCTAATCCTGCATTTGGGGATGTTTGCACATGAAACATACAAAAGTTGACAACATAATTGAATAGAGGTTTCAAGTAAAATAATCAATGTATTATGCATCGCTAACATTCTAAAGCACAAATGCAACGATGATTTAATGTCAATTTCATGAGGTTCAGGTATATGGTAAGAGAGTTTAAGGTATGTACATGTTTCTATTCCTAATTCCACCCTCTGTCTGTTCGAAGTGTATGAACATAAACCTTCAATGCTCAATCAGCCAACAGATATCCGATGACAACCCTCTTATTGCGCCTCTGCACATCCATCCACAAAAGGTTCCAAATGCAAAGATTTACCTGGTTGTCTGATTTACAAAAGGGGAAACAGAAGGAATGAATAACGAAAAATCATATAATGTAGTGACAACCCAACTTAGCAACCAAAACCTATGACAGCTCACACCCTGCTCCTCTCCACTTGCAGCTCACTTGTAAGATGCTAGCCATCCAATCAGTAAGAGATTGAGTGCATCTCAAGTTAGCCACACTATAAGATGCTAGCCATCCAAATGGAGAGGAGCTTATTCTTAATTACTCCAGTGAAAAGAGTAATAAAGACTGACGCACAAGAATAAGAATAAGAAAAGGTATGAACAAAGTTTGGAATTAGAGAAAACTCATCAAGACCTTTGATTTAATGAGATATATATGCCCTAAATATTGCACACGACCCATTAAAAGAATCAAACATTGCTACCTTGTCATTGATCCTTATGTTCCATGCATCGTTTTTGGACCCATATACAGGGTCACCAATGACATAAGGAGGTGGGAGAACAGCATTCTTCAGGAGCGGAACTCTCTCAGGAACGTACTCATCATCACTATCATAATACTGATGTGGCCCAAGAGCTTTGAGTATCATTGCCAATAACAAAGACAGTCCCTGCAAAAGAAGACAAATGAACGGTCAACAGAAAGAGAACAGAAACGAAGGAAAGGAATAGCCATGATCTGCAAACCAGAAAGCCCCTCACATTGAGCAATTATTCATCATAGACAACGCTAACAATGAAGTAATAAAATCATAGAAACACGGAAAATCTTAAGAAAGCAATTGAAGTTCTGCAGGAGGGCATGGATCATAGGCAACAAACACAAGTAAAGCAACAAACTTTCGAAACTGTTCAGAGCCAATTAGTATTCCTCATGAGATTTTGGCTTTTACATTTCCCATGTCAGATTATTATTTTTCCTACACACACACATATTCTATGTTTTAATTGTTAGTGGTATGGTATGCAATAAAGTCAAAGTTTACATGGTACCAAAGCAAATTGATCCTCTCTTTATTTCAACTTAACTATACTTGTTCTTCGCAAATTGCATTTTCTTTCTCAGCAATTCTGTCACATCTCTCGGGGTTTCATACATTAGTGTACTTGCTCTGGTACAGTACTGGTTTTCCAATTTCTTCTTGATAAAAAGTTCAGGTCAACACGATGTCTCTGTTGAAGTTATGCATACTAGGGTTCTATGGGAAAATATAGATGGGATACGTATCTGGAGTTGTGAGAGTTCCCACTGAACTATGACAGAGAATAAAGCACGGTTAATGGCTAATTTATACAACCCACTTAAATTGTCTACTGGAATACAATTGGCTAAGTTTTCTACAGACAAAGAAATACGGGATCATTTGGCAAGGTTGTATGGGCAGACAAATTTGCCAAAAGCTATCAATAGGAGACAGTTATTAGGACTGCTAAACAAGGAGACATATATTCAAGAGTTTTATACTATTATCATTGCATTTTGGATCAACCAACAGTCACTGAACCTGCAAGGCTTAGTTTCAAGGAGCCCTATTGCACTCCAATAAAATAGCAAAGAATGGCTAATTTTGTGGCACTTTATTACGAATTGAGGCACCATGTGATTCCATTCTTGACCCTCACCTGATCCCTCTAGTTGATTATGGGGTCAAAGAGCAATTGGGAAAGGAAGCTTGCCTTGAGTCCATTGAACAAAAGGACTATTTCCAACAAAGGTCAATATATGAACCTAGTGGCAGTGTAAAATTTACATGTGTTTGGGGACTTTGAGGGTCCTTATGGTGATTAAGATTTTGAATAAAGGAGGAATGGAAGGCTTTGGTTTTTATAATTTGAAGGTTTTCTGGCTGATATTGAATACTTGGACAAACCAATAAGTTTGTTGAAGTGAAATTTTTGTTTACTGGTAGATTATGAGAAGGAAAAAGCTTATATTTTTGCAGAATTTGGTGTTGAAAAAAGGATGACACCAATGTCTCTGGTAGTAGTGAATTAGCTGATGAACCATGCAAATCATTCTCCAATGTTTCTGGTAGAAGTTTGGGGACTTGTAGAGTTGACTCTCCAATCTTGTGTCTGTAGGCAATATCAAACACTAGAGTCTAGTTCCTCGAGAGAGAGGGAGAGAGCGAGAGAGAGAGAGAGAGAGCGAAAGAGAGAGAGAGAGAGAGAGAGAGAGAGAGAGAGAGAGAGAGAGAGAGATGGGAGGAAATTGTTATCTTATCTTTTATTTTTAAGTTTCAAGTCAATACAGTACAGGGTTCACTAGCAACTAAACCTTTGAAAACATTGTACTTGGCACGTAACCTTTTTGATGGCAAATATAACAGATTTCATGGAAAGGACCATTTTAACAGTCAAAACGGAACTGCACGGGCAATATGATTCAAATTGAAAGTCAAGGAGTAAAGAAACAGGCCAAAGCTCAAGGGGTAACTGATTCTGCAATATATTTTAAACTCTTGACTGGTTCTGCCAGTCTTAGGAGACAGATAAATTGAGACTCAATGAACATATAACTTTTCATTTCCTTACAAGGATGCCACAAAGTTGCAAACACACACACACACACACATGCATCGCACAGAGAGAGAGAGAGAGAGAGAGAGAGAGAGAGAGAGAGAGAGAGAGAGAGACCTGCACACACACAATTGACAAGCCAATCCATTTGCAGATATCAAAGTTCGACCTTACAAATTCTTTGAATTGATCAAATCTCCCAGTTGGATCATCTGGAAAGTCCTGGTTACAAATTGAAATTATTAGCATAACAGCTAAATAAACCGCCAATACGCTTCATTCTAAGTCATTAACCGGTTAAACAAAAGTAACTAGACTGGTCTTTGAATATATACCTCTTCCCAGTCATGGTTTAGAAATATGTCAGCTGCCACTCCAGCTTCAAGCATGAGGAGGAAAGAAGACAAACACCATGTACTGTAAGCAGATAAGGTAAAATACAGACATTTGTATCAAATACTTTTATGAAGAAAATAGTAAAACAATTGAAGCCCCATGGAACTGGACTATATGTCTAAAATAAAATTTACCGAATAAAGGCAACAACCATTTGCAGTGTCTGCAGCAATATGACCTGAGCATGTGATCACACACAGGTGATCCCAAGGCCAAGAATAGAGTATATAAACCTGCAACTCATGCCACAAAAGTAGTTCTAAAATCAGCATTGAGAAAAAATAATTATGTGAAACCTTTAGAAAATAAAAACTTAATACATCACAGAAAGTCGTGAATATCAAAAAGAAAAGATTCTTCATCCAGTACGCAACCTTCATGCCCAAATATGCAATGCTGAGGACAAGTAGTCAAAATAAAAAATTACTCCATCTAACAAACCAAAAACAAATGGACATGAAACCCTTTACACCAAAATCAACTGCTATAAATGACTAAATCACTAAGGAAAAACCAAATTGATTTGAATTTAGTTCATTTTTTCTTTCTTTATAAGATAATAATTAAAGCTGAGGAGATTATCTCAGGCCTCTTTGTTTTTGTGCTTCTGCATTGCATACGAACACAAACCTGTTCTTACAATAAATTGGTAATGAAACACAAGTTTTCACTTCTCAAGGATTTAAATTGTTCTTGTCTTCTTGCTGCTTCCTGGTGTGAAATGGGGAAAAGGTAAGACTCTGGGAAGATATAATTGGATGGACGAAACTCCTTTATTCATCTCTGTTCCTCTTAGTTTTAGACTTTAGACTTTTGAAAATGTTTCTATCGCTAGTACATGTGCAAATCCTTTTTTTCCATTCGAATTTTGGGTTTTGCAAAAATCTAAGTGACTCTGAGGCTGCGGAACTTTCCTCTTCGCTCTCCTTGTTAGATTATAGTCCCTTAATGCTGTCTAGACTTGATAAGGGGATCTGGAGGTTGGATTCATAACGAGTCTTTTCATATAAGTCCTTGTAGGCATATTGTATTACAACTCATGGTTTTTTTCATTTCTACCCATCTTCTATGATTTGGCAGGCTACACTCATCTTTTTTTCTTTCTTAATTTCCACCTTATGCTTGCCCTTCTGCCTTCTTGTTTCTTCACTTTCCCCATTGCATTAATTTAGGGTGAGGATTGTTGAGGGAAGCTAATTTGAGTAGGGTTGTTCCAGGAAGTTGTTCTGCAGTTTTCTGTGACAAGTTCAAGGTTTTTAGGGTGTCAAGAAGGGAGAAGTCCTTTGAAGCTGTGGTGTGATAATGTTTTGGATGGTGTAATTTAGAACGAAAGTGAAGGACTTTGACTGATTTCAGGGGATGATGTGGAATTTTGTGGAACAAAGTTTCATTGTGGTCTTAGCTGTGTAGTCTTTTTAGTCTGATTAGTGTTGATGGATTTTGTTACCAATGTTAGACTTTAGATTGATTGTCAATGGACTCCTCGTCCTCTGTAATGTGCATCTACTTTTTCTGAAACTCAGTAAAATTCTACGTTTCTTATTAAAACAGAAACAACTAACTTCACTGAAGGAGCTTATAAGGAGAGAGAGTTAAGGGCCATTGTTGAAAACCAAGACAACGAGAGGCATAAGCCTCCAAGTTTATTTTCCTTTAATCTTTCCACCTCCTAATAAATAATGCAAGAAAAGGAGGGTTTTTTTTTTTTTTTTTTTTTTTTTTTTTTTTTTTTTATCAAACAAGAAAAAGGAAGGTTCCCATACTAAAAGGCACCTTTCAGTAGAAAAAGGGAAATTGGCCCACATAAAGGAAGGTCCCCATACTTCAACGGCCATAACAGAACAGATGATCACAACCCCAAGTACTTAACTTTTCAAGCAATATACACATTCATCTCAAAACAAAAAAAAGACATTGTCACTGATACAATGTCTAAGAAAATAAGAAAAGAAATTTGTGTACTTTTTAGTTGTTTCCGTCTTGTAAATCAAGATCCATGGATAGCTTTTTATACTTTTTTTCAGGTCCCGGACCATACAATATCTACAACATCCACCACTTAAACTCCCAATTCCCTTATCTTTCCCACATTTTTCTCAGGATACAAACAGACCCACGATGGCAAATTGAAAAAGAAAATGAACATACCAAGGTATTGGATGATGATGAGAATGATCAAATGACAAGTGACCCATGTTCCTTTGCCAGGACCTAATCAACCACAAGGAGTACATGATCATGGCCAACCCAACCATCCCAATCACCGAGTTCACCAACTTGAGGATTGATTGTACGCAGCTCCTTACCACCCCGCCCATGCTTTCTCTCTGATCACTACCCAAATTCACCAAAACAATTTACAGGAAAACCCTAAATTGAAAATTGGAACCTAGGACCATTCGCACAGGAGGGTTTGTGGAAATAGGATGATCGTCATTTGCTTCGGTTTTGATGAGTTTAAGGTTTCCGAATTTTACGCTTTTCAAGGTGGATTCGTCTTGCAGTTACCCGCTTCCATGAAAATTGTTATTTTTTATTTTTTATAATAAAACCAAGTATTATATATATTCAAACCTCACATTTATCAACAAGCGGGTGCTGTGGTGTAGTGGTTATCACGTCAGTTTTACACACTGAAGGTCCCCAGTTCGATCCTGGGCAGCATCATCATCTTTTTGCATCTATTTTTCAAGTTTTGAGGCCAAGAGAAAATATTTTATTATTCATTATCAGTTTTCATTACATTACTTTGTTCATTTTTAAAGCTGTGGGGAGCAAATTTGAGGACCATATAAACTAAAATGGAATCGAAAGACGAAAATTCAACTCGGAATAATATTTTGGGAGTTTCACTAAACACCCAAAATGGGGGCTGAAATTATAAAAAAACCCAACACCCCAAAACACTTTATAAACACACCCAAAACCCATCGTTACACACACTCAAAACCCATTTATAAACACACCCAAAAAATATACAATTGTTGATTTTGGGTGTGTTTCTATGTTTAAATAGTGTTTGAGTTTTTTTTATAAATACATGTCTAAGATTTGGTTTATTTATAAATTTGTATAATATTTTTCCCTTGCAAGGAAGTTAGTTAAGCTAATTTAGTCTGAAACGGTAATCAAATTGACTTCTTGCAAAGTTAAAGAGTGTTTGTTTAGCTCAACTCCTTATATGATAACTTACAAATCAAACTAAATTCTCTTTTCAAAACAAACACATTTACTAACTAGTTCATCTGCAAATTCCCATAATGTCCACATATTGCTGACGAGTGCCAGCCCTACTAAAACCAAAAGACAGAAAACTTGTTTCTAAAATTTCCCCCCAAGTAAATATCGTTCCAGCAGCTTGTTTAAGCAAAAAAAGAAGAGAAAATGCGTATCTTGGGACAAATTATGACCTCTATTTCACTGGCTGGCATCAAAATCCAAGTACATTCTATAGGCATTTCGATCGGAAGAGTAATAACCTTCTATGAGGTTATCGATTTTGAAACCGAGTTTCTTGTAAAGATTCACGGCAGGAGTCCTCAAGGGATCAACGTGAAGCGTTATGCGCTGCACATTTCTGGTTCTGCATTTCTGAATGGCTGCTGTCAGCAGTGCCTCTCCGTAGCCTTGCTTCCTACAAGCATCCCTCACTGTGGAAGAGAACACCCACATGCACAGAATAAATCAATGTCTGCTGAATATGAGATGTAAAAATTTACCACACCCTAACCGCAAAATGAAACAACAAGAAGAAAATGCCAACTAGAAACATCCGTGCAGCAACTTATTTCTGGAGTTTATTTGGAGACTTTCATCAAATAGCTTCTGGGCATATTTAAAATTTCAGCAAGCTAACATGTGTCTACTAAATAAGCAGTGAAATCCACTAAGGAAGAATACCAAATTCGTTCCACTAATTAATTTCATGGTTACTTTAAAAAAAACGTAAATTCAGCATTTTGGACAATTCTATCACATTCAGCGAGAGCTTCATGTTGATCATCTCATATCCACACAGAAATAAAACCAACCCACAAAGCATCAAAACCAACACAAATCAAAGAAGCCAAACTAGCAAAGAAAAATAAAGCAAAAAATCAGACCTCTTTTTGAACATGATATTTAACCTTGAACTGTAAATGCTCAAAAATCACCTTTGAAGTAGAAATCGAAGAAAACTGATGTGTATGAAAATAGTTCAGGAAAGTTTTCAAACCTGCGAGCTTTGTGATAGAAGCGTACAGGGAAGAAGGCCAGGAATACATGACATAGCCTGCAATTTCACCATCTACCTCCCTGTAAAGCAACCCACTGTTCTTCTTTCTCAGCTCTGCATCAAAGCTTCTAGCAAGAGATTCATGTTTGGGAAATATCTTTCGCTCTAGCTTCACTATGTCTTCCACTACCGTGGCCCAGTTGGGAGAGTTTCTTTGGAGCTCCACAATGACCCCCGTTGCCATTGATGAAGAATTGGAGCTTGAGTGTTTGTATTCTTGTTTCAACGGTTTATTTGGATATTGCCATCTTATAGTTTAACTGATCTGTTGTCTCAAATCCAATATATATGTATTGTGAACAAATCGCAACTAAATATTGGGTTTTCTTTTGTTTGTACCATAATCAACCGAGCGCATTTGGTATTGGGAGACCAGCGCGCATACAAACCAATAGACTGCTAAAGGAAAAACACTTCTAGGAATCCCTAAACACCGATGACATCATCATAATCTCAGCTATCGAAGACACCTTCCTCTGATGTGGCAATTGCATGCCGAAAGTGGTTGTCAAATCAACTACATAACCTAAGCCTTGGACACGTGTCGCCACCACGGGAATTTGCACAAAGTCCCACATCGAAACTTTGTGCAAATTCCCACTTGCACTTCTCCATAAAAGAGGAATAGTGTCCAAGTAAAAGGGAGTAACTACTTTTCACCTTTACTGTTACTCTGAAAAAATTACTGTGTACCTCACACTTGATGACTTAAGTATCGGACAGCCTTCGGCAGATACCACATCGGTACCCAAAGCTTGACGATTGCTTCTTCCATCTTTCTTCTGCAGGATCGATTTGTGGCTGAAGGCCCCTCATTGCCTTAGGTCCTAACCCCCTAATCCTACTGAAGACCATACACTTCTTTAATCTAAGTTGGCACCCGATTTTGGGCGTCAATAGTTTGGCACCGTCTGTGGGATTCGACTTTTGAATCCCACATCTCTACTAGTCTCGCTCGCTCTTTTTGCCTATAATCAAACTCGTCATCTTTTCAGTCCATCACATTCCGTCATGCCTAGCGAAGCTAGCCTTGGCACTCAGCATCACACCTCTTAGTGGAATCCTCTAGAAGGAAACCTTCAATCGATGCGCATCTTCAAGCTGAAATGGAACGACTTCGTGCCGATGTTGCCAAAATGGCAGAGAACTAAGACCACCTCAGCACCAAAAATGTCAAGTTGGAACATGATTGTCTAACCTTGAAACATAAGTGGGAGAACACTCGCCATTAGTTAACCCAGCACGACGACACCCAAGGTGTCGGGCATACCCTACTAAATCAACTAGCCATCTCCCTGCACAGCGCTTCAACACAGCTTAAGCCTAACAAAGGCAAATGCCACCTTCATCCAAAAGCAGCCAAGTCACGACTTCTCCAAATTTCCCCACCAAAGGACCGGCCTCGTGCCCCAACCAAGATATACAAGGATTGTAGGGATCGCATCTCTAAGCTTCGACCAAAAACCCATTCAGATTCCCATCGACCTCGACCGGCCTTGTCAAAAAACCATAAATACCCGATTTTCTCTATCATGGACGCATCACTCACTCTCTCTCTCTCTCTCTCTCTCTCTCTCTCTCTCTCTCTCCTTTCTCTTTCTCTCTCCCCAACCCTTGTTCTCTCTCTCACTGCATGCGATAGCCGCACGCTTCAAAGAGTGGAGTAGCACCGTCTAGCCAGCTCAAGCCACGGGACCGGACCCAAAAGAACCGAGCCGGCCTCCTCTTCCCATGCCTCACCTTATCCGACGAACCCATGCCCTCCAGCATTGGCGAGAGCTCGTAAAAGGCCCGACGGTTCTTAGTTCTTCCAACACCATTTCCAGCGACTCCGGCAGCCAAATCCATCAATCCATGTATGATTCTTCATCTACTCAACATGCTCTAGCTAATGGTATGGTTGGTTAGGATCAATTTGGAGTGTTTAGAGTTTGATCTAAAGCCTAGGTTTTTTGTCTGACTGCGAGGTGCTTTTTCGGCTAGCTTCGACCACTTTTTGGCAGGGGTCCAAGACCAAAACATGTTCCCCTAGGTGTGGTGGTTCTAATGGCATAGGTATTGGCCGACGATTTGGAGTTTTTCCAATCTCTAGAATTTATTCAAGCCACCCACCATTGCCGGTGGCTGGTGGCGGCTTGTGAGCCACTTTTTGGTGGTTTATTGAGTTCCAAAATACTCTCCATGTTGTCCCGAGCACGACGGTATTTTTGGATTATAAATTGGATATCGTTTGACGATCGAACAAATATTACGCCTGTTAGGCGATATTTGGGTTCGATAGGTTCGGACCGTCCGATCGGTCTCATTTTCAAATATGTCGTCCCTCATATCTTTAGGATAGTGTAGAAACTTGTGGATCAAGAATCGGAGTCCTGGATACTCCGAGTCAATGAATTTGGGGTTAGGTAAACTGACTACCTTTTGATCGTGCGATCGAGAGTGATTCAACCGCTCGATCGAGACTAAACCCTCGATACGTGGTTAATAGACATTGTTGGACCTATAGGAACCTTATGATAAGAAATTAGAGGTGGTGGGCCCCACGGGCCCGGTTGACCAAAAAATGGAAAGTTTGGCAAAACTATTGGCCACGGGTCTTTTAAGACTGTTGCATCCTTTGGGGAAAGTACTAGAATGGCCTTAGGATCTTTCTAAAGTTGTGTACACACATTAAGTTTCTGGGAACTAGTTTGAATTTTAATTCGTGGTTGAGGTCGTTTACTAAGTTGTGATAGTTGGACAATTGTTTTAAGTGTGCATTGCTTTCGGACATGGGGATGGGTGTGAATTGATGCATGATTTGATGTTGAATAACAATATTTTCTGTGTGAGCCTGAAATTCGAATTTGATGGTGGAAAACTGAATGGCTTGGAATTTAGTATTTGGTTAATGGAGTTTTGAAAATGTGCTATCGGATCGGTTTTGGCTTTTACACTGTGATACATAACTATTGTTATTATTATTGTTATTATTACCATTATTGTTGTTATCATTATTATGTATAAAGACTTGCATGTTGAGTGGGAAGTAGGGCTATGTATATGTATATATATAATATTGGAGTATGGGTCTGTGAATTTCACCATCATGTACCTTCTCCGGTTCGATTTAGATGATAACCACATGTGTGTTGATGACCAAGGCACCCGCAGTGCGTAAGACTTGTTTCAGCCGCACGTGTATTGAGAATTCTACCGTGCGTGTCTGGGGCGCAATAGTCCCCCGATTGGACTGCTTATTCCCTAGCCACATGAGTATTGATGATTATGTCATGTGATCTAGTAAAACAATTACCGTGTTGTATTGTTTTCCCCCGGTACATGATGTGCACTATGATATGTACCTCCCCTGTTATTGATACTTGATATATTAGACACACGGTAACGCTTCGGAGGTGTGTCGGGATACCAGGCACCCTTGATTGGGTGTACTGAAGGCCTTGACAGGTAGTTTGTGCGCGTAGGAGGGATATTCAGCCACACATGTATTGAGGATTCTACCGTGCGTGTCTGGGGAGCAATAGTCCCCTGGTTGAACCGCTAATTCTCTAGCCATATGAGTATTGAGGATTCTGCCCTAGTTGGATTGTATAATGTTTAAGTTTCTGTTTTTTAATTGAGGTGTTGTTTTTGGTTAATATCATGCTTAAATTAGCATGAAATTAGCATTAAGGTTTAAGATTTGTTTTGTTTAGTATTTTTAGATAGTATAATTTTTTTTTTTTTTTTTTTATTTAATTGAGTGTGTGTTTTTGGTTATATCAGTTAAGTTGCTGTTTTTTGTTTCTTAAAGAATTCATGAATGAGTCAAACTCATTTGGAGAGGTGCATGCCACTACTAATAGTGAAGTTGGTTTGTCATTCGCATCTATATCCACATCCGCGTCCGCATCAACACCTTTACCCATTGTACCGATCCCTCAACATGAAGATGAAATTTAAAAAGTATTGGGGGTGACCTTGATAAATTGAACCAAATTTTGATGGTTGCTCTTGTTCTTGACCCTCAATACAAATTGGGGAACTTGGAGTTTATCTTGAAGAGCCGGTTTGAAAATTTGGAAGATGCAGTTAAGAAGAAGAATGAGATCAAAGAGATTTTAAAGAAGCTTCATGAGGAGTATGCCATGCCGCCATTACCACCACCACCACCACCACCACCACCATCCACTCAAAGTAGTAGTTATTGTTCTAGTGATCTACTACCATGAATACAATAAATAGTAGCCTAAACCGAGTGGGAAAGAAACGAAGGCAAATGAATGAAAATTGGAGAAAAAAGACTTGAGCAAATGATGTTGTGATATTGGAGCATGAGATTGATAGGTACATCACCGACCCTATTGAAGATGTGGTTCACGAATTCGATGTTTTGAAGTGGAAGTGAAAATTGAATGGGGTTAAGTATCCGGGTTTGGCACTTATTGCAAAGGATGTGCTTGTTATCCCTGTATCAACGGTGGCTTCAGAATCATGCTTTAGCATGGGTGGTCGGGTAGTTAATTCATTTCGTGCTTATTTGACTCTTAAGATTGTGGAGGCCTTTATTTGCTCTCAAAATTGGTTAAGCTCGGATGACATATCCTATTTACAAAATGAGCCAACAATTCAAGATATGGAGTTCTATGAATCCATTGAATTAGATATTTCTTTGTAATTTTATGTGCTTTATCAAGGTATTATATAGTTTGTATGTTTCACTAATGTTTTAATGGGTTTATGTTTTTTATATATAGATATTATGAGTTCATTCACACCTCCCAAGTTTGCCCCAACTACTTTTAAATGTTATGAGGAATTTAATGAAGTTGCAACACTTGGGACTACATGCTTTTGTGGAGTTTTTGCATGCTTGTATTTTGTTTATATTTTGCTGCAGTGGGATTTTAATTTATTTTGGAGCTTGTTTTGATGAATTTGGATTGTAATTTATATTTCGCTGAAGTTGGATTGTAATTTATATTTGCTGAAGTTGGATTGATTTTGATGTATTAAAAGCTTGGTGAAAGTTTAAATATGGGCTTGGCCTATTTGATAATGAACAAATTGGTCGTGTATGTAATATAATATAATTTTGGGTAGATCTGTAATATAAATTATAGGCAAAACGACACTTGTAGTCCCTGTGGTTTCAATTTCGTCACTTTTTGCCATTGTGGTTTAAGAGTCCAAGCAATTAGAAGACACTTCTCAATTTCCGTCAAATCTCTTTTAGTTCTGTTAGGGCATCATCTGTTGCCGTTAGTTATTGAATAAGTGAAGGGTCATTAAGGTAAAATCCCCTGTAATTCATAGCTTTTGTGCAACAATGGAATAACCCAGCCGATCGTTCTCATTCATCATACTTCAGAGAAAGAAAACACAAAGGCTTGGATCCTCAAATAGAAATTAGGGATTTCTTTTGGGCTGTTTAGGGTTTAATTGAAAATTTCTCATATGTGCATAAAAGTTAATCGATTGAAGGAGCTGGTTACACAACCAAAATGACGAAGAGCATAGGAGAAGGCAATGAAAGCTTGAACAAACCAGGTTAGAAAGAGCTTGATTATTTATCGTAGTTTCAATTTAATATAGGGGCTTTCAATAGTTAAAGTGTTTGTTGCTTTCAATGCTTTGTTTTTCGATTGTCCATATGACTTTTTTCTTATTCCTGATTTGTAGCCTTAACTTAGTTTCAATTTGATATAGGGGCTTTCAATGGTTAAAGTGTTTATTGCTTTCAATGCTTTGTTTTTTCAATTGTCTGCACGTGTTATTTTTTATCCCTGATTTGTAGTCTTTTGTATTGGGTTGAGTTTGTCTGTGGTAGTGGTAAAGAAAAACGTTTAGTAAGAATTTAGGAAAGGTTTTTTTTTTTTTTTTTTTTTTTTTTTTTTTGTAATAGGAAGTAAAGGCAGTGGTCCCGTGCATGTTTTCACTACCAAAGGCTTTAGGAAGAATAGTGTCCTTGTTTATTTGCATAACAAAATGATGACAACTGATAACTTCGGCAAGCAAAAGCCAGCACAAGTGTCTCTGTCAAAAACCAAACAGATTTAGATGTGGGATTCATCACATAGCCATTTTCTCCAAAAACCCCTTTTGATCACTGTCACTGTATTTGGTGGCAGAAGGAAAAAAAAAACCCAAATTTTCTTCTTGGTTCATCCTTGACTCAGATGTTAATTTTTTTTCCAAACAAATCAATATAATTTTTTTTTAACATTTTGAGAAGATATGATTTATCTAATATAAATCATTGGTTTTGTTAGAAAATAAAGCTTGTCATCTGATCCCATGATGAATAATATGAACCACGATATTTATTCTTATTTGGTTATGCTAAAATTTTCCACATGTTGGGGCCACCCCAATTGCTTTATAATGCAAAATTTGATGACGTTCCAGATGCATTTTTTGATGAGGTTTTTAATTATGAGTAACAATTGACCCAAGAATATGTAGAACAAGTGCCTAATATAGGAACTGTAGAGGTTCCTGTAGAGCTGGCTGGGAATGTCATTAATGAGGAGGGTAATGAAGAAGAAAATGGTGAAGAAGAGAGTACTAAATCAGATACTGATATTGATGGTGGAAGAAGAAGATTAGAATTTGAAGATAGTGCTGATGAATCAGATAAGTCGATTTATGAGACTGACAATGATGCTGCTTTAGATGACAACAACGAAATTGATGTAAATCTTCAGTCCACCTGGAACTTATATTGATAAAAGATGGACAACTGGGTATCCTTCAAAGAAAAAGAAAGGCTCTGGTTCTGAAATCAGTGCATCTGTTTCTGAAATGAATGCAAGAGGTTCTCAAACGAATGTGCAAAGAAGAAAGCTTCCTGTAAGTTTCAATTCATCATTTTGCAATTTTTTTTTACCAACTTTATGTATATTACAATGATTGATAAACTTATTTTTTTCACTGCAGATCCGGAAAAGCTCATCACATTCATCTGCCTCTGTGAATCCATCTGCTTTTGCCTATGTGAATCTATCTGCATCTGCCTCTGTGAATTTATTTGCATTTGCCTCTGTGAATCCATCTGCTTCTATGCATCCAACTCCAAGGCAAGGTCCAAGACTGTTGGGAGTTAGCAGTAGTGCTCCATGGAAACCACCTGGGAAAGCACCAAGGAAGTAAATGAAGTAGAAATTTGACTATTTTGTGAAGTTGTTTTGGGATGTAATAGCATTTTGAATAGCATTTGTTGGGAGCAGTTCTGACATTTTTAGTTGCTGGAACATTAGCATTTTGAATAGCATTTGCTAGGAGCAGTTCTGACATTTTTAGTTGCTAGAACATTTGTTATGTAATAGCATTTTGAAGTTGTTTTGGAATTGCCCATTGAAAGTGACTTGTTTTGGAATTGAACGGGGAACAGCAACTTGTTAACATTTTGAAGTTTTTTAGTTTTTGTAACATTTGAAGTTTTTTAGTTGTTGGAATATTTGAAGTTTTTTAGCTGCTGTACTTCCATCACTACTTTTGATGCTTCATATTTGACATAGTTGCTGGAACATTTGAAGTTGTTTTATTGTTTGTGACTACTTCTGATGCTTCACATTTGACATAGTTGCTGGAACATTTGAAGTTGTTTTATTGTTTGCGGGGAAGTGGTTCACCTTTCCCTGATTTGTGTTTTATAATTTACTTTACTCTACTTATCAACCTTTTTTCTTATATAGGTAAAAATCTTGTATTGTGTATTATCCTAATGCTGCTTAGCTTTTGGAAATGGTTGTGCCTCAGATAGTTCTGTTTGTGGCAAGATGTGGTTTCTCAGAGGAAACACACAGGTCAGGTTCTGGTTCATGTTCCTAGATTTTGTGGGTTACAAGGTTCAGTGAGTGCCTAGAGGATAGCAGAAGTACCTGGGGATTGCTGTCCTTTAGTATATCTTTGGTCATCCCATGATATTTGAATTGCTTCATGTTCATTTATGTGGAATATCTTGAGGCAATTTATCAAATCTGTTTTCATGGGCTCCATTAAAGGGAGTTCATAAAAATCCTATTTAAATGAAAGCTATTCATTCAATTTTTATATGATAGCCAAAAAGTCTTTGAGTTGTCCATCTTTCAAATAAATGATGCTATGTATGTTTGAATTATAGTCACCAATGGTGGAGGGATTCTCTTGCGTGCTCTTTAACTGGCCAATGCTCCAATACGATTATTTGGTGTGCATTTTATACAATTATGCATCTTTTTAGATAGTGGATTCAGATCCCAGATTTGTTAGCTAATACATTTCAATCTTGTATTATAGCTGTTATAGCTATTACAGAGATATTTTTTTTGAAATAAGCAAAGTTACAGCAAAAGCAGCAACTGAAAGTTGATATTGAAACTTGTCCCACAAACACTCAACCAGAAATTCATTCACATACTACATAAAACACTAACTGGAAAGTTGATATTCAAAGGAAACTACTTCTTGATAGAAATTACATTTCCTCCTCATACTCCCCTTGTTCATCCTCGTATTCCTCCTTATTAGCTATTGCATCTTGATACTGCTGTTATAGAGATTGAAATCTCTGTAACAAAATTTGTGTTGTTGTTGCAGAATTTCCTTTGTTTCTATCATTAGAAGAATTAAAGTTTAGAATGAGATGCTTTTCATTAAGTTTTGCTGTTGAAACAAAGGTCAATTGAATAAGGCAATTTGAATCTTCCATTGCACATTCCTTCAAAACCAAAAGAACTACAAGATTCAATTTACACAGTACAACATTCAATTTACATAACAGATGGGAATGGTGCCAACGTTCAATTTTTTACCAACTTCATAACCACAACCATGATCAACAACATAGAAATTAATACTAGAAATCCACAAATCAACAGCAACAAATCCCTAATTCCATTTAATGAATTACAATAGAATCTTGCAACTTTTTGGGCTTCTGCAATCCTTCTTCCAAGCAACCATTAATGCCTTCAACTCCTCTCACTGCTTCATTCTCTCTGCTTGCTTGATTGAATCTAATTGGTTAATCATCCCATATAAATCCAGCACAATAAAGTGTTCCTTGCATAGCACAATTCCAACATTAATAACACAAAACTAGATTCACCATTTATACCCAAAAATTGACAAAAATAAATTTGCACTTACATAAGATCTAGAGCATTTCCAGAAACGTCTCCCACGAGTACTATTTGTCTTGGAGATTCCCAATCTCATTTCGCTGTTACAGAATTGACACCTTGGAGCTTGGCCATAGTTCGACATCTCCAAACTTCCCCCAAATTCGCCTAGTTCGAATGGGAAAGGTTGAGCCATCGTTCTAGGTTAATAACATGGCTCGATATGACCGTAATGCCCCTCCATGTGAGGGGCACGTGCTGATGCCCTAACATAACTAAAAGAGATTTGACGGAAATTGAGAAGTGTCCTCGAATTGCTTGGACTCTTAAACCACAATGGCAAAAATGACGAAATTGAAAACACAAGGACCTTAGTGGTAAAAGTTGGAAACCACAGAGACTACAGGTGTCGTTTTCCCTAAATTATATAATACAATTTTAGACTCAGGCCAAAAACTGGAAACCACAAGAATCGAAACAAAACAGGGCAGTCCGAGTTGGTTGGGTCTTGCCTATGAATTTTTGTCAAAATTGGACCAGACCAAACCGGTCTTTATTTTCAATTCAAACTCCAATTTCATGAGAAAACTGCCTTGAGTATTGAGTTCAATGGATCTTTCAACTAATTTGTAGATTATCAAAAGAAAAAAAAAGTAAAGATTTCATTACATATGTATTATGTATGATATTTTGGTCTTTTTGGTTACTTTGGAATGTATTGTGAGTTCAAACTTTTTTTTTTATAAATATTTGTAAGAGGGCCCCTCACACATGAAATTATGTATTTGCCATTGATAAGACCACTAGGGTGTGCCTCATGGATGACCTAGACATAAATGATCATGTGGTTACGTACAACCCGACAACTACCTCTGACCATGAACCTAGTGCCATATTTGTTATAAAAAATATAATTTTCCTTTTCCGTAAAGCCAAATACAAAACATATTTATTATAAATAACATATAAACAAATTGAAAAACTTTTAAGGTACAATGAAATTGAAGAAAAACAAATTAATGGGTAAATAAAAGCAAATTAAATTATAAGTAAGAAGGTGAGTTTGGTACGGTGAAGTACGTCAAAGACGCTGTCCTAAAGCTTTTGTAGCCTCCCTATGTGCAGGTACTGACGGTCTACAAGACTCCAAAATACGACCCCTTATACACAAACTCAAGATCCGCTATGAGCACATTCATATACAGATATAAGTATCTAAGTCACAGAACCATTATCAAAATAATAATATAAAGTAGAAAATATATATAAAAGTAGAAAAGGAGAGAATTAGTTTGTGATGGTGATTGTGGTATGTGATATTTTGATGGTGATTGTGGTATGTGATATTTTGATGGTGTATTGTGATTGTTCAAATGTGAAGGAGGAGTGGCCTTTTATAGGCATCCAAAAACATGTAACCTTCACCACATTAAACTAGAAAATTAAGTAGAAATAAAATCTGAAAATTAAATATTTATAACCCCCACAATAAATAAAATAAAACAGCCAAAATAATAAATAAATAAAACGGTTAAATTTTTAAAACCTATTTAAAATTCCAACAAAGTTTTACCATGACAAAAAAAAAGTGAAAATATATATTTATATATGGGCAACATAATACTATGCAGTAGGTGTAGGTACCTTCCGGGCTTGAACCTTCACTTAGTGATGATAGTCTCCATTTGCGGAACCTGAGTGTACAAAGTATTGAACTCAGCACCTTTGACCAAACTTCAACATATCCCAAACATAGTATTGGTTGAGACTTGGATGTGGGGTAGCACTATTTATGCCCATGCGCTAATCTTCATTCTCATGAGAGTTACTAGAGAATAGCCCAATTCTCACAACCGTGGCCTCACGACGTCTCTCACTGTGAGTTCTCCAAGCGGGAGTTTGCCCGCCTCGAAACTCATTCAGGGATAAATCCCCTTTGAACATCACATAAAATAGCACTTTTGCCTTAGGGATGAGCAAAAGAATATCTCAAGGATATCTCCATAGTTTTACGAGTGCTATATGAGTCACGTAGTATGAATTGTTTCTACCATATTGAACTTCCTTCATGGGATCGCCAATCACAAAAGTTGGGTTACCTCCCTCGGTGACTCCCTTATGGGCTTAAGCACATCCCCCTCGACATTTTGCATCAATAGCCTCCTCCACGAGGCATGCATATCAGGATCACTAACCTTCACAAAGGCATATATAATGTAGGTTATGTCTTTGTTCTCCATTTTAGCGCGCTTTAAACCTACATGTTATTAAAATATTTCCTACACAATCTGGCACACAAATAATTAGTTGATTTCACCTTAGTATAATTGGAAAGTATATACACATTGGTATACATTAAAATATAACGAAATCCCACTATATATAAATTCATATAATCTGAATACCTCTCAAATATTGGTACTCAAATATGGGTCTGCAATAGTCTTTGAAACTTTGAGTGCACTTGATGAAGCTATTTACAAACTATGCAATGCTTAATTCATTAAATAAATTTAATTATAAATACCAAGTATTTCAGGATCCTCTTACTCCTTTTTGTGCACTCTAGGTGGCTGAAATCATGATCACATATCCAAGTTAAAATTGTATCTTCTTGATTCTCAATAGGAACCTATAAGACAGTAAGAAGTCTACCAAAATTTTATACCAAGGTCATCATTAGTTGCACACATTTTCATGTCAAAATTGAAGACGAGTTAGTCTCATAATAAACTTTCATAATGAAACAAATTTCACACAGACACAGTATGTTTGCCAAGGAAATATAAAAATTATTATGTTACTGTGGGAGCAAATTTCGTCCCACTAGAATATTCGTATAAGATTCCTTCGTCTTCTCCACTTCTCTTTCTCCTTGCAAAACAGATCGGGGTAAAAAGACCACACCCAGGGGCTGTTGGCCAAAGGCCCTCAGATGCCTAAGTTAGGTAGGGTATTTCAAGGAAAACCGGGTGGCTGGAGCCGTGTGTGGTGGCCGGAGCCTTGTGTCAAAGAAAGAATATGGTGGCTAGGGTTTTGGAGAAATGATTTCTGCAGAGTTTCAGTAGGAATTTAGACGTACCTTCACCTTTTTGTGTGTCAGGACCCGCCCCGAATTTCCCGAAACCCGAGACGAATCTTGTGGAATTCCCGACATCACCCCGATGTCGGGCCCACTCACTAAAACTATATCCTCTTTTGCCAAAGAGGAATAAGGGCACGAGACTTTCTGCCGAAAATCCGGCAGTCTCCCCTATAATTTGGACTTTCCCCAAAGTCTCAACCTGCATAAAATACAGTTTAATATCTCAACCGGCAGCACGCACAAAGTAACAACATGCAATTCACAAAAATGGCCTCCGGCCTTCCGATAATTCTAAGTAACTACCAACACATTCAATATGCGAGGTTTTAACCTCCTAATGCCAACACAAATGGTTTAGGCCGCAACCCACATCGTAATAATCCAAACGGGTTTGCCCCTAATTCGACCACAACATGCTAACACCACCCTCCCGTAGGTCAAACGGGAGGGTGAACAATTGTCCAATGACACCTCGGTTTCATCTGAGTTCAGGACCAAAGACAAGGTCAGCACCACTCAACAAAGTGCCTAACTAAATCTAATCCGCGACTGCACCTTATAATTGTAGGCTGCCTACATACCCTTACTAAGGGATCAAGCCACACATAGTTCTTTCTCTACAACCTTTTTTCTGTAAATCACAACTCAATAATACTCACTAAAATCTCCCCATACGCCGAAACATCCAAAGTCACGTATGGGGCTTGTTTGCACGCCGGATAATCCTACGGCACGTGGGACCTCATCATCAGATCACAATATCCCCCATATGCCGATACTACGATCAACGCCGCATATGGGGTCTGTCAACACGCCGGCTACTCCTATGACACGTGTGACCTCAACACAATATCACATATCTCCCCATACGCCGGGACATCCACAACCACGTATAGGGTCTGTCAACACGCCGGCTACTCCTACGACATGTGCACAACCACGTATAGGGTCTGTCAACACGCCGGCTACTCCTACGACACGTGCGACCTCACAAGCATAACACAATAACCCCTCATATGCCGGTACTACGACCAACGCCGCATATGGGGTCTGTCAACACACCTGAAAATCCTACGCCGCATGCGACCTCATAAGCATAGGGTGGTACTTACACAGTGAAATCAATATCCGGGGAGGTACATAGGGTAGTGCGTATAGCACTTCAAACTGACATTCTAAGCTCTTTTTATACCTTTATATATTCACAAAAATATATAAAAATTCTAATATTATATAAACCTCGACAACAATCTAGCATCCGATAATCCCCCAATTAAAATAATATACTACTATCCTAGATCCACATAACTCAACAACGCTCAAGCCCTGTCATTAGGGTCATTATAACCCTCCTAGGATGGTAAAACTACCTCGGAAGACTCACGGTCAACCAAGGGTCAACTACCCAAACTTGGTCAACCGGGCCCGCGGGGCCCACGACCTCCAAATTCCGATCCAAAAGTTCCTATAGGTCCTGCAAGGCTTAGGACACAAGTCCTGCAAGTTTGGTCCAGATCGGACGGTTGGATCGCTCACGATCGCACGATCGGACAGTTACTATAAACCTAACCCTAAGGTTGACATTTCCAGATTATCCGGAACTCCGTTTTACGATCCGTCAAATCCTACACAATCCTAGGAATACCTAGATCAACATATATTAAATTGGAGTCAATCCAACGGTCCGAACCTATTGAACCCGGATAACGCGTAATAGGCGATATCCGTTCGGGACTCTAACGGTATCCAAATTGGAATCCGAGCACACCTACGTGCTCATGACATCAAGGGGATTGCATTGGGACAAAAATGCCCCTCATCTACAGTGCCCATGCGCCGCCACACGCGCTGGCAGCACGTGGGTGTCCAAAGCGATAACCCATCGCTGGAAAATCTCCAAACCTCGGCTCAAGACTCCTACCTAGGTGAAACACTATATTGGAGTCACTTTTGTTCTTGGGCATACCCCAAAAACTGACCGGAAGTGGCCGGAATCACTATCCCGAAATCGGCCGAATTTCAATTCGTAAATCGAGTTGCCTACGCTACAAATTGATCAATTCCTACCCAACAGGCAGCTAGAGCTCGGAAAATAGGTGAGAAAGCATGCCTTGATCGCAAGATTTGGTACACGGAATCGCTGGAACGAGCTCCGGAAAATCTGGGTAAAAACCGGCCTGAAATTTCGTATTTTCCGGCAATAGGCGGCGGCGGCTAGGCTGCTGTGGGGCGTGGTGAGTAGAGGGGGGCTGGCCGGTCATTTTGGGACCGGTCCGAGCTCCGATGGCGACGGCAGCCACAAAACCCATCGGTCTCACTGTTCGGGGAGGGGGTATCGCGCGAAGGAGAAGATCGGGGAGAGAGAGAGAGAGAGAGAGAGATCTGAGGGCATTTATGACTTTTATCAAAATCCATTTTCCAACTATTTACGATTGTGCCACTGAGTTTCATTTTATCGTAACTCTCTCGTTACAACTCCGATTGGAGCCCACTACGTGTCTACGGACTCATCTCAGTACGACCTACGTAGCCATACCACTTGTTGCTGTAAAAGCCTTCCGGATAAGAAATGACCAAATTACCCCTACTCCAAGGGCAATTTCATAATTTCACTTAATTAAGTTAAGTAGGGATTAAATTCGGAGTTGGGGTGTTACAGTGTGTGGCCATCCTTTTATAGTGGTATCGGAGGCGAGGGTTTCAGAGGAATAATTCCGTAGATAGAAATGAATTATTTCTCCCCGATTTGGAATTGATTTGCTTAATTAGGGATTTGATTTATTAGGGTAAATCAAATCCCTAATTGTGGTAGGTATCAAATCAAATCATAATTTAATTAGGTAACTCCTCATTTAATTGGGAATTGGGGTAGGAATCAAATCAATTCTCAATTTAATTAGGTAATCCTCAATTAAATTGAGTAACTCCCAATTAGGTTGAGTAATTCCCAATTAGGTCAAATAATCCCCAAATGGAAGGAATTATTTGACCTAGGGTCTGATTTAATTCGGTTCCCACAAATGCCCCCTAGCTTCTGCATGGCGCGTGGTGGCATGTCGGAGATGTGAATTATTTGTTGGGCTCCACAGAATGTGGAAGAAATAAAAATAAAAATAGATTTCAGATTAATAAACAACAACAGCTCCGCAGAATCTTTATTTATTACATAGCATCCAAACTGATCATTCTGACTCACTCTTAACAAATTCTAACAGAAATAAATTAAGGCAAACAATGGCGAGCTCACTAGCCGAACACACCCTGCTGGTCCTCCTTAAACACATTCTTCATCGTTAAATAGATGGTTTACTTTAGCAATCCGATGTAGTGGCTCCAACACACAAGGAAATAACGAAAGGCGTATTCTCCTCAGATATTGTTGGTACTGTGACGTGCTCTTGAACTATCCACCGAACTATCAACCACGTTCCTGAGGCTTTTTGGGATCTTATGCTTGAACCTGCCCCACAACTTCCTTGACAACCAAATGATAAGGCGAATGGTGTGCATTGAAGCGATGGTTATAAGCAATGTAGGTAGAGTCAAAACCATAATTAATACCAGGAATGCATTTGCAACTGATCGCAAACTTGTAGTATGATCCCAAACTAAGACGAGAGCCATTGAATAGGTGAGTGCCATAAAAGCGAGAGTGAGACACATGGCCATTGTTAAAAGCCACATAATTACACGATTCCGGAGGGGAAATCCGCCAACGAGCAAAAAGGTGACACTGAGAGAAGCAATGAACGAGAGGGTATTAAATGTTCCGAACGCGATTAAGTCATCTCGGTTGCTGTCGCCTTTTCCAGCGCTCTGGGGTGGGTTAACTGCAGCTTGGAATGTTGAAGTTGATATCATGGTTGCCACAACCATCAGCATGCCACGTGTATCTTCCAACCAATTTTCTGGGTATTCCAAGCAATTTACCAGACTATTTATCAGACACCAAGCTATCGCTACTGCTTTGTTCAGAATCTGACCAGCAGCGGCAGTAGTTCTTTTTGTTTCCCTACCTGGGCCTGGCTCAACCAAAATTTGATCAAGTTCAGGTAGGCTGCTCTGGTCTCTTGGATTTTTTTCTGAGGAATATAACTGGATCACGCCATTTTCTTCTTCTTTTACAGCAGGTATCACCTGCACAAGTGGTACCATTAATATATTGAAAACTTTGTTGCTTGAAACCAGGCATAAGAATCCCGTGCAGTGGTGGATCCATGAACTTTTCAGGGGAGGTGGAATATTTGAAACACTAAAAATTCAAAAATAATTTAGATAAGCAAATGCCCTTAGAATTTAAACAATACTAATGTAATTTAGATAAGCTATCTATTATTAATTGATTACAGTCTATATGGTATATCAATTAATATGAACAAAATCCATGTCAATGGACACAAGTAGTTTACCAAAATTCATATCAAATATATATGAACAAAATCCATGTCAATTACATAATTCCAATTAATCTAACCAAAAGCTAGCACATGTGGTTTGGAGTCACGAGATAAAAGTACACGGGATTACAAGTTCGGGGTAATTTTGATGAATTTTTCGGTGTACATTTGAGTTTTTAATGAATTTTTAAATTTTTTAAGCTAGTCCAAATAAAAATTGACATTTGGCGGCTTGCTATTGGACTATTTAAAAAAGGTATCAAAATTGATGTGGAGTCTTTCTTCCTCGTCAAACCCGAACATCAATTCTTAAAAAACTTCTAAAATTCATAACTTTGGTTCTGGAGCTCCGATTGATGAACCGTTTTCTTCTATATGCTCATGAGATCGAGTCTAACAATCTAGGTAAATATTCAGGGTCTCACACAACAGTAAACAAAACAACCTCTTTGCGGCATTTAGTTGAACATTTGTCAACACTAGCAAATGGGTAAATTCTAGCATCTCCAAGGAAGTTTCCGGCAAGTCTCTTTGTGCCTTTGTGGATCCGCCAATGATCGTGTGTAGGATCAAAAATTAATCTCAACTCAAAAAACAATAATAATGGTGAATAAAATTAAAATTGTAGCTGTCTCGAATTTGATGTCTCAAATGTATTAATTCTAAGAAAAATTATGTATAATGATTATAAAAAAAAACTTTAACAATTAGCATATGGTAAATGGCTATTTTTATTTGGGGTAGGTGAATGAGTTTTAAATTTTGTTTTGTTAAAGGTCAATGAGTAAGCCCATATGCTATAGGAATGACTAACATTTACATTTTTGTCATTTTCCTTAATTTTTATTTTTTTGCGCTAGTATAAACCCCCCACCCACAACCGACACCAGTCGCCACCACCCGCCAACACCCTTTTCCGCCACTGACACCAGTCACCATTACCATCCTCCGCTGCCACCCATTGAACACCATCTTCGGCCACCACCCACCACTAGTTGTCATGTGACACCATTTTGGGGGTGTTGATTGGGTTGGCGAATTCAGAGGCATAGAAGGAGAAAGGGAGATGGAGAGAAGGGATTCCAGCGAGGATGGGCCAGTCAGATCATCATGGAGTTCAGATCCAACCCGATGTGGTTCTCGTTGATATGATATGCAAGACTTGTTGCACGATGCAGTCGTAGGCGTCGAGGGAAGAGAGAGCTTGAACAAGAGGCAAGCCGAGAAAGTGTGGTGGAAAGGTGAGAAGATAGCGGGGGAAAAAGCCTGAGAGAGCATAGGATACGTCGATGGTGGGAGATTGGGGGTTGGAAATGAAGTTGGAGTTTGAACTCGACGTCTATGAGGATGTCGAATTTAACCGCGACAAAACCCGACCTGGGTTTCGAAGAGAGAGAGGAGGAAAAGAGAGACATGAAAGAGAGAGTGTAACACCCTGACCCAACAAATTGTTTTATCTAATTAATTAATTGTATAATTACATTTTTGTTGTTGGGAGTAGGGGCACTTTAGTCACTTTTTGTTTAGGAAAGAATTTGGGAAATTGAGCTGCACCGTTGCGTAGAACTCGTTGATACGAGTTCGTATACAGGCGGCAGGTTCAATTCGAAGTTAAAATGAAGAATAAACTTTCGAAATACTAATGTTTTCAATAATATTTTTGGCAGTTTATATTCCTTACATTTTAAATAATCAAACACGACTTTATGAGATTTTAATACAAAGTATATACATTGACTTGTTGAGGTATCAATATTGATATAAAGTACTGTATCTTATACTAAGACTGGATTTTTATATTTTGATTTGTTGGGAATTTGAATTTCTAGTATTTTTAATGGGGGATGAAAATAAGGGAATATAAGGCAATGTGCGGGCCGAAGGTTTTAAATCCTAAGCACAAGCCCTACCCAACCTTAGAAGGTTGAGCCGAGCGGGCCTAATTAACCATCGGGTCAGGCTGGACTTTGGCCCATTGAGCCTCGAGTTACCCACTTTGGCCCGCGGATTGCGAGCCAAATGATGATCCTTATTTTAGATAATCCATTCCAGCTTATTTATATGAGATATTTAGTGATATACCCATTTTTAGCACTAATATTATAAATAAACCCTACACCATTGAAATTCTATAAACAAACTCAAAAAAACCCAAAAAATGACAGCTGGTCTTATTAAATTTAATATTGATTATTAAATTACTTTAATGCCCTATTGAGTGTTTTGGGTATTTTTATAAGATTTTGGGGTTGGGCTTGTTTTAAGAAATTTATTGTAGTTTTGTAATTTATAAGAAGTTAAAGCCTATTTGTTATGTTGTAAATAGGCTTTGGGTGTGTTTATAAGTCCATTTCATATGGGGTATTTTTATAATTTGGGCCCCCATATTGGGTATAATAGTGAATCTCCCTTTATATGAGATATTTAGTGATATACCCATTTTTAGCACTAATATTATAAATAAACCCTACACCATTGAAATTCTATAAACAAACTCAAAAAAACCCAAAAAATGACAGCTGGTCTTATTAAATTTAATATTGATTATTAAATTACTTTAATGCCCTATTGAGTGTTTTGGGTATTTTTATAAGATTTTGGGGTTGGGCTTGTTTTAAGAAATTTATTGTAGTTTTGTAATTTATAAGAAGTTAAAGCCTATTTGTTATGTTGTAAATAGGCTTTGGGTGTGTTTATAAAGTCCATTTCATATGGGGTATTTTTATAATTTGGGCCCCCATATTGGGTATAATAGTGAATCTCCCTATTTATATTAGCCTCAAGTGTTTTTAGTATTTTTTCAATTACTTGTTTCTCCTTTTAGTTCTTTGTTCAATTTCTAGACTACTAAATGCTGTCTTGTACCTAACACACTAAATAAAACAGGAATTCCCTTGGTAATGATAGCCAAAATCATCATCATCATCAGTAATATGATAAAAGTAGATATAGGACAAACTTACCCCATGATATGATGCACTAGTTTCCGAAGCGCTTTCTGAAATATCACGAGATGTCATGCCCCTATCATTCAAGACCTTTAAGTTGGTCCTTCTATCCAAAGCGAGAAGGTCCACAACCTTCGGATGATGGTACATCTTTGCCAAGTGCAAAGGAGTATTTCCTTTGTTGTCTTTTTGGTTTATCAACATTTGAAACTCAACCTTCTTGAGAAAATATTTGACAAGATTGTCCTTGCCACATCTTGCTGCAACATGGAGTATATTTTGTTCACTTGAGTTCGTCAGCTCCATTGATTCGGGACAATGTCGAAGTAGCTCTTTAACAATGTCGACATGACCTTTGCTTGAAGCATAATGGATCGGAAAGTTGCCACAATGATCCTTTCTATGAGAATCCACGGGACGTCTGCCTAAGAAGCGAACCCCTTCTAGATAACGAATTGATGCTGCATAATGCAGTGGAGTCCTCCCTGTCTCATCTATTGAGTTCAAAATATTTGCTTCCATGTTTGATATTATCTTTAGGACTTCTAGCGTCAATAAATGAATCAAGCATAAATCAGAACAACATGATTATAATAATAATGTTTTTCTATAAAGATGTTGTAATATCTATCAAAATCTATCACACTGTTGCTGTGACAAAAAGAAAAGTCACATTTATATAGGCCCTTACAATTTAAAAACTCTGGACCATAACCCACCAATAATAAAACCTTTAAGTAAACTCAATTTTAAAATTAGATGTCATATAGGATGTGTAATGTAATTTGATTTATTTACCAATTAAGCCGCTAAATTACTCTTTAATTGCTGACAGTTTTTTAAGTCCCTAATTTTAAGCAATGGAATAATGAGCTACAATCCAAATTATAATTAATGGAAACCCCAAATATCAGATTCCAAGTTTGGCTTGGCTTAACTTAAATGGCTTCTATCTTAAAAAAAGGTATATCTTTAATGGAAAATAGGGAAGGACTGAGCCAATAAATGATACTCAATAAGCAATAGCAACCTCAAACTAGGATACTAATATAAAATGGAGCTAATTTTCCCACTTCATTTTCTCCACTTACACTCCCTTTTATTTTTTTAATATTATTTAATCAATTTTGTTCTTTTTTGTTGTTTCTCTTTTCTATTCTACCCTTGCGTTACATTAATTATTTTCAAATCACTTTTATATCATTTCCTTTTCTTTTTACTTTATTTTCACTTGCCCTCATTTTTCAATATTTTTTGGCTTCTTTTTTGATATACCCCCTGAAAGTATATTTGAATCTCACTTTGCCCCTAAAACTCATTTTGTCTCACTTCACTCCCTTTTTCACACATATGTCTCACTTTGTTTGGATTCCGGCGAGGCCCTAGCCAACACCATCCCAACTCCCTGTCTTCTTCTGGTTTTTCGCCCAACAGATCAAATCAAACTAAGAAAATCAACTTCCAAAAAATAAAATCATAAAACCAAACCAAGTAATCAAAAGAATCATATCAAAAACCAACCCACCAAACCAAATCATACCCAACCATTCTTCAGCCACCCAACTTCCTCTACACACCCGACATCAGTTTCACCGCAGCCTCCACACCCAGTTCAACAACAACATCCTTCCAACCACCATCAAAGCCACCCCCCATCCAATCCCTCACCCCATCACCCCAAACCCACCCAAGATTAATCTCCCCATCCAAACCCCCACAGTGGCAACTAATCAAAATCAATATGTAAAAAAATTGAAAAACAAACCCAAATCTCAAGGAGAGAGATGGAGAGATTGGTGAGTATGGAAAAAGAAAGAAAGATAAATGGAGGAAGAGAGGAGGTGGTGGCTGGGGAGGGTGGCGAGGGAGGGCACAAGTTGGGTACAACACAGGAGGGGCTGGGTTTTTTTTATATATTTTGTTTTCTCTTTTTTATTTTGATTTTGAAAGTTGAAGGGAAAAATAAAGAAATAATATAAAAGTGAAGTAAAAAGAAAATAATGTAGAGTAAGGGTAGCATAGGAAAGAGAGAGAACAAAAAATAACAAAATTAATTAAAAAGTATTAAAAAATAAAAGGGAGTGTAAGTGGAGAAAATGAGAGTGGGGAAATCAGCTCCCTCTAAAAATAGTCTCTATAGGTTAATGTAGACAATTTTTTGTCTCTAAAATCAACGGGACAAATTCATATCAATGGCTAGTGTGTGTTTTTTTAGTAGTGATAATGCATACTCTAAATAAAAGGAATTATTATTTCAATGTACGAACCTTTTTTATGGCGGCCTAGAATTGCAGCAAACAAAGGGGACTTGCCTTGAATTTTTGTGTCCTTCTCAACTGCTTTTTTCGTTTATTAGCTTCACTATCTCAACAAGCCCTTCTTCAGTGGCCAGATACAGAGGGGACTTTTGTTCCTTATTAGTGTAAAGTGAAACGGTAGGATCGGCCTCTATCAAACGCTTGGCTACTAATTGGTGACCTCGAATCAGGGCTTCGTGCAGGGCAGTGTTTTCCTCATTATTTTTCATCCTCAGCAACGTCAATACATCATCAGTATTTTCAACGTTTGTTGTTCCTTGTGCTTCACGGAGAAGAGTGTTTGTTGTCGTATGTACATCCCCAGCTTTGGCCGCAATGTGGAGCGCAGTGTCACCTTCGGAGTTTTTCTTTAACAAAAGGGGCTTGTGTTGTTGTAAGATCTTGGCTGCTAGTTCGACATGGCCGAAGCTCACAGCTATGTGAACAAATGTGTTTTTCTGGGGACTCTGTCTAGACAGAAACTGAACGCGAGCATTGGGATCCTGAAGCTCCTTTTCAATAGTGTCCTGGAATCTATTTGTGTTGCCCTGAGTAGCATAGCTGTACAGCTGCTGGTACAAGCTCAAGTTATCAGCATCACCATATGTTTCCTCAGAGTCCTGTGTGTGATGATGCACTTCCATTTCCTGTGATGGTAGTTCCGTTAAAGTCCGTACCTCCCTATTAGTTAACGGCTCCATATATGGACTTTAACGTTGCTTTAGATTCCGATTTGCACAACGTTGCAGAGATCGATTAGTGAGTGACTATGAGTGCCCTCTTAATTATATCAACTTAACTATATATATATATCAATACTCTTCATTATCAACTTTAATTATTGCTTGTGATAGTACAGTAAAATGTGAACCTTTTGATACTTTTATATCAACTTTAATTATTGCTTGTATCGCTTCAATTATTGGTTTTGATAGTACATTAGGTTTTTTAGGTTTTAGACATAAAAAAATTTTCACTTTTGGAAAAAGCCAAAGCTTTTTCAAAAAAGACAAAAAAACTGCTCAACTTTCAAATTAAAGACATGCAAATATATTGGATTCCTTAGGAAATTTAAAAATAAACAAGGGCATTTTTGTCCATTTTTGCTTCTTTTAAAAATTTTCTCTCTCCTTTTGCTTTTTCCAAAATGTCCCAATGTGAACCTTGCTTTAATTATTGCTTGTGATAGTACAGTAAAATTATGCTTTAATTATTGCTTGTGATAGTACAGTAAAATGTGAACCTTTTGATACTTTTATATCAACTTTAATTATTGCTTGTATCGCTTCAATTATTGGTTTTGATAGTACATTAGGTTTTTTAGGTTTTAGACATAAAAAAATTTTCACTTTTGGAAAAAGCCAAAGCTTTTTCAAAAAAGACAAAAAAACCGCTCAACTTTCAAATTAAAGACATGCAAATGTATTGGATTCCTTAGGAAATTTAAAAATAAACAAGGGCATTTTTGTCCATTTTTGCTTCTTTTAAAAATTTTCTCTCTCCTTTTGCTTTTTCCAAAATGTCCCAATGTGAACCTTGCTTTAATTATTGCTTGTGATAGTACAGTAAAATTATGCTTTAATTATTGCTTGTGATAGTACAGTAAAATGTGAACCTTTTGATACTTTTATATCAACTTTAATTATTGCTTGTATCGCTTCAATTATTGGTTTTGATAGTACATTAGGTTTTTTAGGTTTTAGACATAAAATTTTTTTCACTTTTGGAAAAAGCCAAAGCTTTTTCAAAAAAGACAAAAAAACCGCTCAACTTTCAAATTAAAGACATGCAAATGTATTGGATTCCTTAGGAAATTTAAAAATAAACAAGGGCATTTTTGTCCATTTTTGCTTCTTTTAAAAATTTTCTCTCCTTTTGCTTTTTCCAAAATGTCCCAATGTGAACCTTGCTTTAATTATTGCTTGTGATAGTACAGTAAAATTATGCTTTAATTATTGCTTGTGATAGTACAGTAAAATGTGAACCTTTTGATACTTTTATATCAACTTTAATTATTGCTTGTATCGCTTCAATTATTGGTTTTGATAGTACATTAGGTTTTTTAGGTTTTAGACATAAAATTTTTTTCACTTTTGGAAAAAGCCAAAGCTTTTTCAAAAAAGACAAAAAAACCGCTCAACTTTCAAATTAAAGACATGCAAATGTATTGGATTCCTTAGGAAATTTAAAAATAAACAAGGGCATTTTTGTCCATTTTTGCTTCTTTTAAAAATTTTCTCTCTCCTTTTGCTTTTTCCAAAATGTCCCAATGTGAACCTTGCTTTAATTATTGCTTGTGATAGTACAGTAAAATTATGCTTTAATTATTGCTTGTGATAGTACAGTAAAATGTGAACCTTTTGATACTTTTATATCAACTTTAATTATTGCTTGTATCGCTTCAATTATTGGTTTTGATAGTAACATTAGGTTTTTAAGGTTTTAGACATAAAAAATTTTTCACTTTTGGAAAAAGCCAAAGCTTTTTCAAAAAAGACAAAAAAACCGCTCAACTTTCAAATTAAAGACATGCAAATGTATAGGATTCCTTAGGAAATTTAAAAATAAACAAGGGCATTTTTGTCCATTTTTGCTTCTTTTAAAAATTTTCTCTCTCCTTTTGCTTTTTCCAAAATGTCCCAATGTGAACCTTGCTTTAATTATTGCTTGTGATAGTACAGTAAAATTATGCTTTAATTATTGCTTGTGATAGTGCAGTAAAATGTGAACCTTTTGATACTTTTATATCAACTTTAATTATTGCTTGTATCGCTGAGGCGTTCCAATAATGAGAGAGAGAGAGAGAGAGAGAGAGATATTCTTCATTATTCATGTTGATGACGCATGCCTAGTGCACGTCATACTACGGTAAAATGTGAACCTTTTAGTAACTTGGGTAAAATGTGGCTCTCCTATGGTGGACTTTACTGTGTTTTCTTGTTTCCTATTTTTTTTTTTCTTTTTTTCATTTTTAGTTTGAATTGTCCTTTAAAAAACGAAAGCAAAAACCATACCAAAATGTTTTCTAAAGAAAAGAAACATTAACAAAAACCCAGTTGTTAGATTAGCAAAAACCATACCAGAATGCTATTGTAAAAAAAGGATAATAAGGTCAAAAGGAAAAGGAAAAGAGTAGCACATGAGTTAATTACACTTTTAACATCCCGAGAAAATTTAATTAACAAAAAGAAGTTGGACAAAATCCTATTGAGAAGTACATATTAAAACTGACAAATATACATGCAGCAAACTTATGATTAAACTTATTAAAGGAACTCAAAGCTTTCTTCTCATTTTTTTGACTTGGTTAGTCCAAATTACAATATGATTATATTAAAAAGGAAAAGGGAAAAATAAATCAATAATGAATGATGAAGCAAGGAGAAAAGAAATGAATTTGGAGTAAAAAAAGTAAGTACATATCATTGTTGATGTCGGTGAATGGTTTATTAGCCTCTTCATTGCCGTTCTTATCAGGATCGTACATGTGGGCAAGCTTCTGTAAGCCCTCTTGGAAGACTTCTCACCAACGATGAACAAAAACGTACAAGTGTTGCAAAAAAACATAAACATTGTTAAGAGTAAAGATTAAAAGAGAGACGGAAAACTGATCACCTTAGGAAGAACTGCAACATTAATACAGATATTATTACAAAACAAACTTTAGTTTATCCACAATGAAAGATTCTTAACAAATACTGAGATCACAACAATACAAATTATGACTGTAATCCTCAACATAGACATTAAGCATCCACTGTTAACTTATTGAATCTTGAACATTAACCTTGGTCTGCCATTGATGTCAAAAACACTGAGAGAGAGAGAGAGAGTTCTTCTCTAAGATTAGCTCCATATTCCAGATGGGGTGAATATCTTGATGAGTTGTGTATCGGCTCTTAGAGGGAGCTATTCTAATTATACGCATCACTCAAGGAGTCTTGCCTATCAAGAAACTCCTTAAAGTATCCTTAATGCAATAGAACAATGAATCCTAATTCTAATAAAACTAGGAACCCCTTTAGCCTTGTAATCGAATTAAACACTAATACATAGGCTGCTGGATGAGATTGTTTAGAGTCCTTGATTAATCCTTAGTCTTTGCAATCCAATAATCATTAGAAGACCAACTTCATGTGAGTTTAGGATAGTAAACTATCTTACATCCACTACCACTATATGCAGAACAGACATTAATTCTAATGTAACACAAACACCACAATATTATTAGAGGTTAAAAGGTGAGTTGACATACCTCTGTTCCTTTGCGGCTTGGGTATAACATCAATTAATGAAAAAATGACCATCACTCCAACTCCAACTATTGTTAAAAGACTTGACATCATGATATAAATCTGGATACCAAGTATACACTGGAGAACCAACAGCGATTCATCATTTCGCGCATTAAAAAAAAAAAAAAAAAAAAAAAAAAAAAATAGGTTAGTCATAAGAATCTTTACTAATAATGAGGATTTGACACTTGAGAGTATTTCTGTTTGGGTTTTGATACATAGAAATCAAATTTTGTTGTGGATATGCCAGAAGAGGAGATCCAGATTCGTTGGGTTGTCTAAATTATAAATGAATAAATGATACTCAATAAGCAATAGCAATAGGATACTAATATAAAAATAGTCTCTATTGGTTAATGTAGACAATTTTTTGTCTCTAAAATCAACGGGACAAATTCATATCAATGGCTAGTGTGTGTTTTTTTAGTAGTGATAATACATACTCTAAATAAAAAGGAATTATTATTTCAATGTACGAACCTTTTTTATGGCGGCCTAGAATTGCAGCAAACAACGGGGACTTGCCTTGAATTTTTGTGTTCTTCTCAACTGCTTTTTCTTTTATTAGCTTCACTGTGAAATCCTGTATTTTTTAATACATAATTATCTTGGTTAAATATATATTAGTATGTGTAATTATCTTACGTATATGTACATATTGTTGTTATACTTTTATATTAATTATTATGAATATTATTATAATAATACTTATATATTTATATCTTATTACATATATTATTCTATTATATATATACATATATCTTAATATATATGTGTGTATTACATAAATATCTTATTCTATTTTATCACAAAGACATTCTTCCTTATCTCTATATATATTACTTGGATAGGAAGTATAAATCAACCGCCATTACACTATCCAATAGGAAGTGTTTTACTGCCGACTTATTTCGTTATATATAAGACATTATGTGCATATTATGTATGATATTATTATTGGTATTGGATGTTTAAGTACTCTTAACTGTTTGAATAATGTTGGCATAATTATATCATGTCATGGTAATTGGTTGGAGTTGTTGGATGGAGAAGATAAAAATGGAAAAGAGGGTAATGGATATAGTCTTTTGTGTAGTTGAGTCTAACTCTTGGCAGGTACCAGGTCTCAGGGATCCCACAGTGCACATGGTTTTTATTGGATGATTCGGGACTGGCGAAAGGGAGTTAGAAAAGATGACTAACAAAAGGGGAATTATGGGACGATTGAAATGAGTGTTAGTTCATATAAATAGGCATTCGGGACCAAGTGGTATAAGCATGGTATGGGACGTGCAGGTCTGCTTGTCTAGTTATATGAATTAACGGGAGTAGAGGAAGAGCATTCATGTATTATTATTATTAATATGATATTTGGCTGTGTGATTTCATGTCACTTAATTTAGTTATATCTATCTACTGTGGTAAGGTCTCATGTCCCTACTGAGCTGTGGTTGTTCATCCCTCACCCTGTTTAATTTTTCAGATGAATTAGTGGGCAAGAAAAGGAATAAACCAGTTGAAGCTGAATTAGATAAGAGTGTTAGAGCTTTATTTATTGTAAAGTTGTAAGATTTTATATCTATTTTTATAAGAGAAGTTTATTTTAAACCATGTTTCAGCATCTTTTTATTTTATTTTAGTTTTTATTTTCTCATGCGCTGGGCGCGGGGTTACCACCAACCCCCGGGTCCAGGGCGTGACATTCACTATCTCAACAAGCCCTTGTTCAGCGGCCAGATACAGAGGGGACTTTTGTTCCTTATTAGTGTAAAGTGAAACGGTAGGATCGGCCTCTATCAAACACTTGGCTACTGATTGGTGACCTCGAATCAGGGCCTCGTGCAGGGCAGTGTTTTCCTCATTATTTTTCATCCTCAGCAACATCAATACATCACTAGTATTTTCAACATTTGTTGTTCCTTGTGCTTCACGAAGAAGAGTGTTTGTTGTCGTATGTACATCCCCAGCTTTGGCCGCAATGTGGAGCGCGGTGTCGCCTTCGAAGTTTTTCTCTAACAAAAGGGGCTTGTGTTATTGTAAGATCTTGGCTGCTAGTTTGACTTGGTCGGAGCTCACAGCTATGTGAACAAATGTGTTATTCTGGGGGCTCTGTCGAGACAGAAACTGAACGCGAGTATTGGGATCCCAAAGCTTCTTTTCAATAGTGTCGTGAAATTTATTTGTGTTGCCATGAGTAGCATAGCTGTTGTTTGTGCAAATAATCTTGCGGGAGAATATTCGCTTCTAGATCCTTCAACCTTCGATCTTCCTTCTCTCTCTTCCTCGATTCCTGTGAAAAAGATTGGAGTAAATAGACCATACCCGGGGGGTGTTGGCCAAAGGCCCTCCAATGCCTATGTTAGTTCGAGTGTTTGTAGGAAAACAATAGCTAAGCAAAGGGTATGGAGTTTATGTATGGTGTGAACCGGGCGGCCGGAGCCGTGTGTGGTGGCCGGAGCCGTGTGGAGAAAATATGGAGAGTGGAGAGTGGAGAGGGAGAGAGAGCTACATATATTTTTCTCGGGTATTCGGAGTAGGTTTAGATGTACCTTGAATGATGAATGAGGTCGTCTATTTATAGGATCCTCGGGGCTAGGGTTTTGTAGAGAATATGCTGAGTTTATTCTCTACCCAAATTCGTAGGGTTTGCATCGGACTTAAATAATATCTAATTTAATGATATTATCTCTCTTTATGAAGATAATATCTTAATTAAATGATATTATCTCTTTTTATGAAGATAATATATGAATTAATGATATTATCTTTTCTTTATTATTAGATAATATCTGAATTAATGATATTAATTAAGATATTTATCCCAATTAATTAATTGGCAAGATAAACTGGTTCAATTAATTAATTTAAGAGATAATCTTCTTTTCCACGTGGCGCGCTGTGATTGGAGACGAAAATATTTGTGCCCACAAATGCCCCCCAGCTTCTGCATGGCGCTTGTGTGGCATGTAGGAGATGAAATTATTTTTTTCGGGCTCTCCAACTATGTTTGGGCTTTCTTCTGTGAGTTGAACTCCTTTTGCAGATCGGATTCCCAATTGGTGTAGGCTTCTAACTGTTGTTGGAGTTGAATTCCCAGTAGGAATGAGCTTGTGATTCCTTCTTGACCCGGGTTGTCCAACTTGTATAAATACAGGGTTTCTCTTCACTCTTTCTTACATCGCAAACTTAACTTCTCTACTTTCTAACTTGAGAAAGATCTTGGAGAATTTTGTACTGCTTGTCGAAGAGAGGAGTTGCCGTGCATCCCAAAGTAAGTCAAGCATGTAAATTTTTTCTTCGTCTTCCCTTTTTTGCGGCGAGGAGCAGCTGGGTGGGACCAGGCTGGTTGTCGTCGTGACTGGCGGTCAAAGACGATTGGGGCGGCGGTGGCCGTTGGTGGTTGCTGAGCGACGATCAGGAGGATGGTTCGAACCCTGATGATCTGCTTGCTGCACAAGAGGAGTGCTCTGCTGAACCCCCCCTCAAAGAGTAAGGCTGATGTCAAGTCTTCGAGAACTCAAGCTACTTCTTGACGGGCAAGGAATGTGTCTCCATTAAGGAAGAAGCCAAGGCTCCCTTCTGCTGAGAAGACCCAAGTAGGAGCTGTTCCCGCATCATCTGTTAGGGTCAAACATCTTGTTGGTGTAGATAGCAAGAACATTGGCGGTATGCGCAACATTAGGGAAGCTCCCTTTAAGCCTCTTGCTGACGAGTTTGGAGATCGTGATCTGCTCGGCGAAGTGGTCCTTACGTGGTCTAGCTGACCTGTTGAGAGGCAAAGAGATGCAGATTTTCCTCTCCAAAGTTCAAGTTGCTTTACCAGTCGAAGAGTGGAGGTCAATGTGGGAGGTATGCTTATCCAACCAACCACCATGATCCAACTATTGGGTCCCGTGCAGTCAAGTGTGGAGTTGATCCCGTGCAGTCCCGTGCAGTCAAGGTTGGCAGAGGCTAGGAAAGCAAGAGAGTCATCTGCCCGGGCGAAAGGTTCTTCTGCAATGTTAGTGGCTGATCCAAAGATGGACAAGTCTAGCCCTGCAGGGGATGCATGTGTGTCTGATCTGCTCAAGACACACTTTCTATCAAGCCCATCCTCTTGTGCTGAGCTGGTTGATCAAATCCGTCAGGCTGGCGATCTTGGTACTTTTTCAAGTTTTTCCTTGGAAAATCAAAGGGAAGAAACATTTCATCTCCTTCAAAAAAGCGGTGGTGGCAGACATGGTGGATCAGGCAGGTGGAGCTGCTGAGAGTGTGGCTAATCAGGCGAATACTGAAGAGTCTGCATATCAGGAATCTCCTACTGGCGTCTCGGAGTAGATGAAGATTCCTTTATTTCTTTTCAGCTTTTGTAGTCTGCTCTTTGTTTAGACTAATTGGTCTTGTTTGACTATCTTCTTTTTGTTGAACTTGGCCGATTAGTCACTTTACTAAGGAAATTTCAGTTATTTTTTCAACTTCAATTTGCATATTGTCTTGTGAACTGCTTGAGTAACTGGCTAGTGTCTTGGTTGTGCATTTCCCTTAGGATTTTGGCAAAAGCCAGGGTCCCCCTTGAGGGACTCCGGGTGTATTCTGCATTTTTCAGAAAACCCTTAAGATGCTTCTGGTCGTTGCCCTGCGTCTCCCTTAGGACGCTGCTTATGGACAACTATATGACTATCCTGCCCCCTTAGGAAATGGATAGGAACCTGGATACCTTCCTTAGGAAATTCCTAGCACCCTGCGGCTCCTTTAGGATGCTGCTTTGTAGGCTGCGTCTCCTGAAGGACACCTTTGGTCGTCGCCCTGCATCTCCCTTAGGACACTGCTTATGAGCAACTCTTTGACTATCCTGCTTCCTTTAGGAAACGAATAGGAACCTGGATATTTCCCGCAGGAAGCATGGTGACCTCCTTTTAAGAAATTCCTAGCGCACCCTGCGTCTCCCTTAGGACGCTGCTTCGCGGGCTGCGTCTCCCGAAGGACGCTTGTCGCTTTGCGTCTCCCTTAGGACGCTTTTATGGGCAACTGTATGACTATCCTGCCCCCTTATGAAACGGATAGGAATCTAGATACTTCCCTTAGGAAATTCCTGGCGCACCCTGCGTCTCCTTTAGGACGCTTCTAGTCATCACCCTGCGTCTCCCGAAGGACGCTGCTTATGGGCAACCGTCTTTTGTTGGGGCACATTCTGGAATTTGCAGTAGTTGCTTCTCTTCTTCAGAAATGTGCAGTACTCAATCATCTGCTGGAGACTGAGCAGGTAGGAGGAAGCGTTATGGATAGTATCTTTGGAGGTGGCAGGCATTCCACTGTCGCGAAATCTCCTTCCCTTCCATGGTGTCAATTGTATAGCTTGCTCTGCCCCCGGACCGGCTGATTACGCAAAGGCCTTCCCAATTGGGTTTCATCTTTTTAGACCCTTGTCTTGTGCAGTGATGAAGGCCTTTCTTAGCACAAGGTTGCTTGGTTGAAACTGTCTGATCTTGGCTCTTTTGTCATAGTAAGACTTCAACCGCTGTTGATAGGAGGCGACTCGGACAATGGCCTTCTCGCGCTCGCCTTCAAGTAAGTCAAGGTTGAGTCTCATCTGCTCGGAGTTCTGCTCAATATTGCCCACTTCAATGCCTATAGAGGGGACAATGACGTGAGGAGGAATGATCGCTTCAGTTCCATAGGTGAGGGAAAACGGGGTTTCGCCAGTTGATCTACGTTTGGTGGTGCGATAAGCCCATAGTACTCCAGAGAGCTCATCTACCCATTTTCCTTCGGCGCCTTCTAATCTCTTCTTTAGACAATCCAATATTATTTTATTGGATGCCTCGGCCTGGCCGTTGCCCTGTGGATACCTCGGGGTAGAGAGATGCTGCTTGATGCCATACTTTTTGAAGAATGCGGTGATCTGCTTGCTGATTAATTGTGAGCCATTGTCGGTAACTAGCGATTATGTACAGCCAAACCGGTATATGATGTTTCTCCAGATAAATCGCTCAACATCGGCTTCTTTAGTAGATGATAGAGCTTCGGCCTCGATCCATTTAGTAAAGTAATCAGTGGCGACGATCATCATTTCTTTCTTGGCAGGTGCCGTTGGCATGGGGCCTACTAAGTCGATGGCCCATTGCATGAAAGGCCACGACTGTTCTGCGGATGGTAGATTTCGGCAGGCAGATTAGGAACTGGTTTGTACCGTTGGCAGCGATCACATCTTTTGACATATTCCGTGGAGTCATGGCGCATGGTAGGTAGAAATAGCCTACATTTAGAGCCTTTTGGGTGAGTGACCTACCCCCAGAGTGGTTGCCACACTCGCCATCGTGAATTTTGCATAGGACCTTAAGTGTTTGAGGGTATTTTATGCAAGTGAGATGAGGGCCGAAGTATGATATGTGAATAAGATTGTCGCCTTGCATGTAATATCTCGTGGCTTTCTGTTGGAGCTGGGGGTCCTCATCAATCTGCATTGAGTCGATTGGCTCTATTTCTTCGATGCTTGGCCGGTCAAAGTGTTCAACTGGGATGTAGTGTCTGAACTGGGTGTCCAGTACTAATCCTAGGCTCGCCAATGCATCTGCATGAGTGTTCCCTGCCCATAGAACTTGTTGGATGGTGAAAGTAAGGAATTCTTTTAAAATTCCTTGGACTTTGTCGAGGTACTGGACCATTCTTGGATGCTTTGCCATGTACTCTCCTGATGCTTGATTCGTGATCAGCTGGGAGTGTGAGTAGATGGCCAATCTCTTGATCGACAGTTCTTTCGCTAGGTGCAGTCCTGCAAGCAATGCCTCATATTCTGCCTTGTTGTTTGAAGCAAAAAAGCCCAGTGTGATAGCTTGTTCCAACAAAGTTCCGTCCGGGGAGACTATGATGACTCCCGCTCCCGCTCCTTTGTGATTTGATGCTCTGTCTACATGCAATTGCCACATGTTGTTAGGTAGGTTCGAATCGGTGGGGGAGGTGTCGTATGCTTTTTCCTTGCTTTTCGTGACCATTTTCTCTTCTTCGGCTGTCGAAGTAAACTCTACAACAAAATCTGCTAAAGCTTGGGCTTTTATAGCAGTCTTCGACCGGTAGAGGAGGTCATATTGACTAAGTTCAGTCGCCCATTTCATGAGTCGCTGAGAAGCGTCGGGGCTATGGAGGATCGATCTCAAGGGAAATTCTGTCACGACAATTATCCGGTGTGCTTGATAGTAGGACCTTAGTTTTCTCGCAGAAATGACAAGCGAAAAAATGAGCTTCTCCATTTTCAGATAGTGAGTCTCTGCATCGAGAAGAGCTTTTGAAGTGTAGAATACCGGATGTTGTGCCCCCAGCTCTTCTCAGATGGGGACTGAGCTGACAGCTGAGTCGGACACAGCCAGGTAGATGTACAAGTCTTCGCCTGGTATCGGTTTTGAGAGTAAGGGAGGTGAAGTGAGGTAGGTTTTCAAGTTTTGAAAAGCTACTTCGCACTCGTCATCCCACTTGTCTTTGTGTCCCTTCTTTAAGGCTTTAAAAAATGGCATGCACTTGTCGGTAGATCTTGAAAGGAATCGGTTGAGAGCTGCAACCCTACCCGTTAGACTTGGTATCTCCTTTGTTGTGGTAGGTGACTTCATATTGAGTATAGCCTTGATTTGATTTGGATGTGCCTCAATTCCTCTTTGGGTAACTAAGTATCCAAGGAATCGGCCGAACGAGACTCCAAATGTGCATTTGCTCAGGTTCAACTTCATGTTGTATTTGCAGAGTAGGCTGAAAGCCTCGGAAAGGTTCTCGATGTTGTCTAGTCGCTCGGGAGCTTTGACTAGCATGTCGTCTACGTAGACCTCCATAGTCTTGCCGATTTGCTCCATGAAGATTTTGTTCACCAGCCTTCGGTAGGTTGCTCCGGCGTTCTTCAGCCCAAAGGGCATGACTTTGTAGCACTATGTACCTCTTTCGATGATGAAGGAGGTCTTTTCCTTGTCGTCTTTATGCATCATGATTTGATTGTAGCCGGAGTAGGCGTCCATGTAGCTTAGCAGTTGATTGCCAGAAGTTGAATCGAAGAGCTTATCAATTCTTGGTAGTGGAAAGTTATCTTTAGGGCATGCCTTGTTGAGGTCAGTATAGTCGACACACACTCTCCACATGCCTTTATCTTTCTTTTCTACTAGAACAACGTTCACTAGCCATTATGCGTAAGAGACTTCTTAAATGAAACCGGCAGCTAGAAGCTTGTCGATCTCGGCTTCAATGATGGGAACCCGCTCGGGGGCGAAGTTACGTCTCTTCTGCGCTACAGGCCTGATAGCTGGGTTGACGTGTAGGCAATGACAGATAATCTGGGGATCGATGCCAGGAATGTCGGATGGCAACCATGCAAATACGTCTTTGTTGTTCCAGAGGAAGGCTGCAAACTCTGCCTTTTCCTTCTGGCTTAGGCCCGAGCCGATCCACACTTTTCTCTCTGGCTTGTCAGGATCAAAGGGTACTAACTCAACGTCCTCATTGGGCTTCCATCCTTTTTCAGGAGAGACCTCCGGACGGATTCCCTCGACTTGATCCTGAACTTTGATTGCTATTGGGGAGTAGCTATTCCCTTTCCTTTCTGGTATGCTCGGCCTTCAGGAACGGGATCTGCTTTCTCCTCTGTTTGTTCTACTCCCCTTAGATCTACCTGATTCACAGAGAGGAACTGTGTTTGCTTGCTTCTCTTCAACCTTCGAGTTGAGCATTTCCTCGCCATTGCCTGGTCGCTGTTAATCTGGCAGATACCGCCCCTAGGGATTGGGTAGCGGATCTTCTGATGTGTGGCGAAGGTGATGGCGTTGATATTGTCGATCCATGGTCTACCTAGAATGCCATTATAGGGTGAGACTTCATCAACGACCATGAACGTTTGCGAACTGATTACAGGTGGGGCGTAGACGTCGAGCTCTATTGTGCCTAAGGTAACCATTGTTGCGCCATTGAAGCCAGTCAGCGACTTGGCTGATTTATTGATCTTTGTCTCTAAGCCCATTTGTTAGATAACTGCCAATTGTAGGATATTGGCTGCACTGCCCTCGTCTGCATGGCTTCGGTCGACCATGGCCTGAGCGATTTGAATGCTGATGACAAGGGCGTCATTGTATGGCAGATCATGGCCAATTAGATCTTTCTTTTGGAAGCCGATCACGAGATCTTCTTTTGCCAGTGGGAAACTAGTGGACACTTGGGAAATCATGGTGGCCTGTTTGATTTTTCTATTCTTTTCTTTGTTGGTCAGCCCGGACTCCTCGGAGTCGGCTAGGATTGTGCTAATCCTTATGACCTTCTGGGGTTGCTCCTTGGCGGTATCGCGGTCCTCTATCTGCTGGATGGCTTGCTTCGCGATGAACTCTGTGCAGTGACCTTCTCTCACGAGTTCTTTGAGATGTGCTTTCCAAGCAAAGCAATTGTTCGTATTGTGGCCGTGTGTTGCATGGAAGGCACAATACTTCCTGGTATCCTTCTTATCCGGATCTCATTTCAAGGGTGGCGGTCTTTTTACCCAAGGTTTGTCCTTCACTTGGGCTAAAATTTGATGAATAAGGATGGAGAACTTGGTGTAGTTCTCTTTTGTCGTGGCATCTCCTTGTGGATGCGACTTGTGTTTGTCTTTGTCCCTGCTACCAAGCCTGTCACTTCTTTGGTCTGCCTGTAAAAGAGGGCTTTGAGAATCGTTTCGGGGGTGAAAGGTGAGGAGTTTGCTCAGTTTACCTCAACACGTAGTGCATCTTCGAAATTCCCACAAATCTTTAAGTCTCAAAGTCGGTTATTCACAAGCTTCTCAACGTCTTCTGCACACATGGCTGGTCGGTCACGTTGACGACCTTTACAATTTGGGCGAGACTGAGTAACTTCCTCATTGGTTTGCAAGGGTTGACTTTCTCGGCTGCGCTGCCTAGGCGGTGTGTTGGTGGATTGCACTTGCGATGGATTTTCTGTAACTCGGCGACGGGAATTGGCTCTTCGAGAACGAGTAGCAGAGCGCCTTTCTTCATGGTCCTCATTGTGAGGGTTATCAAGTTGACCTCCCTGGGGGCCTAGCCTCTCGTGAATATTTCTCTGCGTATGGGCAGCAGAGTGCCTTTCTTCATGATCCTCATTACGATGGTTGTCAGTTTGACGTCCCTAGGAGCCCAGCCTTTCATGAACATTTCCTTGCGGGCCCAGGCGAGCGCGGATGCCAAGTTGTGGACCCAGCCTATCGCGCACATTGGTCCTTAAATTCAATTTGGATGGGAGACTTTGTCTGCTCTAAGTGTGGCTTACAGATGCTTGCGACATGTCGGCAAGCTGATCACATTGTTGTGCATCTCCTTGTCTGCTTACTCCTGCTCGACCTACTTGGTTCCCATCGAACTGCCTATTGGCGTGTTCGTTCGTCCTTTTCTCTTCGCCCTGTTGTCCAAGGCCAAGGTTTTGAGCCAAGCTTATTTGGTTGAGGAGCTGCCTCATCAAATTGTTTTGCTCGTCCATTCTCTAAGTTAGCTGGTCAACTCTTAGATTGAGGTCTACTTGACTTCGTGGTTCGGGAGGAGAGACGTGTGTGGAACCCAATTGCACACTGGCTAGGGTTTCATTGGATGTGTTCGCGAGAGCGTCCGTCGAGCGTGGAGGCAATGGAGGGAATGCTTAAAGTTGCTCCAAGATTGGGCCAAAGTCGGCAGTGGTAGTGAGCCCACCTTGATGGGAGGTTCCACCATGCTCGGCGACAGTGGCTGGTGCGGTGGTCTCAGCTGCGAGTTTGGTAGGTAGCACGGTGGTGAGAGGTGGTGGTGCCACCATGTCGATCGTGGGATCATATATGGACTTCAACGTTGCTTTAGATTCCGATCTGCACAACGTTGCAGAGATCGATCAATGAGTGACTATGAGTGCCCTCTTAATTATATATATCAACTCTATATACATATATATATATATATAGAGAGAGAGAGAGAGAGAGAGAGAGAGAGAGAGAGAACAATAACTTGTTTCACTTCAAATGAATATAGTACTAGTTCTACTACAACTCAATATGTCGCTTGGGAAACCTTAAACTGCATTATTTGTTAGAAAACTAGTAACTACTGGAGGAAGCCCACCAGGTCTAGCAAAACCAACTAGGTCCTCATGAAAGTGATGCTCAGCCGTTGGATCTCTAAAAAGAATGGACGGTTGATGTTGGATTAGCAAAACCACCTAGTTAAAATTGATTACTAACATGAATCGCTAGCAACCAAAACAACGAGAAAATGAATCAATGACCCTAATTACCTGAAAGGATAAAAACTTGGACAATTAACTGCCGAAAAAACTGATATAAAAGGGTGTCTGACAAGTAGTGAAAACCAAAAGAGGTAGTCCCAATTTGTTGGTCAGATCAACAATGTTAAGGGACAATTTGTAACGAGTGCTGCTATTTTCACATATGTTCTATTTTCCTATCCACCTTATTTTCAAAATTTTAAAGATAAAATTTACCCCATAACCCTACACGGCATGTGTACTATGGGAATCAACAGACGTGGCTGAAAGCGATATATGGGTGGTGGGCAAGCTCCAAAAGTAATAATCACTTACCATGACAAATCGAAAAAATCAGTTATCTTAGACATGTTTCCAAATGATTATCATTGTTTTTGTTCGTGGCATATGTTGGGGAAGGTTTCTGAAAGTCTTGGCCATGTAATTAAATGGCATGAAAAATTTATGGCCCTAAACCCTATTGAAGACGATAGTCAAAATAGAAGTATGGGCAAGTAAAAAAAAATATATATATATATATATATTCCAACCCTATGGAAAACAAAGGTTTGTTGTTGGTAGATTTAATTATGATATTCTTGTTATAATTAATAATTAAAGAGTATTTTAGGAATAATGGTGAGTGAAAAGATAGGATTGTGTTTTTTCAAATTTATATGATAAGTGGGAAAATAGGATATATAAAGGTCTTTTATTGCTCAAAATTATTGTCGCAATGTGGTCTTTTATTGCACAAACACATAGGGAATTAGGTTCTTACTTGGGTCCGCATGAGATTTTACATAGGAAGTAGCTAGCTAGGAAAGACCCTGAGAGAAATAGAAACTATACAAGCAAAAAAGAAGACAGTAGAGACAGGGCTTATATATTATGTTCTAAAGAGGTCTGGTAAGGTCTGAATTTTTTGTTGCTCCTTGCCATAAACTGCTGGTGATACAGGGATTTTTATAACAGAACAAGAACATCCTAGAATATAGGAGTAAATGCTAACCACCAACTACTATCTGAGTGAAAATTTAATTACCAGCTGCTATCTTAAACACAAGAGGAATGCTAATCAAAGTAGCTCAAAAGCGACTGTTATCATAATCTCTGCATGAGTTTTTATTATTATTGAACTTTCACATTGGAGTTACAATATTAATTAGCTTATTACTTGGATTCGACGAGAAGTACCATCAACATCAAGACTGAATTATTGAATATAGACAACATTCTACTGCTTTCCCGCTTTGCTGTCAACACTGCATGCATGGACCCAACACTCTCTCTGTCTCTCTCCATAGGCAGCTGCCCACACTAGGCTCTATGTAGGTCCGCCATTGACATCAAGACTGAATTATTGAATATAGACAACCTTGTACTGCCTTCCCGCTTTGCTGTCAACACTGCATGCATGGACCCAAACACTCTCTCTGTCTCTCTCCATAGGGCATCGCTTGAAAATTGGGTTTTTGTTTTTGGCTATCTTTCGAGCGTAAGTTTGAAAATTGTATTGTGCAAGTTTAATTGGGCATCGCTTTCTTTCTCTTACTTCCTTTACTTGGTTTGATTTCTGGCCTTTGTTTTCTTTGTGGCTGGATGGGCATCTTTTCATTTCCTTGTCTGGTTTGGGGTCCTTGTTATGTATTATCTCTTATCTTTCTGTGATGTAAGGTCATTTTCAATTGGGGAGGGCTCACTACTACAAAAAGTGATAAAGACGACCAGAAAAAAACGACGGTCTAAGGGAAAACCGTCGTCGTTTTTTAAAAGACGACGGTTCTATAAAACCGCCGTGTAATAACACCTTAGACACCTAAAAAATGGAGATTCCAATGGTTGTTCATAAAAGACGACGCACCTAATTAAAAAACCGACGTCTTATTGAAATGGGATTTCCGCAGACTAAACTCTAAGCCAACAAAGAACGGCAGAAGTTATGAATAGACCGACGTAGAAAGTATAGACGACGATTTCAAAAAAGCCGCCGTTTTTACTCAGAAATTAACATGACGAAGTTTTCGTATAAGGCGCCATATAATTACAAATAAATCCACGGCAGTATAATACAAAATACCGCCATATTAAATTAATGTACAACTACGGCAAAGATAAATATATCGCCGTCTTTCTCGTATAGTTCTACGACGGTATCTTTAACTCTCACTACGTTGGGGTTTTTCATTTAACGACGTATTATAAAATTTAACGTCGTATTTATTTACTTTATACGTCATATCTTATATTTAAACCGTCGTCTTAATAAGAATTTTTTTTAACAATTTATTTCTTGGATTTTGTTATCCTACGTCGGTAGATCAATTTAATGACAAGAATTGAAATAATCACGACGGTTTATATAGAAAATCGCCGACATAATTAGATTTTTCTGAAATCCCAAGGGTTACGAAATCTTACCAGATGGAACTCTGTTCCTCATCATAATCTTACCAGAAAGACAATATTTTAGAGGTTAATGATGTATGTGTATTTGTGTCTTTGAGATACACAAACGCACATACACATTAACATTCAAAAAATTACCTATGAAATTTGACGACGGCAGCCTCAGATTTGCAATCAGAGAGACAATTTTTTGGAAGTTGATGATGTGTGTGCATTTGTGTATCTACACAAACGCGCACACACATCAACATCCAAACAATTGCCTCCTAAAATTTCACGACGACAGCCACAGATTTGCAATCAGATAGACAATTTTTTGAAAATTGGTGATGTGTGTATGTTTGTGAATCAGATACACAAACATACACACACACCAACATCCAAACAATTGCCTCCTAAGAGGTGAGGTGAGACAGAGAAAAGGGCAAGAAAAAGTTGAAACCCTAATTGAAAACTAAAACTGAAAGAACTCGTGAAAAAAAATCTATTTATAATTAAAAAATCAAATCCACGTCGGTTATATTACACATAACGACGTTTAACAAAACGAATCCACGTCGCGAAACAAATATATTGCGTCGTCTTAGTCTCAGAGCAAAAAACCAACGACATAATCAATTAACTGACGTAGAAATTAAAGACGTCGGAAATTATAAACCTACCGCCATCTTACAACAAAAAACGACGACGGTAGAACAAAAAACCGTCGTTGTTTTTATATTCGTATTTGATTTAAATCAATCAACCAAACAAGAAACTTTACAAATTCTAGAACATTAATTTCCTTCATTTATATTTCCTCGGGAAAAAAAAACTCTATTTATAACACACTGTAATTGAAAACTAAAAGTGAAAGAACTCGGAAAAAAAAACTCTATTTATAATTAAAAAATCAAATCCACGTTGGTTATATTACACCTAACGACATTTAACAAAAAGAATCCACGTCGTGAAACAAATATATTGCGTCGTCTTAGTCTCAGAGCAAAAAACCAACATCAAAATCAATTAAGTAACTGACGTAGAAATTAAAGATGTCGGAAATTATAAACCTACCGCCATCTTACGACAAAAAAGACGACGGTAGAACAAAAAACCGTCGTTGTTTTTATATTCGTATTTAATTTAAATCAGTCACCCAAACAAGAAACTTTACAAATTCTAGAACATTAATTTCCGTCATTTTAAATTTCCTCGGGAAAAAAACTCTATTTATAACGCACTGTAATTGAAAACTAAAACTGAAAGAACTCAGGAAAAAAAAACTCTATTTATAATTAAAAAATAAAATCCACGTCGGTTATATTACACTTAACGACGTTAACAAAATAATCTACGTCGGTAATTATAAACCTACCGCCATCTTACTTTAATATACTACGACGACAAAAAAGATGACCAAAAAAGACGACGATAGAACAAAAAACCGTCGTTGTTTCAAATTTGGTCTGTTCTCTTTCTGCAGGACTTGGATAGTTCAAAGCATTGACAATGTCTTTACAAATTCGATTGCTCAGGCTTTAGAGGCCATCTGAAGCCATTTCTATTCTTTATCGCATTCTTGAAAACCCATCTTCTTCTTCTGAAGCTCTACGGATAAAGGAACAGGCTATCACAAATCTGACGGATCTTCTTAGCCAAGAAAATCGAGCAGAGGATTAGGCACATCTGATCTTTAGATTTCCCTTTGCAAAGAAATGGCGCAGTGGACTCGTGCTGAGAAGCAAACTTTCCTTCGACAGCGAGTGGAGGCCAGGCTTGCATCTCTTTTGATGGAAAGCAAGGAGTATTCAGAAGCACTAAGTCTCATATCAGGCCTGATCACGGAAGTGAGAAGTCTAGATGACAAGCTTCTTCTTGTGGACATAGATTTGTTGGAGAGTAAGCTCATTTCTCTTTGAGAAAGACACCCAAATTTTTGTCTTTGAGAGATGAGAGAAAGTGTCTATGAGAGAGGAAGAACTTGGAACCCTAAATGAAAACTGAAACTGAAAGAAAGCGACAAATTTATATAATAAATTTTTAAAACCCACGGCGGTCATTACACACAAACCGCCGTTTAATTTTAAAATCAACGTCGGTTATTATTTAATATACGTCGTATATTATAAAAATCCACGTCGGTATATTAAAAAACCGACATGTTAAATCCTTGTACCATGACGCGAGATATAAATTTATCGACTTTTATTTTGAGTTTACTACGACGGTACCTACAACACTACTGTCGTATTTATTTACCACGTCCTAAGTTCAAATTATTGTCGTAGTTTTTTATTTATACGTTGTCGTTCTCTGTAAACCGCCGTCTTATTTTTTTGAAACGGTTTGTGTATATATTCAACTTTTCATCTACCTGACTTACACATGCACTGTTTCCAAACCCGATAAAAAATTTCAATCTCCGAGAGAAAACTTTTCGTCTTTTTTCCTTGTCAGAGAACTGTCAGTGTATCTCATCGTCTTCTCTCGTCTTCGTCGTCTTCTCTGAACTTAAACACCAAACTCCGAGAGGAAGCTTTCATTGCACGCAAAAGGTAAGCTTTCATTTCTCACTATTTTTGTTGCTGTTTTGCATGCTCATACGGTTTTTGTTTTGAAAATCTTTTTACCTTTTTTCTGGCCAAAATCATTTTAATTATTTCCAAGTTTGATAAAATATACAGACAAGAGGAAAAGTTTCCAACTTTGAACACAACTACTTCAACTAAATAAGACAACGGTAGCTTCTTATTTACGTGGTTAAATATGTAGACCACGACGGTTCATCAGTCGCCCTAGCGTCGTCTGAAAATTGGTCTAAGTTGTTTTTAAAATGACCGTCGTTTTTTTATTTTCTTGTTTGATTGCAGGATTGATTTCTCTGAACCATGGTTTTTGTTCTTCCTAATTTGATAAAATACAAAGAAAAAGAAAGTAGGGTTTGGGATCTTATATAGACGACGGTATCTTATTATTCACGTCGTGTGAATGTTAATACCACGACGTTGTACTAAGATACCGTCGTCTATATAAGATTCCAAAACCTTCTTTCTTTGTCTTTGTATTTTATCAAATTAGGAAAAACAAAAACCATGGTTCAGAGAAATCAAACCTGCAATCAAACATTCACAGACAAAGAAAGAAGGGTTTGGAATCTTATATAGACGACGGTATCTTATTATTCACGTCGTGTTAATTTTAATACCACGACGTTATATTAATATTAACGTCGTTTGAATTTAAATATCACGACGGAGTGTAAATATCGCCGTAATAACTTCTTATTACGTCTTCTTTTATATTGTTTCTTCGTTGTTTAAGTACCATAGTTTTAAACATTTATTACGTCTGATGTTATGTTATTGCGTCGTGTAAAATCTTATCATACGTCGTGTTTTATGAATAACCGTCGTTTGTGTTCTTAATTTTTTCCTGAAATATTTTCACTTGCAGGTTTGATTTGTCTGTAACCATGGTTTCTCAAGACCAAAGTAAGGACTCTGGCTCGAAAAAAAATGGAGGTAAGGAGCTTGGAATGGTAACTCCTCAAGACAAGTCCTTGAAGAAGATGAAGTTTGTTTCATCTGCTGAGACAGAACCAGCCAGCACGACAACAATTTCTGAGGATTCAAAGTTAGGTCGAGGTATGAGCACAATGCCTCGTGTTGTGAAGAGAAAATTTCAGAAAATCAAGCCAGTTGTTGAGTACAATAAAAGGGGGAAGGATGTGGCCCTGCACATACTAAGATGCAGTCTTACATTGGTGTGTTGGCACGCTCCAGAGTCCCACTTGTGGACAAGAAATGGGCTGAAATCCCCAAAGATATAAAGGAGCAGATTTGGGAAGCCGTTGACATGGCTTTTGTGGTAGGTCAAGGGGGCAAGAACCTGGTGTTATCTTCTGCTGCCAAGAAATGGAAGGATTTCAAATCTACACTAAAGAGGCATTATATCCTTCCATACATCAAGGAGAGGAAGAAATTAAGCCAACCCCCTGAACTATATAAATTCATAGAGAAAGCAGAATGGGATGCCTTTGTGGCTTCAAGGTTATCCCAAGAATTTGTGTCTGTGCATTCTCAACATTCAAAGATTAGGGAGAAACTTGAGTACAATCATCGATTGTCTCGAAAAGGATATGCTGGTTTGGAGGATCAATTGGAGGAAACCATGCCTGGGGTAGAAATTGATCGATCTACCTTATGGAAGAAAGCTAGACAAGACAAAGATGGTAACATCCCTGATCCAAAGGTGGCAGAGAAAGCAAAATTAATTGTAAGCCTATTCACTATGTTTTAAATTTTTATTAAACTTTGTATTGCCCTGATAATTCTTATTACGTCTTATGTTATATTTACCGTCGTGTGAATGATATTACTACGTCGATATGTTTTAAAAAACGTCGTTACAGGTCTGAATTTGGAATCGCTACTCTGTCTTTGTAATTATTGCATAAGACGTCAGTGTTTTATTTATTGCGTCGTTTGAATATATTACTACGTCGAGATGTTTTAAAAACGTCGTTACAGGTCTGAATTTAGAATCACTAGTCTGTTTTTTGTAATTATAGCATAAGACGTTGGTGGTTTATTTATTGCATCGTTTGAAACAACTAACCACGTCGTTCTTTAAGTAACGTTGTTATAAATATATTATAACGTCGATTTCTATGATATTGCGTCGTGTGAAATTATATAATACGTCGTTTGTTTATAAATAACCGTCGTGTGTTTTCTTGTGCTGACTTTTTTATATGTCTTTGTTTTAGGATGAATTGCAAAAACAAGTGGCTGAAGGCAGTCTCAGTGTATTTGGCAATAATGATGTGTTGACCTTGGCTTTGGGTCCCGAGCATCCAGGGAGAGTAAAAGGGGTAGGTGCTGGAATTTCCCCTAGGCAATACTTCAATTTACCTAGACAACAGAGGGTAAAGTTTGCCGATCAATTGAAGGAAAGTGTAAGAATTGTCCTTCAAGAAGAGACTAAGAAGATGGAAGCTAGATCAAGGGAAGAGACTTTAAGGATGGAGGCTAGAACCAAGCAATTGGTAGAGGCTGAGAGGGAACATTTACTGAGTCAGCTTTCCCAACTCATCCCCAATTTTGATCCAAGCATGCTTAAACCGAAAACTAGCCCCTGTCAAAACCAAGGTCTAGAGCAAAGTCCCAAAAATCCAATGTCTGACAAAGCAAGCTGCTCTAGGGATGTGAGATCCCTACATTTTGAGGATGATACTGCCAAAAATGGGGAAAAGCAGGAAGAAATGGTAACATATCTGAACTTTGAATTCTCTGTTTTTTAAAAGAGCTATTAGACGTCGTTATTATAAAGCAAACCGTCGTTTGAAATACATACCACGACGATTTTATTAATAAACCGTCGTTTGTATTTCAATACAACGTCGTATTTAGTTTACTTGTTTTACACTCCATTAGACGTCATTATTTTTGAAAACTTTTGTGGTGGTTTAGACGACGGTTTTAGTCCTTACCGACGTAATATATGAATCCCCCCGACGTTTATTATTTACCATCGTTTAATAATTTTAAGACGTCCATAATTTTGACATACCGTCTTAAGTTATGCCTTACCACGACGTTTTAATTTAATTTTTTTACTTTATGTACAATCTGTCTTATATATATATATATTTCTTTTTTACTTAAAACATAAATCTGGGGATTTAGAAAATCAAGATGAAGAGAAGAAAGAAGAAAAAAAAGTTGAAGAGAATAAAGAAGAAAAAAAATATGAAGAAAATAAAGAAGATGAAGAGAAGAAAGAAAAAAAAGAAGATGAAGAAAAGCATAATGAAAAGGTATATTCTCATAACTTTGCCTTTTTTATTTGTTTTTCAAATTTCAGACGTCGATAGTTTCTTTAAACCTCGTTTGTTTTCAAATTAGACGTCGTAATTTGTTTCCTATGACGTAATAAATTATTCAACACGACGGTGTTTTGTTACCGTCGTTTAAATTATTATCAGACGACGTTGTTTTCTTTAAACCGTCTTGTTTATTGAATTACCACGTCATTTTATTTTGCTTTATTTCTTTAAACAGGGTGTTGAAGTAGTTGATTATTCAAAGGTGGAGGTGCCATCTTCCTTACAATCCCTTTGTCGTTATGTGGAAACCACACTAAAGCCTCAGGAGAAGATTATGACCTTTACAATTGGGAAGGAGGTGTTTGGTGCAGATCGCAGTACCTTTGTCTTGCCTGAAGATATTACACAGTTAGCAGGCATGGAAGAAATTGGGGCTACTGTGCTTGCAGTATATATGAGGTTTGTCCTTATCAAATATTTATTTCACACTCAAATTTGTGTTGAAAAAAAAAAATCATTATAGCATAAGACGTCGGTGGTTTATTTATTGAGTCGTTTGAAACTACTAACCACGTCGTTAGTTATGTATTGTCGTTATAAATTAAGTATAATGTCAATTTCTATGTCATTTCGTCGTGTGAAATTGTATAATACATCGTTTTTTTATAATACATCGTTTCTTTATCGACCTTGCTCAAGTTAGTGCCAACGCTGGGTCACTAACTGATAGATCATGAATTGTAGCCAGTCGACTTCAGAAGACAGATGCTGAACAGATTTTCATGATGCCTTACAATCCAAGGTTAGTCTCCTTAACATGATTTTGTTTGTATGATGCACTGCGTATAAAACTGTTTAACTAATTTTGTGCCGTTTGAAACATCTAACCACGTCGGTTCTTATTTATTGAGTCGTTTGAAACAACTAACCATGTCGTTAGTTAATTACCGTCGTGATAAATTTATAATGACGTCGATTGCTACATTATTTCGTCGTGTGAAACTATATAATACGTCGTTTTTATAAATAACCATCGTTTGTTTTCTTGTGCTGACTTTTTTATATATCTTTGTTTTATATTAATTTTGTGCAGCCGTCATTGGGTCTTGTTGATTGTGAGAGCAAAGAAGGAAACCATCTATTTTCTGGATCCTCTGCCTGGAAATCATGTGGTTAATGAGGAGGCCAAAAACATGGTGAACAGTGCTATAAAAATTTATAATTCCCACATAGGCAGACAAGGCCGTAAAGCACCCATTTGGAAAACTCTGTCAGGCACACCAAAGCAACCCAGTAGTGTCGAATGCGGGTATTATGTCATGCGCTTCATGAGAGACATCATCATGGATCCTTCCCTGGAGTTTGAGAAGACGGTAAGAAGAAAATTTTCAGATACATTTTATGTGGTTTTTTGCATTATCAACGACGGTCCTTTAAAATTACCGTCGTTGAATCGATATACTACGTCGGTTATGAAAATAGCGTCATCTGTGATTGAATTTCTTTTTATTTATAAGGCTTAATAATCATTGTTTATGGATTGCAATTTGCCAAGGGAAAAGAGCAACCGCCATACCCCCAAGCAGCCATTGATGAAGTCAGGAATGAATGGGCAGAGTTTGTTTGCCTTCATGTGGACTAGAGGATTTTTAGAACACTTTATATTTTTATAAATGTACAAATTTTGTCTATAATATATAATGTACAAATTTTGTCTATAATATACATCCGTTTTTTCCTTGAAAATTTGTTGAGTTTTTCTTAAAAAAAAAAAAAAAAAAAAAATAAATGCGTAACCGACGTGTAATAGTTTGAAACAAAACCAACGTAAAAAGATATTTAGACGACAGGTATGACGTGGTAATTAAATTACACGGCGACACCTTTTTGTTTAAGTCGTGATATAACGTTTGTACGTCGATAGGACGTCGTTTTAGTGAAAATTTCGCCATGGTTTCGCTTTTAAACGACGTCCTTTCAACAAGTAAGTCGTTTATTATATTTACAACGTCGTTACTTTCTTAAAGTGGACGTGGTTTGTTGTGTTTGTAGGAATATTTTATTCTATTTCATTCAAAATATTAAAAATAAATATAAAATAAATCAAAAAAATGCAACTTCAACTCCTATGAAGTCATTGATATATTTTCTTCCCCCTAAACCTTAAAAAAATTCAGTTTGAGTGATACAAATTTAAAATGACCACCCAAAAATAAATTGTTTTGATAAGTCATAACATCACTTGTAGTTTGATGGTTTAGGGTTTAGGGTTTAGGGTTGTTATTTATTAGGGTTTAGGATTAAAGGATAATTTTTGGGGTTTACGGTTTATGTTTGTTATGTATTAGGCTGCAAAACCATAAACCCTTTTATAAAATTATATTTTAAAAATATATAATTTAGGGTTTAGGGTTTAGGGGGTTTAGGGTATTACTTTTTAACGACGGTGATTGAGTTTACGTCGGATGGTGAAACATCCGCCATGGTTTCTCTTTTAAACGACGTCCTTTTTACAAGTGAGTCATTTATTATGATTTACAACGTCTTTAATTTATTAACCCCGACGTGGTTTGTAGTTGATATAAGAATATTTTATTATTTTTAATTCAAAATATTCAAAATAAACATAAAATAAATCCAAAAAATGCAACGTCAACTCCTATGAAGTCATTGATATATTTTCTTCCCCCTAAACCTTAAAAATATTCAGTTTGAGTAATACAAATTTAAAATGACCACCCAAAAATAAATTGTTTCGATGAGTCATAACATCACTTGTAGCCTGATGGTTTAGGGTTTAGGATTAAAGGATAATTTTTGGGGTTTACGGTTTATGTTTGTTATATATTAGGCTGTAAAACCATAAACCCTTTTATAAAATTATATTTTAAAAATATATAATTTAGGGTTTAGGGTTTAAGGTATTACTTTTTAACGACGGTGATTGAGTCGTGGAATATTGAGTTTATGTCGGATGGTGAAACATCTGCCATGGTTTCTCTTTTAAACGACGTCATTACAAGTGAGTCGTTTGTCATGATTTATAACGTCTTTAATTTATTAACCCCGACGTGGTTTGTAGTTGATATAAGAATATTTTATTATTTTTAATTCAAAATATTCAAAATAAATATAAAATAAATCCAAAAAATGAAACGTCAACTCCTATGAAGTCATTGATATATTTTCTTCCCCCTAAACCTTAAAAAAATTCAGTTTGAGTAATACAAATTTAAAATGACCACCCAAAAATAAATTGTTTTGATGGGTCATAACATCACTTGTAGTTTGATGGTTTAGGGTTGTTATTTATTAGGGTTTAGGATTAAAGGATAATTTTTGGGGTTTACGGTTTAAAAGACGTTATATATTAGGCTGTAAAACCATAAACCCTTTTATAAAATTATATTTTAGTAATATATAATTTAGGGTTTAGGGTTTAGGGTTTAGGGTATTATTTTTTAACGACGGTATTTATGTTTTCAGTCGATGTTTACTTTTTTGACGACGGTGTTTATGTTCCTTTAAAATGACGTTGTACATGAATAACAACGTCATCGATTAAAAAAAAACGTAAAAGGTTATTCAAACGACGCTATTAGTTAAACAGACGACGTGGTTTCTTTAAAATAAACGGTGTTGAGTTCAGTGTTTGAGTCGTGGAATAATGAATTTACGTCGGTTTTGGTAAAACTTTCGCCATGGTTTCTCTTAGTTTTGACGACTTCGATTGTTTTTTTCGTTGATGTTTTAAAGAGCGCGCTTTCCAAAAAAATTTCGAGCGACCTAAAATTTTCAGATTTCGCTCTAAGTCTTATACTTGTAACCCTGAACCCTAAAAATTTCATATTTCGGGCAACATAACATTTCGCTCTCTCCCTTAATCTCTAATTCAAAGTTGGGCTCTCCAGGCTCCGTCGAATCCAAGTAGGCCATAATCTGTGAGCTCTGCCACCTGTAAGTACAAACCCTTATTTTCCCCTTGTAAATTCATTGAATGATATTAGGTTGTTTTGTTAAAGGGTTTTAGATATATGTTGTGCGATCTTTTAGTAATGTTGTTGGAGGTATGGGTTCATGGATTTTCAGTTTAATGTTTTCATGATCACTCTCTGTTACGTTGAATAGGGAATGGATTTAATTTTGTCGGATCTTTTAATCACTCTCTGTTATGTTGAATCGGGAATGGATTTATTGTTTTTATGCTTAGTATATGTTGTTTCATGCTTGGTTTCATGCTTAATACCCAACATAAAAATCAATGTATATGTTGTGTTCTTAATAGGGTTTTGGGTTCTTGAAAATAAACTGGGATATCGACGCCTTTTTAGGCATACGACGACGGTTTTTTAATAAACCGTCGTCTGTATTGCTTATACACGACGGTGTTCTTTATCTACCGTCGTGGTTATAATTAGACGACGTTTGTTGATAAACCGTCGTCTATATATGTCAAATACGTCTGTTTTGTTTAAAAACTGTTGTCTGTCTAATATATTACTTGCTATTAAAACTTTATATAATCTGCTATAGTGATGGTCATTGCTTGTCTTTTCACTTTATTATAGATAATAGGGTATAGTTTTGGAGATGGATAAGTCATGGATGCACTCGGATAGAAGATCGAAGGCATATGAGTTAGGGGTGGAAGCATTTTTGAACTTTTCTGTAGAAAATCTTCTAACTACAACACATATCCGTTGTCCATGTGTTAAATGTGTTAATTTGAAATTGTTTGGGGTTGGAATTATAAGGGATCACTTATACTTTAATGGAGTTGACCAAAGTTATAAGAATTGGACATTTCACGGAGAACCTTGGGAAGCAACTACTAATGCTAGTAGAAATGTTGAAAAAGATGATGACCATAGTAGGTACAGTTTTGTGTATGAAGAAATAGAGATGGATGATAATGATTTTGGTGATTTTGGATCCAATCCTTATGAGTTTGCCAATGTGATTGGGGATGGAGATCAACCATTGTACCTTGGTTGTAGAAAGTACACGAAGTTATCAGCATTAGTGAAGTTGTATAATTTGAAGGCAAAACATGGGATGAGTGATGTCTGTTTTACAGAATTATTGATACTTCAAGGCGATTTGCTTCCAGAAGGAAATACAATACCGGCCTCTATGTATGAGGCAAAAAAGACTTTGTGTGCATTGGGGCTGAGTTATGAGAAAATGCACACATGCCCCAATGATTGCATCTTGTATAGGAAGGAGTATGAAGATTCAACTAATTGTCTTACTTGTGGTATCTTAAGGTGGAAGGAAGGCAAAGATTCAATCTTGAAAGAGGGTGTGCCAGCGAAGGTGGTGTGGTATTTTCCTCCAATTCCAAGGTTTAAAAGGATGTTTCGATCACATGAGACAGCTAAGAGTTTGACTTGGCATGCTGCTAGAAAATCAAATGATAGTCAGATGTCTCATCCGGCGGATTCCCCGTCTTGGAAACTTCTTGATGATAAATGGCCCGAGTTTGGTAATGAGCAGAGAAACTTGAGATTGGCTCTTTCATCTGATGGATTCAATCCCCACAGTTCTCTAACATATAGTTGCTGGCCAGTTATCTTAGTTACATATAATCTCCCTCCATGGCTGTGCATGAAACGAAAGTTCATGATGTTGACCTTATTGATTTCCGGTCCTAAACAACCCGGAAATGATATAAACGTCTACTTGGAGCCTTTGATTGATGATTTAAAATCTTTGTGGGATGGGATTAGAGGAGTGTATGATGCACATAATGGAGAATACTTTACACTCAGAGCTGCATTAATGTGGACAATTAATGATTTCCCCGCCTATGGAAACTTATCTGGTTGTGTTGTTAAAGGATATAAAGCTTGTCCAATATGCGGCGATGATACACCTAGTCACAGGTTGAAAAATGGCCACAAAATTTGTTACATGGGGCATAGAAAATGGTTACCAATCAATCATCCATATAGGAGGCAACGTGCAGCTTTTAATGGGAAACCTGAATATGGCACGCCTCCCGAGCCATTAACCAGAGAAGAAGTGCTACATATGGTTGAAAATGGTGACAGAGTTTGTTGGAAGAAGAAATCAATATTCTTTGGTCTCGAGTATTGGAAATACCTTCCTGTGAGGCATGTCCTAGATGTTATGCACATTGAGAAGAATGTTTGCGATAGTATCATTGGTACATTGCTGGAGATCCCTGGAAAAAATAAAGATGGGATTGCTGCTCGATTAGATTTATTGAACATAGGGGTCAAAACTGATTTGCAACCGGAGTATGGAGAAAGACGTACTCGTTTGCCTCCCGGGCCTTGGAATTTGTCAAGAGCAGAGAAGAGAGAGGTTTGCAATTCTTTCTATGGTATGAAGGTCCCTGAAGGTTATTCTTCAAATATAAAAAATCTTGTATATTTACAAGATTTAAGACTTCTTGGCCTTAAATCACATGATTGTCATACCTTAATGCAACAATTGCTCCCTGTGGCAATTCTTTCTGTTTTGGAGAAGCCTGCAAGGTATGCAATAACTCGTTTGTGCTTATTCTTCAATGCTATATGTGCAAAGACTTTTGATGTTTCCAAGTTAGATAAGTTGGAAGAAGATGTAGTAGTTACTTTGTGTTTTCTTGAGAAGTACTTTCCCCCTTCATTCTTTGATATCATGGTTCATCTTGTATATGTTATTGAATAACATATTGGACTTTTAATTTTCTTCTTTCTATGTTAGATTGAATTAAGATATGATTAATTTGCAGGTTCAAAGTGAACTTAATGAGGAAGACAATCATGGCGTATCAAAAAATTTAAGGTGGCTAGCAGCTGGTCCAAACATGGCAGTGCCATCATATAGGAGCTATCTTATTAAAGGTATTAAATTTAACATCAAGGCACAAGATGATGTGCGGACAACTCAAAATAGTGGAGTTTATTTACTTGCACATACCATGCAAGTTGCTAGTGCCAAGGATAAAAACCCAATTCTCTCAAATATGGGTTTCTATGGTGTCATTCAAGAAATTTGGGACCTTGACTACCAAAAGTTTACAATCCCAGTCTTTAGGTGTGATTGGATAGATTGTACTTCTGGTCTTGTAGTCGACGAACTTGGATTTACCCTTGTAGATTTAAGTAAAATTGGACATAGGAATGACCAATTTGTTTTGGCTTCTCAAGTCAAACAAGTATTTTTTGTTGACGACCCGATGCATCGTGGTTGGTCGGTAGTGTTATCAATGCCTAATAAAGAATATAATGATGTTATTGGTGACGATGATGTCTTAGGTGATGTGAGAATTGAGTGTGAGCCATTTACTAGAGGGATGCCAAATGTTGACACATTTGATGAACTAGTGGGTGAGTTTGGGAGTCAAAATATTCGAGATAGGTGTGAAGATATATGGATTGAATGATGCTTATGTAATTGGCAGTGTATGACATTAATTTTGTAATATATTGTAATGTGATTTCTTCACTTTCATTATACAGGTTTTGGCCACAAAACAATCAGTACAAACAATACTGGTTCAAGATTACAAACACAACGATCTTGATAAAAATGTGAAAAACAAATGTCTGTTCTAATAAAAAATGACGTTTTGGAGCATTCAATGACCGCAATATATTTACCGACGTCTTAAAGCAACGTAACAAAGAAGAACCACGACGCTATTGTGAAACAGTTATTAAAGATATCACGTCGGAGAAGCATAAAGAGCCGCCATGTAATTCAAAATAACACGACTCCAATCCCATAATACCGACGTCTAAAAGACGAGATATCAAACCTGAACCTTACAAAAGACGACGTCGTCTTAACTTTACCATGTCGCATGTTATTTCATAAACGAAGTAGAAAAGGATGAATTCACGACGGTATTTTAAATCCATTAGTAAATTTGTCGACGTTAAGTTATATTTGGACATCGTTCCTTTACAAAAACAACGTTATATGAATGTATCCACATCTCTTTTCTTATGACAATGTTGTTAAAATTTCTTTACACGACTAATATCGGATTAACAACGCCGTCTAATAGGAATTAGACGACGGTAATTTTTTTAATGATGACGTATATATTATGAAACACGGCTGTCTTTTGAATGATAATGACGTTGTATATTGACGACAACGTCGTCTTTATAAATTAATATGTCATAAGTAATGACCCCAACATATTTTCCACGTCGTTTATTTTAAGATCGTGTCGTTAAAACTAGTTTACACGGCGGTGAACTGAGAAATCTTGCCATTTCAAATCCATTAGACGATGATTATATTTTAAGAGATGACGTATAAATTCTGTAGTACGTCTCTCAATTATTTGTAACCGACGTTGTTTATTAGTACAACGTCTTCAGTTTAAATATATGCGTCGTAAGTAATGACCCAAACATCTATTTCCACATCATCATTAATAGAAAAATCGAAGTGGAAAATTCATTTCACGACGGTTGTTGAAAAAATACTGACGTAGTAGGAGTCAATAACGTTGTTGATTATGTGTTTAAAGACGTCATATTTTTATTTGTCGTGAAAGGTATATTTAACGGCGCTGAGTTTTAGTTCTCGACTTTGTATGTATATCTTGCGGCCATGTTCTGTTAATATATGTCATATGTTTCCTTTTTAACGACGTTTTTGTTAGAATTGGTCGTCTATTCTCATCCTCGACTGTTTTTTTAATCTTTTTTTCCATTACAAAGACGTCGGTTATTATTTGTTAATGACGTTGTTTGTTTTAACAACGACAGTGATTTAGCATCGTGGTTTGACACCCAAATAGATGTCGGTCGATTCTACAACGGTTTGAAAACCGAATACACGACGGTGAATTCCCGTCGTCTTTATCCTTTTTTGTAGTAGTGGCTGTATTTAGCCCCCTAATAAATAATTTTATAAGGAGTAGTGTGAGGTTACATTTTAACCGTCTTCAGTAACAAAGGACTAAATTTAATAATTTAATAGTTTTAGTATATTATGTAAATTTATTAGTTAATTTAATTACTACTATTTATATCCTATTTAAAATACATTTTAGAAGAGAAAAATATTTTGGGATATAATTTTTGGCATTCATGTGTCGGCATGTGATTAGCCCTATAGATTTCTGATTATATTCTTTTCTTGTTTTAGTCTTTGTCTTGTTTTAAAAACAACTTAAAAATTAATTTAAATGGAAAAAGATGAAGGATAGTTTGTAAAAGAATAAAGAGAATGTGAGAAATTATGTAAAAAGATGAAATTGATGAAGGATAATATGTAAAATGATGAAGATGTTCTGAGAAATTATGTAAGAATGAGGTAGGTATTTATACAAAAAAATTTAGGAATTTTTTAGAATTTTCTTTTTTTAAAATCTTGACATGACCTTTGCTTGATGCTAAATGGATTGGAAAGATGCCACGATGATCCACTTGATGAGAATCGGAGAGGTGTGTGTCTTTCTAATAAGAAACGAACCCCTTCCAGACAACCAATTGATGCTGCACAATGTATGGTTTAGGGGACCTTTGTTCCCGCGGCCTAGAATTGCACCATGCAATGAGGACTTGCCACTGACAGGAATTTTTTCCTCACTTGTTTTTTCTTGCATTAGCTTCACAATCTCAACAAACTCTTCCTCAACGGCCAGATACAAAGAGGAATTTCCTTCCGTATTACAATCAAAATGAATTAAACGATAGCCCTCTATCAAACGCTTTGCTAAAGAGGTCTGGTAAGATCTGAATTTTTTGTTGCTTCTTGCCATAAACTGCTGCAGATACAGGGCTTTTTATAACAGAACAAGAACATCCTAGAATATGGGAGTAAATGCTAACCACCAACCAACTACTATCTAACATAGAAACTTAATTACCAGCTGCTATCTTAATTCTTAAACACGAGGAATGATAATCAAAAGTATCTCAAAAGCGACTGTTATCATAATCCCCGGCATTGTCCACTCTAAGCATTACACGTATTTGAGAAAATCAAGAAAATTTTAACCAAATGAATTTTCTTACTTTTCCAATTTCAACCCTTTGAGCCCGCTTATTGAATGCCCACATTCTCTCACTTCAGAATTTCTCTCTCCGAACCTGAACCAGACCAAACAAAAGCAACATCAGAGAAAAAAATTCCAACATATGCATCTCATTTTTTCATCTCATATTTCCTCTACCTAAAAATCCCAACATGCATTTCATATCTCATTTCTTCTTTCTCTTTGTTCTTATTGATAACTCTATTATGTTAAAATTTCAGAGGGATAGACTCTTGGCCCATCACTAATAACACCGATATTGTCTCCAACTTAACCATATGTTTAGCAGATGTAGGATTTTATACAAAAGGCCTCGATGTTATTAGGAGTGAAACCATTTATTATATGTGACTTTCTATTTTCCTAAGTTTTCGATGTGGGACTCTACGTATTCTTCAACACTCCTCACGTGGGACCACATTTTAGTGGGCCACTTGTGCAACCAATTCCACATCGGTCACCTATTTTTCATTTATTTATATAATTTTAAATTTGGAGTTTGTTTGATTTTTGGTTCAATTTGCACTACTACAAAAATTGCAATAGACGACGGGAATTCACCGTCATCTAGAAGGTTTTCAAACCGTCATGAAATCGACCGCCATCTTTTGATTCATAAAACAACGATGGCAAATAACTGACGTCGTTAAGACATTCAACATCATACCAAAATAATAATTGATGTCTAATTAATATATAAATAGCATAAAAGGAAAACTTCGACAACATTAGACAACGGTTTTTAAAAAATAGAGACTAAAGAATGTTACATGTCAAGAACTACATAAACGCCGATGTAAAAAAAGTTATCCACGTCTATATTTGAAGGAATACTGTCGTGTATGACGTCGAAACCGTCATGGTTAACATATACTACGTTCACTAAATAAAAAAACTAACATCTAAAATATATAAAAACACAAAAACAATGACAATAACATAAGACCACACATATAGCCAAAACAACACATGACCACACGTATAGCCAAAACCAGGACAATAACACAGGACCACACATATGCAGACAAAGCTTAAACCTATAAATTATTCAGTGCACTAAGTTAAAGTTGTAGTAACTTACCATACTTTGGATGGTCTCGAGACCACCTACAAAACTAATAACTTGGACCCAGAATCACCAGCTCCCTGAAATGCTTCAAAACGCAAACGAATCTTCAAACTTTTCACATATGCCAGCACCAACATATGAATTATAATGGAATTTGCGCAAAACTGGTTGCTTGCTACACATTGAAAGCATGTGAAATTTTGAAGAAACCGAATGCTTCTCACTGTTTCTAACAAACCCATCTAAGAAATGATCTTTTGAGTTTTTTTTTTTTTTTTTTTTTTTTTTTTTTTTTTTTTTTTTTTGGCGGGCTGGCTTTTTCTTCATCCATCCATTTCCCAAAACGGCAGCATTTATGGCAAAGAAAGTAGATTTGATATGGATTGATGAGATGAAGATGAATCCCATGCATGTTGTTACCTTGATACGCGTCCTTATCACTTTCAATACTGATGCACGATCATCATCATTTCTTTTCCCCCATCATCACCATGATGGTAAAAATCAGGAGATGTTTGTTTGCTGTTGCTGCCCTTTCTCTCTAGCACGTAGATGGGTCTCGCACCAAACTGGGTCAAATTCTAGAAAGCGACATAGTCACCATGCCCCATGGAGGTGGGGGGGGGGGGGGGGAGAGAGAGATGAGCAACTTGATCTGGGTTGGAGAGAGTCAAATCTAATGGAGGTGGGGCGGAGCTGTGGGGAAGGTGGGTTGGAGGTCAGGCTGGAAGGCAGGGGAGGGGAAATGGGAGAAGATGAGTTTTTTTTCGTTTTTTTAAATTTTTAATATAAAGATTTTTTTAATTGTTTTTTTATTTATTTTATTTCTTATGTGGAGTCCACGTTAGTTAAAAAATGGATCCCACAAATGCCACATAGGTAGATAACGGATTTTCTGACAATCTCGCTAACGGAAAGGGCAAATTATAGGTTTTCCGCGACGTTGAGTATGTACTCGTAAATGTCCCTAAAATCAAGTATACACTCATAAATGACCTTATAGGTTGAGGAGTTTTATTGTAGTTTACCTAAATTTTATTATTCATTATCTCATCAACAAATTGGGACCGTTTATTAGTTTGTTTCCCTCTATCATCATTTAGATGAAACGAGAGGCCAACAATGACGGATCCATAATTTTATCCTGAATAAATCAATGTGTGAAAATTGCCAAATGTTTGGTAAACGAAAAATACAATGAAAAATTAAAAGATACTACAAAAATGTGAACTAGCTTTTTAACATTTATCACCATTCTATTAACTAGCTTTTTCATATATACTAAGCCAAAATACACCCTTGCATGTTATATCCAAGTCAAATCCTCCATATCTCATAACGTTTTAATTGCCGCTGTCACCAACCTTTCAAAAGGTCACCGACAAAACTTGCAGAGAAAATTTACGGCATTCACAAGGTCACTTGACAAAATTTAGCCCTCTATCCATCCACCCTTGGAGGCTGGACATGTGGCTCTCTTGGTTATGCAACTACTAATTCACTTACAAGTACTTTTCTTATCAGACTCACTTGTAGTCGTAGATACATCAGTTTTTTCAGCAACAAATTGTCCAAGTTTTTACCCTTCCACATAAAAAGGGTACATAATTGATTCTCTCATTGTTTGGTTGATACCTAAAAAAGTCTAGGTATGGTCCCTAGCTTTTTGGAGAGCACTGAACTGCTTTATTTGCTAGATCCTCATCCAGGCAGACCAAAACAAACAAACAAAAAGGATCATCAACGTGATGCATGATATGGACTGGAACAAGGGTTACTTCCAAATGAATGTGTGTGTGTGTGTGAGAGAGAGAGAGAGAGAGAGAGAGAGAGAGAGAGAATCAAGTGATAAGGTAATTATTATTGTATTAAGGTCTCTGGCTAATTATTCTAAAATCTTAAGTGGATATGTAGGGAAAGAAATTTTTTTTTAAAAGGTGTTTGTGTGTTGCAAAATATCTACAGCGAAAAGAATTTTATTAAAAAAGAAGTGCTTGTGCTTTGCAAAACACCTACAACGAAAAGAATTGAAAACAAGAAAGTGTTTGTGTTTTGCAACGTGGAAAGGTCATACTCAAAGATATAGGAGTGATACTAAACGAACCCTAAAATTAGATGACTACATCGTACTACTGAACTATTTATTGAATTACTAATTTACCATAATATAAAATGAACAAAAAGATATATTGAATTGTGTATCCCAATGTATACACCTTTTTTAAGACTTGACATATGTCTATTGTTATAACTATGATAAACTCTTTAATTTTAAATCTTTTAAAGTATTTAAAACCAAAAAATAAAGTGAAATAAAAATAAAATTTTAAATTTTAAAAAATAAAAATAAAAACTCTCTCCTTCCCGACCCACCCCACCCTGAGAACCTATTCTCTACGCCACCCCACCTCAACAACCCTAGTCACCATTTCTCCTTCAACTCCAACAGCAACTCATTATAACCCAATTCTCAAATGTAACAATCCAATCCCAATCCCAATTCAGATGTTTCCAAATAAAACCCATGGTGGTCGCGGTGGAGAACTACAATTCCATGTGGTGGTGGTAGCACAGGAGAGAGGAAAAAAAGAAAAAAAGAAGAGGAAGCTGCAACGTTGAGGAGAGAGAGTAAGAGTTATTTTTGGTTAAAATATTATTTTACTTTATTTTTTTATTTTAAATACTTTAAAAGATTAAAAATTAAAGACAGTATACCATGGATATTTTTGGTAGTTAAATAGGATGTACTTAGTTAATTTTACATTTTAATTTCAACATTAGGGTGTATTTAAATTATAAGGTGTACTCAGTTAATTTTAGAAATTAAAGACATCATTAAATAAATACTTAAAATAATGACAAAATACTGTAGCATTTAATTATAGGGAGGAGTCTTCTCTCTCTTTAGATTTTGAAGCTCTTAGAAGTTTCCCTATTTTAGGAGCTGGATAGGGAGCATGGTTGGAGGTGGGTTTTTTCAATTCTTTCCTAAATTTTAGTTAAAGATGTGGTTTAGGGAACTCATTGTGAATGCTCTAACTGAGCACAGTTTGCCATTTTCAAAGAGAGGCAAATCGGCACAGTAATCCATCTCCAAATCTCGAGATCTGACCAGATCTAGAGATGGATGAGAGAAAGAGCACCAAGGAGAGCGAGAGAGGGTGAGAGAAAGCATAGAAAAGGAGAGGAAGAAAGTGTGAGAGAGAGAATAGAACCGCATTTTATCATATCATATCAACCAAAAACGATAAACCAACCCTCATGGAAAGATTATAAAGTAAAGCATCAAAGAAAAATAAAACTGAATGAGGCAGTTCTGTTAGGCTTCTATTAGAATATTTCACAATAAGTGGTCAAATAATGTTCAAATTTTATTACTGAATTAGAAACCAATCCATATAAGAAAACAACTCATGTATGAAAACATTTCAGGGCAGAAATGGGATTTTGAAATCTGTGATCCATTCCTTCAAGCTGGAAAGAAAAGCCATCCCTGGCATCCAAAATACAGTTCAGAAGCGAAAGGAAATCAAGAGAACACAAAAGCTTATGTGGTCAGCACTCTAGCCTATGTGCACAGAAGAAAATGAAGAAAATCACAGTACCTAATAAATCAGACATGCCGTTAACATACACCAAGACTTAGAATTCAACCCATATAATACAAAAAAAGATAGTATAAGTGATCGTCATCACATTCTGCCCTAATATTTGCAAATATGGCATGAAGAGAACTCCTTTAGGTGAGGATTTCGTAGAGAGATCCTATTTATTTTAGTTCATCTGAGTTCTGATAAGTAATGTGAGAGCAATTATTTGTGAAATATATATTTTCCTTGTAGCACTTCTTGCACAAATTCCTTTTCAAATTTTAATGTGGCCTTATATTGAAGTCTGAGAGTTAAATCTCATGCACTTGAAATTCTGACACCTAACGAATGCATTCCCACTTTGACTAGCAGATTCTTACTGCTATTTTAATCGCACCCCTACAGAATGCCATGAAATGCTTGCGCTGTTTAACATGTCAATTCAACAACGTACCAACAACGTACCATACAATGTCTGGATTGTGTCACTTCAAGTTGTTTGAAAGACCGGCCATGATACATAGGTTTCAGAGTCGCACATCATCAAAAATTGAAAGCTTATTCGTGCACATCTGTACTTAGAACGAAACACAACAAAAGAAATACCACGTCATTGGGTTGGATCTGCAGTAATTGGATTTTCGAGAATCCATAAAGCTTCTAATGAATTATGTTGAGGTGATTCTGTGATCAATGCATTGAGGTGATAATCCCCAGTTATACATTCCCCTCATTTCTTGCAGCATATATCAAAACAGAATAACCTACTAAATCCGTAAGTGGCTAAACCTTTCAAGCTTCTTACATATCAAAAGCCTTTAAAGCTATGTCTTAAACAGAAAACCGCAAACGTAAACAATATTAAACAATATTAGGAAGCTTTCCTTTCTGTGCACTTCCAAAAATCCCTCCACAACGATATAGATCATGTGTCGAACGCTCATCTCAGTACCCACAACTGCAAATGGATTCTCCAGCACAATCCTTCAGGAAATTTTTGACCACATATTTGCCTCCTCTCCTGCAAAACAAACCAATCTTTCCACTCCACAAAACAATGACCACTTCCAGAGATTCTCACATAACGCAAAAGGAAGGGTTAACAAAATACAGAAACCTACTTGAAGCTCTAATTCTATAGCTGAAGATGCCTAAATGAAAGAGAGCAAAGGGTTCAAACCTCAGAGACTTATCTGCCTAAAAATTAACATAGTAATTTTCAGACCAAAAGCTACAATCTTGCAATTATTTCTTACCTAAGCCATTGGAATAAATATAATACATCTGCCCAACTTGACCAAAAGCTGGAACAACTGTAACTACCAAGAAAAATGGGTATATGATAAGACTGACCACAATATAAAATTAAAATAAACTAAAATAAATAAACTTAGGGCTTGGAAACCTAAGCAGATCAAGCCCAACTTGATCAGTTCCAATGATTTCCAAAAATTAATCTGGTTCTATAGCATGATTCAAAGAAGAAAAAAAAAGGGATTAATGTCTAATTACACACTTTAAGTTAGCTATGTATAATTACACACTTGATCAGTTTTTAAATGATTATAGCTTTTTTCTCTCTAAAACTCTAATTAAAATGTCAAGAAAGGAAAAACAAAATAGCATACAGTTTCACAAAAATTCGTTTCATGTTCCCTGGCCAGAAAATAAAATAAATTTTTTTTTGTTGATGTATTAGTATCTCTGTCCTATATAATGCACTGAAGCAAGAAATCAAATGTGTACCTATCAAGGAAAGATTATCCTTTTAAAAAGTATAAATGAGAGGGGCAACAGACAAATTAAGAGGCCAGCAATCTTAGTTTACTTCTTTGTGTTGAGAATTAAGCTACTCACTAAGCTTAATAAGAAACTACAGATGACAATCCTGCAGATTGTTCCTGAGAAGAATGAAGAATTGAAGAACTTTCCCTTTTGGGAAGTAGCTGTTAGCTACTCTAGCTATTTTGGGATAATTTCTACAGCTGGTTTTTTTGTCTGTTTCTTAGCTGTACTGTGTTAACAGACTCTAGCCTAGGTGTAATAATCGTAGCCTCCAATCATCATGAATGGTAGAAGATGAGTCCTTGTATCCAAAAAATTTAGGATCCTGATTTTGGCACCTTATGTCATGTATATGAGCAGGTTTTGCTCAGACCTGAATATATAAAAATACAGAACCTTTTCTAATTCTCTCTAGTTTTTCTTCTCTCTTCTGCATAAACGTTTTTCAATATACCAAAAACCAACATGGTATCAGAGCTCCTGGTCTGAATCCAGAGAGGGGCGTGAGCTGTGAGAGAGAGAGCTTTCCTGAAAAATTCCCAAAAGGGATAAAGGTTGCTCTTTTATTGTTTGGTTCACTAAGACTCACTAGGAAAATGGTGGGATTAGGTTCTTCAGGTGGAGATCTACGAACTCCACAGTTTGATGGTGCAAACTATGATTTTTGGGTTGTCGAAATGGAGACCATCCTCATAGCACATGATCTATGGGATGTAGTTGAGGTCGGAGTACAACCTCAGCCAGTTATTGAGGAGGAAGAAGACTCTGGAGGTGAAGGAAGTGAAGCTGAGCAAATTCCAGCGGAAGCACCTACTATCTCCAGAGAAGACAGAATAAAAAATGCCAAGGCACTGAGTCTCATTCAAGGAGCATTAACTGATGAGCTCTTCCCTCGCATCAGAAATGAAAAGACTGCAAAAAGGTAAGAGTTGTAAAACTTCAAGCAGTTAGAGCAAATTTTGAGTATATGAGAATGACAGATGGTGAAAGCCTAGATAGCTATTTGTCTAAGTTTTTTGGAACTGTGAATAATTTGAAATCACTTGGTGAAGATGCGTCTGAAACAAGAATTGTGCAAAAACTGTAACACCCCGATTCCAAATTTATCCCCTGTTTTAATTAATTTGAGCGAAATTAAGAATTTACCCGTGGGATAGGGGTATTTTAGTCATTTTCTTACCCGGAAGGAATTTTGGAATCCCGGATATACCGTTGCGTAGAGCACGGCGAGATGAGTTCATAAACACGTAGTGGGCTCGAATCGGAGTTATAACGAGAGAGTTACGATCGAATGAAACTCAGTGGCACGATCGTAAATATTTGGAAAAGGGATTTTTGATAAAAAGACAGAATTGCCCTCAGATCTCTCTCTCTCTCTCTCTCGCGCGCATTGCTCTCTCTCTCTCTCCTCTGGTTCGCAACCGCTACCACAGCAGGCCACGTTTTGACCGGCCGTGCTCTCGTCCAGCAACCAAAGTCGACGGGGCCGGTACCAAAACGACCGGGCCGCCGTCCTCTTCCTACCCCAGCCAGGTCCCGCCGCCATCCATCGAGATTTCGCCGGAAAATCGAAGAGAAAAGCTCGGTTTCACCCGAAACTTCGCCGACTTCATTCTCCGTCGTCCGGCCGCCATTTTTGGCGATCCAGGTATGGAAATCTATCCTTTCCTCATGATCTAGCTGATGGATGGGTAGGATTTCGTTAATTTTAAGCCTAGATTTTCTGATTTTTGAGTTAGGGTTCGGCCAGTTTTGAGTTAGTGATTCCGGCCACTTCCGGTCAGTTTTTGTGGTACGTCCAAGAATGAAAGTGACTCCAAATTAGGTGTATTACCTAGGGTAGGAGTCTTGGCTCTCGATTTGGAAGTTTTCCGGCGATGCGATATCGCTTTGGACATCCACGAGCTACCGGAGCGTGGGGCGGCGCGTGGGCACTGTAGAAAAAGGACTTTGGGTCCCGATGTGATCTCCTGGTTTTCATGAGCCCGTGGGTTCTTTCGGATTCCAATTTGGTTGACGTTTGAACCCCGAACGGATTACGCATATTGTGGGTTATCCGGGTTTGATAGGTTCGGACCGTTGGATTAACTCCAATTTAATATATGTTGATCGAGGTATTACCAGGATCGTGTAGGATTCGACGGATCGTAAAACGGAGTCCCGGATACTCCGGAAATACCAACCCTAGGGTCAGGGTTTTAGTAACCGTCCGATCGTGCGATCGTGAGCGATTCGTCCTTCCGATCTGGACCAAACTCGCAAGACATGTGTCCAAGACCTGGTAGAACCTATAGGAACTTTCGGATCGGAATTTGGAGGTGGTGGGCCCCGCGGGCCCGTTTGACCATGGTTGGGTAGTTTGACCCTGGGTTAACCGTGAGACTTTCGTTGTAGTTCTACCTTCCCAGGAAGGTTAAAATGACCATAGTGACGGGTCTTGATTGTATGTTGGATATTGTGGGTTTAGAATATTAATTAATGAATTTAAATGGGGGAGTTTATGGGATGCTATATTGGTTGAGGTTTATATAAGATTAGAAATTAGATATATATTTATTTGTGTGGATGTATAAAGGTATATAAAGGGATCGAATGTTAGTTTACAGTGCTATACGCACTACCCCACGTACCCCCCATACTGTGATTGTGTTGAGGCCTTTAAACCCGTGCGGGCTGGTGAGAATGTAGCCAGGCCCAAAGCAAACAGAATGATGGCTGGTGAGAATGTAGCCAGGCCCAAAGCGAACAGTATGATGGTTGGTGAGAATGTAGCCAGGCCCAAAGCAAACAGAATAATGGCTGGTGAGAATGTAGCCAGGCCCAAAGCAAACAGTATGATGGTTGGTGAGAATGTAGCCAGGCCCAAAGCAAACAGTGTGATGGCTAGTGAGAATGTAGCCAGGCCCAAGGTTGAGGTCGCACGTGTCGTAGGAGTAGCCGGCGTGTTGATAGACCTCATACGAGGCCGGGTGCGTCCCGTCGTATGAGTTGTGATATGTGATATTGTGTTGAGGTCTCACGTGTCGTAGGTGTAGCCAGTGTGTTGACAGACCCCATACGAGGCTGGGTGCGTCCCGTCATATGAGGGGAGCTATGTGATTGTGTTTGGTGTGTTGTGATGAATAAATCCAAGAATGTATGAATTTGTATGGCTATAATGGTTTAGTTGATATTATTAGCCAGGATTTGTATGAAAGATCTACGTGTGGCTTGATCCCTTAGTAGGGTACGTAGGCAGCCTGGGATAGCGCCTAGGTGCAGCCACGGCCTAGACACCACTTAGGTGGTGTTATCGAGTATGATGCGGACCTCGTGGTTGATCTCGAGACTTGGTTGAATCGAGGCTCGTTTGGTGGGCTAAGTGAGTATGATTGTGGTTCGGTTAGGTTTGAGATCCTGGTTGGATTGTTGAACGGTTTAGACTGAGGCCCCAAACTATTTGTGATAGTGATAGGAGGCTAAAACCTCGCGTGTTGGATGTTTGGGGAAGTTATTTTATGTTGATTGCGTGGTTGGTAGTTTGCTTTTGAAGTATTTGAAGGCCGGAGGCCGATTGTGTGAATTGCATGAAATTATATTGTGCATGCTGCCGGTTGGGTGATAAAAATGTGTTTCATACATGTGGAAATTTTGGGGAATGTTCAATTTACAGGGAAGACTCTGCCGAAACTTCGGCAGAAAGTCTCGTGCCCTTAATCCTCTTTGGTAAAAGAGGACATAGTTTTAAGGAGTGAACCCGGCGTGGGTGTGATGCCGGGGTCTCCGCAGGGTTCGTCTCGGGTTCCGGGAAATTCGGGGCGGGTCCTGTCAAAAACTCTTGATGAGCCTAGGTAGAAAATATAAGTCCATTGTGTCTATCATTGAAGAAACTCGAGATCTTGATGTTCTTAGAGTTGAAGAAGTTATTGCATCTGTCAAGGCTTATGATAAAAGGGAAGACTTGCATGATGAAAGAGATAAAGTGGCTGGAACTGAGAGAGCTTTTAGTATCCTCAAGGTTGGAAATAACCAAGTTCATGGCTCTAATAAGGGCTCACAGAGTAGACCAAATCAAAAGTGGTAGGGACAAGACAAAAAGGGATCAAATTGGTCTCAAAATAACAATGGCTCAAGCTGGAATAACGATGCTGGAGGAAATTGGAACAATAGTTTCAATTCTCAGAACAAGCAAGGTAGCAGTAGTCAAGGAAGTGTGAAACCACAATGCCAAGTCTGTCAAAAGTATCATTTTGGTGTGTGCAGGCACAAAGGCAAACCTAGATGTGGAAAATGTAATAGGTTTGGTCATACTACAAAAGACTGTGAAGGCAACAAGCAGGTGGCTAACTGTGCAAAGGAGGAAGAGGTAATCACAGGCACCATGTTCTATGCTTGCCACTCTGCAAGTGTGAAAAATGGAAGTGTATGGTTTCTGGACAGCGCCTGCAGCAACCACATGACTTCTTAAGAGTTTGTGTTAATAAACATTGACAGGACTGCGACTTGCAAAGTTAAAATGGGCACTGGAGATCTTGTACAAGCAACTGGAAAAGGCACTCTAGTAGTTGAAACTCAACATGGGAGAAGGTATATACTTGAAGTGTTGCTTGTTTCGGGCTTGGATGAGAATCTATTGAGTGTAGGCCAAATGATGGAGCATGGTTACTATGTCCTATTTGTGGGTAACATGGCAGTTATTTTTGATGATGGCAGCCTCAACAATGTTGTAGCTAAAGTGGTCATGGGAGGAAATAGATGCTTCCCTCTCTCACTAGAATCGATGACACCTGCAGCTAGAAAAGCATCAGTGACTGAAGATTCTTGGATCTGGCATAGAAGACTTGGACATTTGAATTTTGTTAGCATGAAAAAAATGCAGCAAATGGAAATGGTGGCTGGACTACCTGTGTTAACCAAAATGAAGGATGTGTGTGAAGGTTGTGTTTCAGGAAAACATCACAGAGAGAAGTTTGACAAAGAGGGAGCATGGAGAGCAAGCTGTCCACTGGAATTAGTGCACACAGACTTGTGTGGACCAATGCAAAATGAGTCAATTGGTGGAAATAGGTACTTCATCACATTCATTGATGATTTTTCAAGAATGTGCTGGGTATGCTTTCTCAGAAACAAATATGATACCTTTAATGTGTTCAAGAAATTCAAAGCCTTTGTTGAATTGCAAAGTGGATTTAGTTTGAAAAAACTAAGGAGTGATAAAGGTGGTGAATATACCTCACATGAGTTTCAAGAATTCTATGCAAGCATGGGAATGGAGAGGCAATTAACCATTGCCTACTCTCCTTAGCAAAATGGAGTTTATGAGAGGAGAAATAGAACAATATGTGAGATGGCAAGATCCATGATGACAGAGAAAGGAATCCCTGTGATTTTTTGGGCAGAAGCTGTAAGTACAACTGTGTATCTCCAAAACAGATGTTTTACAACATCTGTGCTAAGCAAAACACCATTTGAAGCATTCACAAGAAGAAAGCCAGGAATCAAGCATCCGAAAGTGTTTGGTTGTATCTGTTATACTCATGTTCCATCACCCTTGAGGCAGAAGTTTGACGACAAGGCTAGAAAGGGAGTTTTTATGGGATATGGAAGCTGTGAAAAGGGTTACAGAGTGTATGACCTGCAATCTAAGAAAATTATGCTCTCAAGGAGTGTAATTTTCAATGAGGACAAGGCATGGAATTGGAAGAGTGATCAAGAGGAATCTATTCCAATACCATTCAACCTTGGAGGAAATGAAATAGAAACTGAATTTGGTGAAGAACAAACTGAAACAACTCAGTTTGATAATGGTGGCAACTCTTACTCAAACACAACTGTTGGTGTTTCAGTAGGAAATAACAGTCAAGCTTCTACACCTAGCTCTACTCCAGTGAAGTTGAGAACTCTGGAAGACATATATGCAAGATGCCACATGTGTATCATTGAACCAGAGAACTATCAAGAAGCAGCTGGTGATTTAGCTTGGCAAGAAGCTATGAATGCTGAGTTGGAAATGATAGAGAAGAACAATACCTGGGAATTGGTTGAGAGACCAGCAGATAAACCTGTTATAGGTGTGAAGTGGGTGTTTAAAACCAAGCTTAATTTGGATGGAACAGTTAAAAAACATAAGGCCAGACTTGTAGCAAAAGGGTATGCACAGAAACCTGGAATTGACTACAATGAAACCTTTGCACCAATTGCAAGGTTAGACACAATTCGAACTCTCATTGCTCTTGCAGCACAAAAAGGATGGAAGTTGTTTCAGTTAGATGTCAAGTCAACATTCCTAAATGGTGTGCTTGATGAGGAAGTATATGTAGAGCAGCCTGAGGGTTTTTAACTGAAAAATGCAAGTCACAAGGTTTACAAGCTGAAAAAAGCCTTGTATGGACTTAAGCAGGCTCCTAGAGCCTGGTATAGTGAGATTGATGCATATTTATCTATGTGCAAGTTCAAAAGAAGCATTAGTGAAGCTACTCTGTACACTAGATCTGATAATGAAGGAGGTTTAATCATTGTCTCAATCTATGTTGATGACATTGTTTGTACTGGAAACAGTGAGAGGATGCTTGCTGAGTTTAAAAGGGAGATGATGCAGAGATATGAAATGTCAAACCTTGGACTCCTTCATCACTTCTTGGGCATGGGAATACTACAAACTGATCAAGGGGTTTTCATTCATCAAAGCAAGTATGCCAAATCCTTGCTTGTGAAGTTTGGGCTTGAAGATTGCAAACCAGTATCCATTCCATTGCCTACTGGTGAGAGACTCAAGAAAGTGGATGGAAGTGACTTAGCTGATGAAGGACTCTACAGAAAGATAGTAGGAAGCCTACTATACTTAACAGCAACTAGACCAGATTTGATGTATGCTGCCAGTTTGCTGTCAGGGTTTATGTCTAGTCCTACAAAGAATCATATGGGAGTTGCAAGAAGGGTCCTAAGATATGTGCAAGGAACTCTCAACTATGGCATTGAGTATGTGAAGGATAAGTCTGCAATTCTCATTGGATTCTGTGATGCAAATTGGGCAGGCAGTGAGGATGATAGCAGGAGCACTTCTGGCTATGCATTCAGCTTTGGAAGTGGAGCATTCTCTTGGGCCTCTGTGAAACAAAATACAGTGGCACTATCAATAGCTGAAGCTGAGTATGTCTCAGCAGCTGAGGCAACAGCATAGGCTATTTGGTTAAGGTTTGTCCTTGATGATTTTGGTGAAATGCAAACTGAGGCAACACCTCTTTTCTGTGACAATATGTCAGCAATTTCTATGGCCAAGAATCCAGTTTTTCATCAAAGGACTAGACACATAAACAGGAGGTATCATTTCATAAGGGAGGCTCTACAAGAAGAAGTGATTGACATGAAATTCTGCAGAAATGAAGAACAACTTGCAGATATTTTTACAAAGGCACTGCCTAAAGACAGATTTAATCAACTAAGGTTGAAACTTGGAGTTAAGCCAGTAAGCAGCTTAGGAGAGGCTGTTGAGAATTAAGCTACTCACTAAGCTTAATAAGAAACTGTAGATCACAATCCTGCAGATTGTTCCTGAGAAGAATGAAGAATTGAAGAACTTTCCCTTTTGGGAAGTAGCCGTTAGCTACTCTAGCTATTTTGGGATAATTTCTACAGCTGGTTTTTTTGTCTGTTTCTTAGCTGTACTGTGTTAACAGACTCTAGCCTAGGTGTAAGAATCGTAGCCTCCAATCATTATGAATGGTAGGAGATGAGTCCTTGTATCCAAAAAAATTAGGATCCTGATTTTGGCACCTTATGTCATGTATATGAGCAGGTTTTTGCTCAGACTTGAATATAGAAAAATACAGAACATTTTCTCATTCTCTCTGGTTTTTCTTCTCTCATCTGCATTAACGTTTTTCAATATACCAAAAACCAACACTTCGTTGATAAGAACTGATATTTGTTTATTCTCACCCAAGCACATCTAGCTTCGGAGTTTTGTATAGGAACAAATTTCGATTCGTCTAACTTTCACTGTTGTGCTTCCAACCAATGCAATAAAGCAGATGATAAAAACTTTTAAGCTTCATTCATTATAGGTGACAACTGTAGATCCGAGTACGCACATAAAAAATGTATCTAGCAAATGGTAAAATAGAAACCTTTCATTCCCTGACTTACCATAAGTCACAGAGCCAGCACCATATTCCTAACCTGAAGTTGCTAGGATTAGATCTAGAGGAGGAAGCAATGAAACTTTCCAGTAATTACATCCCCGATGTTTGTGGATGTGTAGGAAGATAGGGTTGAGGATTATAACCCTCTTTTCGCAGTTCAAGAAGAAGACTCTTGAGCATTGAATATATCTGAGCAGACTGTGGGTGACTTCCATCTGCTGCAACATACATATGAGTGTTGTTGTTAACCTCGATCCAACTGTACCCAGGAACCTTCTGAACTCCTCTTTCCTTCATCAAACTTCTAACCTTAAGCACACTCCCCCATTTTCCAGCATCAGCATGTATATTTGAGAGTAGTATGAAATACCCAGAATTTTGGGGTTCTAAGTCAAAAAGATGTCTTGATGCCTCTTCAGCGAGCTCAACATTGCCATGGACCCGACAAGCTCCAAGCAATGTTCCCCAGACACCAGAATCTGGGGAGAATGGCATACTCTTTATTGTTTCAAATGCTTAACTTAAACGTCCAGCACGCCCAAATAGATCTACCATGCAAGCACAATGCTCCAACCTAGCTAGGATCCCATATTCCTCAATCATGCAACAGGCCGCAAGCAGATAATATACCAAGAAAGGTGACATGATCAAGCAGGATCCCATTACCCAACATTTCATGAAACAGGACAAGAGAGTCCTGAAGGCAACCGTGACTCCCATAAGCAGAAATAATGCTGTTCCAGGAAACTTCATTCTTCTCTTCCATCATGTCAAACACACTGCGAGCAAGAACTAAGTTTCCACATTTGGCATACACGTCTATCAGTGCACTCTCAGCAAACAGATCAGACCTAAATGGCTTGCCATTCTGGGAATAGCTTGTTATCATTGAGTTCCAACAAATGGTGTCCCTTTCAAACATTCTTTCAAAAACTTGATGAGCAAGATCCAATCTTCCAGATTTTGCTTACATGTCTGTAAGCGCACTTCCCAGATGGAGCCTTCCATCAAGCCCATGCTTGAGGATGTTTCCATGCAATTCCTTTCCCAATTTCAGAGCAACCAAACCAGCACAAGCTGGTAAAACACTTGCCAAGGTTAGAGAATTCGGTCGCATTTTCTCTTTAAGTAACCATCTAAAAATTTCCAATGCATTATTATTCATCCCATTGAGAACGAGCCCTGAAATCATAGCAGTACACATGACAACATCAGTTCTGGTGCTTTGTATCAATCTCTTCTTGGAATTTACTTAGCTAAGGCACCCACCGGATCTACAACTGCCGGGCAAACATCTTCCCATGTTGCAGAGAAAACACTTTTTTAGTAAAGGGGATAAACGAAAGAAAAAGGCCCTTTGTTCGCCCGCTTCGCTTAGCTCTCTCAAGCAAATTACCGTTGCTCGTGGACGAAGGGAGAACCCCAGTAGTACCGCGCGGGTAAGCTGTATTCTTTTTATGAACCTTAATTTCGACTCCAAGCCCGCTCTGAGTCTTTAGGAAAGATAGCTTCAAGTTGCAAAAGAAAGATTTCTCTATAGAGGTGTGCCATTTGACGATGGATTCGGTATTTCACAATAGTAGCCGGGATCAGAGAATTAGACAAAACCCCCTCCAGTCAGTAGATCCTACACCCAAAGTATGAATATAGATATGAGTACTTAACCAAGCTGGTTAATTCAATTCCAGGAAAGGGCGAAGACTTTTTCAACAGGCGCTAACCGATTCCAAAGATTCGAAAGCGAAAGCGGTTCCCTCATAAGCATAAGCAAGAATGCTTTCACCCCCCGGAATCGCATCCAGATAAGGAAGCTTGCCAGGTAATAGCATTTGGTAGTCTATCTCATCCGAACAACGTGGAATGTGCTCATGAAGCTGAGTACCAAAACCAATCATAGCTTCTGAGGCACAAACAGACAAAATGCAAGCGAATGTCACTGCATTGGGCTTAATTTCACTATTTCTCATTTCCAAGAACATTCCAACAGCATTCTTCGATTCTCCATTCTTAACATAACCATGAAGCATGACATTCCATAAAACACAATCTTTGTGAGGCATTTCAACAAACAAGCACCATGCATCATGGATACAACCATTGCCCACATACAATTGAATCAAAGAACTACCCACAAATATATCCACTCCAAAACCCATAAACTGGATGGTATCATAGATTGCTTTACCCAATCTTACATTATTCACACCACCACAAGCTTTAATTACACTTGGAAAAGTGTACTTGTCAGGTGAAATTCCAGAACCCAACATCTTGAAGTAAAACAGCTAGGCAAACTCAAAGTAACCCATCATAGTGAACCCTCTAATCATCCAGTTCCAAGGCAAAGTATATTGCAAATCAAGCTGATAAAAGATGTTCTTAGCATCCACAATGCTCACACAAAGAAAATACATACCTAAAATCTTTGTACCGACAAGGCTGTTTTTTAAAAGTCAACTGCAAATAGCATGTGCATGAACTTGTCTACCTTGTTAGATAAGAGAATGATCACTACAAGCTTGCAAGATTGAAGCAAACTGGCTTGCCACTGCCCCTTCCAGATTGAGAAAGTATTTGCAGTCTGTATGTACGGACTTGGATCTTTGTGATGTAATGAGTATGAAATGTTTATAGATTTCAAATGTGATCTTTGTGTTGTTCAAATGTGAAGGAGGAGTGACCTTTTATAGGCATCCAATAACATGTAACCTTCACCACATTAAACTAGAAAATTAAGTAGAAATAAAACACAAAAAAATTAAATATTTATAATCCCCACAATAAATAAAATAAAACAACCAAAATAATAAATAAATAAAATTCCAACAATATTTTTATAAGTTATTAGTCTCTAATAAAGGGTTTATATGTGAAACTCCCTAAACAAAATATTATAATTTTTCATAATTAGGGTCAAAAAGTTTTGATGTCTACAAGGTTCTAGATGCTAACAGAAGAAGAAGAATGGAGGAAGAAGAAGATTGGAGAAATAGAAAACAGAGGAATTGAGAGAACAACAGAGAACTTGTATTTCAGATTTCTTTTTCCTTAACGAGAAATACAGTACAGTGAGTCTTTTATTACAACAACTAGTTCAAGCTTTGCTTAGCTACAAAACCTCCTAAGAATAACCCGCGTGATTATTACAACAACTAACATAACTAATACACGTGATTAATATGATAATATCACAGCCTTGACACATCACTAACTAACCACACGTCAGCTTAACCCCTCTCTCTCTCTCTCTCTCTCTCTCTCTCTCTCTATATATATATATATGGAGGAAATAAAAATAGATTTCAGATTAATAAACAACAACAGCTCCACAGAATCTTTATTTATTACACAGCATCCAAACTGATCATTCTGACTCACTCTTAACAAATTCTAACAGAAATAAATTAAGGCAAACACTGGCTAGCTCACTAGCCAAACACAACCTGCTGCTTCTCCTTAAACACATTCTTCATCGCTAAATGGATGGTTTACTTTAGCAATCCAATGTAGTGGCTCCAACACACAAGGAAACGACAGGCGTATTCTCCTCAGAATTTGTTCGTACAGTGACGTGCTCTCGAACTTGTAAGAATATTTTATAAATATTATGTGTGGCCCACATGAAGTGACCTATGTGGCAAATAAATTGTTTAATTGGTTTAATAAATATTATTCAGAATAATTATATTGGTCAAATAAAGAGTAGTAGTTCCCTATTTTATTACTGTGATGGGTGGTAATTGATTATGGGCTTCATTAGGAAAGGGGTCCTCTCTCTGCCTATAATAGTGCGCATACCCATCTTATGTGCAAAAGACTAGAGAGAAAAATCTATTTCCTCCACACTGACGGCTTGCCTACAGATTGCCCAAGACAAATATCTTGATATGGTAGAAGACTAATCATTCAAGGTATGTATGTAATTTAAGTCTAATTGAATTTCTACCTAATGTTATTGTGAAAATCATGAAATTCAAGATCTTGGGTCATGGATTGGGTTCTCATGGTTTTACCCAATATTAAGTTTACATGTGGTATCAGAGCATGGTTGAGAACTCTCTTCACTACTACATTTTAATACTTGCACGACGACAAAAAATTTGTCGCGCAAATGATTCTTGCGCGACGAAAAGAGTCAATCGTAACGCAAAATATTCCAGACAATAATTTATAATTGAAAACTTGAGCAACGAAATTATTCATCACGCAAAAACTATTAGCGCCACCATAATCTTGATCGTTGCACAAAGTTGGGAAGAAATACCCGCATTTATTTTATTTCGCGCCAAAACCTTGCGTGATGACAAATATCGTCGCAAAAAGAACCCTAGCGCGACGGTTGCCATTATCGTCGCGCAAAGTTAGCCGGTAAACCGTGGGTTATTTTATTTGGTGCCAAAAACTTGCGAGACGACAAATGTTGTCGCAAAAGAATACTTAGCGCAACGCAAATATAAGTAGTCGCGTAAGAAAACGTTGGATTTTTTATTTTGGCGCCAAATATTGGCGCGACAGAATGTTTTGTCGTCGAGTAAAGTTCGATGTCGGCACGTCTATGCGCGACGAAAATTTCCTTTTGCGCAACAAAATTTTGAAAATTGTCCGTCACGCAAAGTATGATGTCAACATCATACTTTGCGCGACGAAAACAGTATTTTTGGCGACAAAATGGACCACTTGCGCAGCGAAAATGATTTGTCTGCACAACGAACCTGTATTCATCACGCAAAATCCTTCTTCTTATTAATCTATTTTTTGCCATTGCAGAGGCAGACTTAAAAAAAAAACCTCTGCCTACACCAGACCTCTGCTTCTGCTGTGCTTCTACTGGGAGTTCATTGGGTAAGTATTATTTGTTGTCATTGGTTTAAAAGTATTAATGCAAATTCATATTAACGCTATTAATTTCGTTCTCTTTAGGGATATTTGTAATTAGCGATTGGTGCAGAACACTTGAGAAAGTATTTTATTCGCTTTATATTTTAAGAATATAAAATTAATTACATTATGTTAAACTTCATGTGTTATGTTAAATTTTTTTTTGTGATATTATATTTATATTATGTTTTTAAATTGTGCGTGACGTAGCACAATATGTTATAACTTCGTACAATTTTTTTTATTTGTAGTAAAACTTAGTTTCCTATTCGAGATTAGTTGGATTTCGTGCATGGATGCGTAAAGCATGACAGTGGTCCAATTAATTCTTGAATTGTCCCATTATTTGGACAGTTTGGTAATGCATAGTGTTGTCACATAATCTACGGCTACGGGATTAGGTTTCGGTTGTGGAGAATTCAGTGTCATCTTTGTACGTTCTTCGGGTGGTACATAGGTATTTATACCTATGCCCACCTCAAGAACCGTATCAAGATGCTGTCGAAATTCATCCACGTCGAAATCTAATCTCATGTAGCCGTAGGTTACGTGATAGGACTATGCATTTCGAATGGGATAGGGCCCTTGCTGGAGGCATAAGGTGACATTATAACTTCGTATGAAGTTGTTGTGATTGTTGTATTGTGATTGTGGTTTCAAGAATTATGAGCAGAAGGTGGATACAGAACCCAAATAGATGCGTAGACGAATACTTGGATGTAATCGAGGATTTTATTGAGTTTGCACGTAGACACAACCCGAGTGCAACTAGAATCCGTTGTCCTTGTAGGAGGTGTAACAACACGTTGTGGGAGACAATTGAAAATTTTGAATTTCATTTAGTAAGGAATAGAATGATTGAGACATATAGCATTTGGAACCTTCACGGAGAACAATTAGATTATGTTTCGTCTTCAAATGCCACAAGAGTGGACAATGTTGAACCTATTGTGGATCCTAATGAACAAGTCATGGATATTATAAATGATATTTTTCCATTTGCATCGACCAACATCAATCAGGAATGGGAAGATGACGTGCCTACCCCAATAGACAGTACAGAGTTCGAACAATATGAACAACTGTTAAAAAATGTCAACCAAGAGTTATACCCAGGTTGCAAGAGTTTTTCCGTTCTCACGGCCATTGTGGAGCTAATGCACGGAAAAATAAAGTATCGTATGTCAAACCTGTGTTTCAATTACTTTTTGGGGGCTTTCAGGAGAATGCTTCCGACGGACAATTGTTTGCCGAAAGACCATAGACACGCGTAAAAGGTGTTGAATGGTCTTGGATTGGGTTATGAAAAAATTCACGCTTGCAAAAATAATTGCATGTTATTCTACAAAGAGTATGAAACATTGGATACATGCCCTATATGCAATGAGTCGAGGTTCAAAATGACATATCAGAATAGAATAACTAAGATCCCACAAAAAGTCATGCGTTATTTGCCCCTGAAACCGAGGCTGCAGTGATTGTATATGTCGACGTATAATGCCACAGACATGAGATGGCATAAGGAAAAACGGGTAGACGACGATGTGATGCGTCATCCTGCAGATGGGGAGGCATGGAAAGCGTTCGATCGAACATTCCCCGAGTTTGTTGTTGATCCCCGAAATGTTAGATTAGAACTTGCAACTGACGGATTCAATCCATACGGGGTTCTAAACCAACACCACAGCACTTGGCCGATTTTCGTATTCCCATATAATTTACCGCCTTGGAAATGCATGAAAAAAGAGTACATGATGATGACAGTTTTTATAACTGAGGATCCTGGCAGGTCAATCGATGTTTATTTACTACCGTTGGTGGATGAGCTCAATGATTTATGGACAAACGGTGTGCGCACGTATGATAAATCCACTGGGAAGATGTTCACTCTACGGGCAGCAGTTATGTGGACTGTGAATGATTTTCCCGCATATTAATGGTTTCTGGGTGGAGCACAAAGGGTTATATGGCATGTCCTGTATGCAAGGAAGATATAACTTCTAGTTGGCACGCTAGAAAAGTTTGTTACCTTGGTCATCGGAGATGGTTACCATGGGACCATGAGTGGCGGGAAAATGATAAAGAGTTTGATAGGAACACAGAGCGTCGCCTCATACCTAGAGAATGGTCCTGTGATGAGATCTTGGAACAGCTTAACAGTTTGGATTTTGCTCCGTTCGGAAAAACAGTTAGTTGGACCAGACCTTCTGCACATTTGAACTGGACGCACAAGTCTATGTTCTTTGAGCTTCCATATTGGTCGAAACTAAAATTGAGGGACAATCTCGACGTTATGCATGTTAAGAAAAATGTATTTGACACATTGATGGGTATGATTCTAGATATCAAGGGCAAGACAAAGGACACCATCAAAGCTCGTCTTGATTTGGAAAAAATGGGCATACGAAGGGGTTTATGGATGAATAGGGACAGTGATAAAGCTAGAAGGGATCTTGCATTTTTTTCCATGAAACCGAATGACAGAAAAGATTTTCTAAAGTTTGTTTCATCTGTAAAGTTTCCTAATGGGTATGCTTCTAATATCGCACGTTGCATAAATGTTGACGAGGGTAAATTTGCTGGACTAAAGAGCCATGACTGCCATGTATTTATGCAACGCCTACTTCCTGTGGGTATTTGACATCTATTGCCGGAAGATGTAGTCAAACCAATCATGTTGTTGTCCAGATTTTTTTCCCAACTGACAGCAAAAACGTTGCGAAAGATAGACTTTCATCAGTTGCGCCATGACATTGTCCAAGTCCTATGCAAGTTTGAAATGATATTCCCTCCAGCGTTCTTCATAAGTATGATCCACGTGATGGTTCACTTGCTAGAATATGCATTGCTTGCTGGTCCTGTCAACTGTCATTGGATGTATCCAATAGAAAGGTATATAATCCTCATCATTTGTTTATGCATCCTTATCCCACGCTTGCTAATTTGTATCGTATCGTTTTTTTTTGGCAGGCTTCTCGGAGAGCTGAAAAAAATTGTACGCAATAGGGCGAAGCCCGAAGGCTCAATTATAGAGGCTTGGGTTCAATATGAGTCGTTGACTTTCGGTGGAATGTATTTAAAAGATGTGGAGACGGCTTTCAATCTACCTCAGCGCAATAATGATGGAGGTGTGAGAAATGAAAAACTTTCTGTTTTTGCCCAAAGCGCACGACCCTTTGGAGATCCTGCACGAGGATAGTCGTTTTCCAGAAATGATATGGAGGTAGCGCATTGGTTCGTACTGAACAATTGTGATGAGATAATGACATACTTAGATGAGCATGAAGAGATGATAAAGCGAGAACATCCATCACATTTGTATGGCAATAAACACCGTGAATTGTTTCCACAATGGTTTTTGGAATATGTAAGTTATAAGTGTTTTGCATTTGACATATATATTGTAGTATTTAATTTTCTCAAACTAACATGTGAATGTTTTTGTATAATATTAGGTGAATAAATTGAAATCATTGAATTCCCCCACTTACAGTGAAGAGTTATATAACTTGGCATTCGAGCCGATTCACGCTGAATTGTTCTCGGGTTGCCATGTTAACGGCGTCAAGGTTTTGGCGACTGCACGAGATGACAAGTTGTGTACGCAAAACAGCGGTTTCCATGTCCCAGGTGGAGGCGAAAGTACGAACATTGATTTCTATGGGAAACTCACAACTGTCGTGCAATTGCTTTACAAAGACCGATACCAAGTGATCATGTTTAACTGTCGATGGTTTGATACAACCCCAAATAGGCAAGGAAGTGTTAAAATCGACCATGGCTTACTATCTGTGAACATTAACAGAACTTGGTATGATGACGACCCTTACATTTTGGCAAATATGGCAACACAGATTGTGTATCTAGATGACCTTAAAGCCAGACTGGTTGGAAGGTTGTTCAGAAGATGGATCAACGGAACGTGTATGTTATACCAGAACTAGACCCAACTGACAACAACGTTGACAACATCGCTGACCAACGTTTGGAATCTTCCATGGAAAATGATGCAGAAACACTTCGAGATACAAATGTTATACAAGAACCGTTTCAGCTGCAAGGAGTGTCTTCAATCGAAATACAGATTCAGTCAATTACAATTGACCTCGGTGATCTTCTGCGATACAATGTTCCAGTGAGCCCGAACTACGAAAGTGATGAGGAGGAGGATTGGGAGACCGAAAGTGATGATAGTGACGATAACGAAAGTTATTATAGTTCAGATGATTAAAAAAAATTGTAATTTATTTGCGACTTGCATTTATCAACTCAATTTTTTGTTTCTTCTTTTGCTTATTTGGATATTTTGGTGTGAATATTAGAAGAAGAAAAAAATTGAATTGATAAATGCTTAATTAACAAATTTGCCTTTTTTATTCTTATGTGATTAATGCTATGTCTGAGTTTAACTGTTTCACTTATGGAATTAATGGGTTTTATTCCGTTCAGTCATTCAAAATTTCACGAGAGAGCTCTTACATGTTAGATTATTATTTTTTAGTTTGGTTGGTAATAATGTTAGTAAAATGATGTCCTAATCTATGATAAGGAAATTCGACGGACAAATTGCACTCATATCTACCGTGAGATGATGTTAATCACAATTCACAATGACAATATACTGAGCGAAATGTTTTCCAAGCTTATAGAATAGTTAAAAATTGCTTTCTTTGAAAGAAGAAAAATACAAAACGATATTGAGAAAGGAGGTTATCGAAACTTCACTATATATGTTATCATTCATTTACACGTAATTTTAACTCTATGACAAAGTATAGAGTGAGCACTTAATCTAGTCTTATAACAGTCACCAACAAACATAATGATGATGCTTGTGGACTATCGAGTGTTGCTTGCACTAGAAGAGTTATAAAAGTTGTTCTTCTAAGTATGATGCCAATTTGCTCCCAATATATATATATATATATATATTCATAGCAATGAAAATCTGCTCTAGGAATGTAACTTGTAATCATATAATTTTTTAATTAGACATAATTACAATTGTCATCCATAAAACCCCAACATATATTTCAAGAAACACTTATGTTTAGAGCAGAATCATTCATTACAAGTTAGTTGGGAATACTCCAACAATGTTATATTCTAATCCAAATTCATTGGTAATATTATAGACAAAGCACATGCATTCAAAACTTAGCAAATTAGATTAGTGTATATTTTTCTTTATTTTCATATAGATGCTAGCCTATTCTTGTTATTATTATAATATTTTTTGGTCTGAACATGCTAGACTATTCAAAGGCATCTTAATTTTTTTTTAAAAGGTTTAGGATGGGTTTGCGCGACGAAATAGGGGCTTCTACGTCGCGCAAGTTGCGAACATATGTACTTTAGCGACGCATAATTCGTCGCGCCAGTGTTGATTAAGGGTGGGAAATTTGCGCGCTTTAGGGTTTAGGGTTTAGGGTTGAAGTTTTGCGCAACAGTCGTTCTTTGTCGCTCAAGGTACCCAAAATTTAATTAGGCCTTAATATTTACTTTTTATGTTTTGCGCGACGCTAATATTCTTCGTCACGCAAGATCTGAAATATTGCCTTGCGCGATGCAGATTGTTTTCTTCGTCGCTCAAGGTTCCGAAAATTTTTGCCTGTCTAATTCTTTAGGGTTTAGGTTTTGCGCGAAGCAAATGTTCTTGGTCGCGCAACATTGCGCGACGCATGTAGTCTTCTCGTCGCTCAAGGTCCCAAAAGAGTAAATATTTAGGGTTTTTTTTTGTGCGACGTAAGTCTCTTGGTCGCGCAAGCTACGAAATATTTCCTTGCGCGACGCAGATGTTCTTCTTCGTCGCTAAAGGTGCTGAAAATTTTAGGCGGACTAAATGTGAAAAAGCCGCCGTTTTTTTTTCAGACTCTCCTTCTTCCCCCGCGAACAAGCCTCTCCTTCTTCCTCCAGCCGTGCCCTCCCAAACCTCCATACCACCACCACTGGCCACCTCCAGCCCCAAGACCAGACCTAACACGTCTGCCCAGACCCCACCGTCACATCCCAGGCCTTCGCCGCCACCGTTGATGACCCCAAACCAAAGCACAAACCCTCTCTCCCATTCCCCTCTCTGACCCGAAATTCTCCCCCTCTCTCTCCAACCCAAATTCTCTCCCTCTCTCTCTAACCGAAAAGCCCCATCATTGTAAACAATTCACCACCGCGCCTCTCCTCTCGCATCCGCTGCTATCTGTATCAAGGTGAAATTTTTTTCCTTTTTTGTTATTATTTTATTTTTTTTTTTTTTTTTTTTTTTTTTTTTTTTCTCTTGTATATATATATATATATTATTTGTGGTATTGGGTTGTTATTTTGGATTTCAGATTTGATTGGAGGTGTTGATCAAGCATTGTGGTCTTCGATTTGTGATTTTGTAAGTGTATTGTTGTTTGATTCGTTCATTTGCAGCCCTATTTACATTTCATTGTTTATTTTATTTTTTTAAATTAATCATGAGGGTTTAGCCGTAAATAACAGAAAACTGATATATGCAGTGGGGATGAGTTTCATGATTTAGCTGCAAAAATGTGTTTGAACTTGTTTGTTGTCATGTGTTTCTGATTTTGTAAGTGTATTGCCGTTTTTTGTTTTGGTTGGTTGGTTGGATTAAGTTGCATTTATTTGTGGGGTTTAAATATGACCTACTGTTAGTTTTTAAGAACTAGAGTTGTGGTTTTATAAATTTGATACTACATTTGATTTTTCTATCATATGTGCTTATGATTTTTTTTGTTTGCTGTATGAGTTTATCTTGTATCAAACACACTGGAAAAAAAAAATCAATATGTTATACATTAATATGTGCTTAGTCTGATGGTTGGTTAGGATTTTGTGTTTTCTTGAATGGGTTCCTATTTTTTTTGATTACTTTGACCATGACCATGACCTTTTGTATTAAAAAAATTGAAATAAATGTGTAAATGGTTTTTGACCACATTAAAGTAACTATGTTTAACCTATTGGATGCTTGTTCAATTGTGCAGATGTCAAACCATATTAGAAGTCGTAAGGCGGTGACGACTGCACAGATGTCGCCTCCCCCGACTCAGCCTTCAGCTGCCACTGCTCCAACACAAATGGACCACATGCTAGTTGGTCCTGGGGGCTCCCCCTGCACCGGCGTCATTAGCATCATCCGTGGCGCAACTTGTTAGCGCCAAGCATTGTCATCGCCCCCCTAGCACGACCGACACAACCTCGACAGACAGTACGGGTGCGTCAGGGTCACAACCAGGTAAAGATTCCTTGAACTGCAACTGTTTTGGACCAATATTTTATAGTAGAATTTTTATTTAACTTTAATTATATATTTCTTTGCATCTAAGAAGAACACCCGGGGGCCTTGTCGGCAGTTGAAGACGACGAGCGGCATCGGGCTGTAGCAACGGCGGAATTGCATAGCTCATTGGCCCACGACATTGGTCACGTCGTTCGGGCCCATTGCCCGATGAAATGGAAGTCTTGGAAGGTCATGCCTGACGAGACGAGGATGGAGGTGTGCGGACAGTTGTCGGTATGTATCCTACTTTTTAATTGTTTTTTCCTTCAAATTTTATATATTTCTATTAATTAATGTATGTAATTAATTTATTGCAGACCAACTACAATTTAGAAGACCTCGACGACGGGTCGTTGACGTACGTCAACCGACTCTTCGCTGAGAGGTACAAGCAGTGGAAGAGCGACTTGCACCACCATTTTCAGACATTTGATGATTCGCAGGTCGCTCTGCATGAGGGTTGCCCGCAGGAGCTTGAGGGGCGGGAAGATAGTTGGGCATGGCTTTGCGGTCATTTTCAAGAGGCTGATTATTTGGTATTTTTTTATATTAAGTTCACAATTATTATACGTTTCTTATTAATGTTTATTTAATTTTTTATATTTCCTTTCACATTCAACTAATACGTTCATTTTTTGTATAACAGAAGAAGGCCCAAGCAAATAAGTGCAATAGGGACAAGAAGACTCTTCTCCACCATTCAGGTTCCAGGCCATTTTCATATAGGATGGACTCACGACGGCGGGTAATAATAAAATCTTTTATATTCAATTTTTAATATGTCATTAATATTAATTTGTTTTTTTCGTACTAACATTTGTCTTCTGTTGTTCAATTCAGGAGGGGTCTAAATTCCTGGATATCGACGTCTTTGGCGACGTTTATGTTCAACCTGGGAATGAGTTGGCTGAGTCCCTTCATGTAAGGATTCTTTATTTTAAATTATTATCTTACGCATTCATGTTTCATGGTTATTATATGAATGTTGTAATTAATATTTTATGTTATGTTAAACAGATGACGATGGTGGAGAAGAGCCAGTTGGTTCTTCAGGAGTCCGCCTCCCAACTTCCTCCTGATACTCTGCTCGAGTCTGTGGATCCTCCACATGATGCAAGGTTTCAGATCCTAACCGAGACCTTGGATCAAACTCTCGAGAGGAGGCCAGGGACATATTGTCGAGGGATGGGGAATGCCCGCCGGCGGGAACCTAGAGCCCGTTCCTCGTCGCAGTCAAACAATCAGGTGACTACTTTGACGGCAGAGGTGGTTGAGCTTAGGACCCAGATGTCACAAATGTCACAGATTCTACAGTCCATCGTCCAGTCCGGTGTTCCTATACCGCATGTTGGTCCCTCGTTGACCTCTGAGCCCCTCCAACCCGAGCTTCGCCACCACACTCCTGCCCCTGCCGATACTGTCCAGACCTCCGAGCCGCATTTGCAGGACGACCATGTAGATTTTCAAACTCTTTTTGATTAGTTTTTTTTTACTTTTTTTAATTACATTTGAAACATTGATCTTGTAATACATACATTTCTATTGTTTTTACAAATATTTTTTTCTCTTCATTATATTTTTTTATTTCATTTTTATTTTACAAAAAAAAACCAAAAAAAAAACAAACAACCAATTTATGTTTTTTACAAAATAAAAAAACCATCAAAATGTAACCCCAAAAAATATCAAAATCAATTTTAAAAATAATCTTTATTTTTGCACGACGAAATGCTTTTCGTCGCCAATTCACTTTTTACAAAATAAAAAACGGAAAAATAAATTTCAAAATTTTTTATTTTATTTTTGCGTGATGAAATATTTCGTCGCGCGAAAAATGAATTGCGACTAATGGATTTTTGTCGCGTCAATCACTTCGTCGCACAAATGTTTGAGGCACGAAGTATTTCCCTCGTCCCTACATTTTAATGCGACACACGGCCACCGTCGCGCTGTGTTTGTTACGACGAAGGTTTAATCATCGTGCAAAGTTTTGCGCAACGACAAACTGTCTCGTCCCTAAAATTTTTGTGGGACGAAAGTCAACCGTCGCTCAAGTTTTTGCGACCAAGCAACATTATTTGTCGCACAAAGTCTTTCTTCACGATCTTTGCGCGACGGATTATGCGCGACAAAGTTTCTGTCGCGCTAAATGTTGTGCGACTGAAATCCTTTTTGGCGCGACGAAATTGACTTCGTCGCGCAAATAGTAAAATGTCGTAGTGCTTGATTTTCCATTATGATTTATAGGGTTTGATCTTTTAATTTGATTGAACCGTAACAGTGTTCATGATCTATTGTGACTTCGATTAAATTTCTTTGATCAAACGGTTAGTGCATTTTTTGACGTTGGTTGAATGTTTAATAATATCATATATTATGAATGGTATCCCAACAGACTATTTGTATTCATGTGCACTGTAACTAGCAATTGTACATATGAATCAATATCCGTTTTGTGATAGTAGTTTGCTTATGAATGAGTGTTTATGGATGAATACAATTGCAAGTAAGGGTTCTATGATCTGCATATATGGCTATGTTGAAATCTTTTTATTGTGTTTTCATTAATGAATTCATACAAAGGTACGAATTAATTTGGAAGTCTATAATGAGTGAAAATAGAAATTGTTTTATTTTTATATTAAAGTACACATACAGAGCAATGCAGAGGATATTTTTTCCCTCTTGATTTCCATATAATTGTAAGCATATGAACGAGACATAGATTATTGTCTATTATATAGGGAGGAGAATTTGGAGTTTGAAAAATGCATTTGCTATTATGAATTGGAGTGCTAATGGCTATGCATTTACTTGGCTATATGATTATTTTCAAATTGAAGAACGAATCTGTCAATTGGCAAATTATGATTTCATTAATTATGATGCTGACAGGAAGAAATAATACCAGTTTTATTGTCAATTTATATTATTATGTGGAAATCTTAATGAATTGATGTATTATTAATGTATGACCACTTATAAACTCATGGTATGATCCTGGTGTAGACATGTACATATTGTATTTCATTGTCACTGTATTTTGTTCAAACTTCCTAACTACCTGAAGAATAACCCACGGGATTATTACAACAACTAACGTAACTAATACACGTGACTAACTAACGACACGTCAGCTTAACCTCTCTCTTTACTATTAGCCGAACACTAGAATTATTAACATATACTTTGAATCAGTTATGCATCTTGTAAAGCCTATGAAGAGTTATCAAACGGTTTTATATACATAAGGAGGAATAAAAATAGATTTCAGATTATAAACACCAACAGCTCCACAGAATCTTTATTTATTACATAGCATCCAAACTGATCATTCTGACTCACTCTTAACAATTCTAACGGAAATAAATTAAGGCAAACACTGGCTAGCTCACTAGCCCAACACAACCTGCTAGTCCTCCTTAAACACATTCTTCATCGCTAAATAGATGGTTTACTTTAGCAATCCGGTGTATTCTCCTCAGAATTTTTTGGTACGGTGATGTGCTCTCGAACTATCCACCAAACTATCAATCACGTTCCTGAGGCTTTTTGGGATCTTATGCTTGAACCCGCCCCACAACTTCCTCGCCAACCAAATGATAAGACGAATGGTGTGGATTGCAGCTATGATCCCAAGCAATGTATCCCAAACCACAATGGATATCTTGGATATCTTTTCATATGATTTGTAAATTTCAGTATTAGGGAACACTAAGATGAGAGCATGTATATAGGTGAGTGCCATAGAAGTGAGAGTGAGACACATGGCCATTGATAAAAGCCACATAATTACACGATTCCGGAGGGGAAATCCGCCAACAAGCAAAAGGGTGACACTGAGAGAAGCAATGAATGAGACGGTATTGAATGTTACGAACGCGAGGAAGTCTTTTGGGAAGCCGCTGCCTGCCACTGAAGTTCCAGCAGAGCATATGTTATCATGGGTGCAATAAGTAGTACCTCCAGCGCTACTATTTGTATTATTGTCTTGCCAAACACCACCGGGTGGATTAACTGCAGCTTCGAAAGTTGTGGTTGATATCATGGTTGCTACAATCATCAGCATGCCACGTGTCTCTTCCAACCAAGTTCTTGGGTATTCCAAGCAATTTACCAGTCTATTTATCAGACACCAAGCTATCGCTACTGCTTTGTTCTGTATCTGACCAGTAGCGGCAGTAGTTCTTTTTGTTTCCATACCTGGGCCTTGCTCAACCAAAATTTGATCAAGTTCAGATAGGCCGCTCGAGTCTCTTGGATTTTGTTCTGAGGAATATAACTGGATCACGCCATTTTCTTCTATTACAGCAGGTATCATCTGAACAAGTGGTACCATTATTATTACTACTACTTGTTTCTCCTTTTAGTTCTTTGTTGTCACATCCTGGATCGGCTCCGCCATAGCATGATATTGTCCGCTTTAGATTCCGATCTTTAGATTCCAATCTGCACAGCATTGCAGAGATCGATCAATGAGTGACTATGAGTGCCCTCTTAATTATTTATTGAACCAAAGTGATAAATTGTCCAAATCAATTAGCGATCAATATGCTACTCTATTCTGGGGATGTGATCCTTCATCAACCCAAAGCAAACAACAACATTGCTAATCACATTTCTTACAAGAGAAATGCCCCGTTGAAGATATGATCATAAATATGGTACAAATAGTTTTATCAAACAAAGAGTTGTATAAGATTAACTCTGGTCCAAAGAAAAGTGTTGTTCCCCCCCCCCCCCCCCCTCCCCTTGCCCCGCTCTGTAACATTCATGCAGGACTCAATGAAGTAATTAGATACAATCACATATATATATGATCAACAACAGCTCCACAGAATCTTTATGTATTACATAACATCCAAACTGATCATTCTGACTCACTCTTAACAAATTCTAACAGAAATAAATTAAGGCAAACACTGGCTAGCTAACTAGCCAAACACAACCTGCTGGTTCTCCTTAAACACATTCTTCATCATTAAATAGATGGTTTACTTTAGCAATCCAACACACAAGGAAACGGCAGGCGTATTCTCCTCAGAATTTTTTGGTACGGTGACGTGCTTTCGAACTATCCACCAAACTATCAATCACGTTCCTGAGGCTTTTTGGGATCTTATGCTTGAACCTGCGCCACAACTTCCTTGACAACCAAATGGGAAGGCGAATGGTATGGATTGCAGCGATGGTTAGAAGCAACGCAGTCCAAACCCCAACGGATATCTTGAACATTTTTACATATGATTCGAAAGTATCATCAGCAGGGGACACTAAGCTGAGAGCCTGTATATAGGTGAGTGCCATAGAAGTGACAGTGAGACACATGGCCATTGATAAAAGCCACATAATTACACGATTCCGGAGGGGAAATCCGCCAACAAGCAAAAGGGTGACACTGAGAGAAGCAATAAACGAGACGGTATTGAATATTACGAACAAAAAGAAATCGTCTTTTAAAACGGTGGCTACCACTGAACTTCCAGGAAAGCATTTCTCACCATATTCACAAACACCGCCGGGTGGGTTTACTGCAGCTTGGAAAGTTGCAGTTGATATCATGGTTGCCACAACCATCAGCATGCCACGTGTGTCTTCCATCCAAGTTTTTGGGTATTCCACGCAATGTACCAGTCTATTTATCAGACACCAAGCTATCGCTACTGCTTTGTTCTGAATCTGACCAGTAGCGGCAGTAGTTCTTTTTGTTTCCATACCTGGGCCTGGCTCAACCTTGATCAAGTTTAGGTACGCTGCTCGGGTCTCTTGGATTTTTTTCTGAGGAATAGAACTGGATCACGCCATTTTCTTCTTCTTTTACAGCAGGTATCGTCTGCACAAGTGGTAACATTAATATATTGAAAACTTTGTTGCTTGAAACCAAGGCATAAGAATCACGTGCAGTGGTGGATCCATGAACTTTTCAGGGGAGGTGCAATATTTGAAACACTAAAAATTCAAAAAATAATTTAGATAAGCAAATGCCCTTAGAATTTAAACAATACTAATGTCATTCAAAATTAAAACAAATAAGAGTTTTACGTCTATTATTAATTGATTACAGTCTATATGGTATATCAATTAATATGAACAAAATCCATGTCAATGGACATAAGTAGTTTACCAAAATTCATATCAAATATATATGAACAAAATCCATGTCAATTAAATAATTCATCTAACGAAAAGTCAATACCAATTAATCTAACCAACATTAATACCAATTAATCTAATCAAAAGCTAGCACATGTGGTTTGGAGTCGCGAGATAAAAGTACACGGGATTACAAGTTCGGGATAATGTTTGATGAATTTTTCGGTGCACATATGAGTTTTTAATGAATTTTTAAAGCTAGTCCAAATAAAAATTGACATTTGGCAGCTTGCTATTGGACTATTTAAAAAAGGTATCAAAATTGACATGGAGTCTTTCTTCCTCGTCAAACTCGAACATCAATTCTTAATAAACTTCTAAAATTTATAACTTTGGTTATGGAGCTCTGATTGTTGAACCATTTTCTTCTATATGCTGATGAGATCAAGCCTAACAATCTAGGTAAATATTCAGGGTCTCACACAACAGTAAACAAAACAACCTCTTCGAGGCATTTAGTTGAACAATTTGTCGGCACTAGCAAAGGGGTAAATTCCAGCATCTCCAAGGAAGTTTCCGACAAGTCTCTTTGTGCTTCTGTGGATCCGCCAATGATCGTGTGTAGCATCAAAATTAATCCCAACTCAAAAAACAATATAATAATGGTGAATAAAATTAAAATTGTAGTTGTGTTGAGCCTATTCTTAACAACTAAAATGAGTTATTAAAAACAGCAACTTTAATTCTCGCAAGTGCATGAACCGTTTATAGTATAGCTTATGTAAATACGAGATCGATCCCACGGAGAATGGTAACTTGGTTCCAAGTTAAATTACTTAGAATGCTAGAAAAACATAGAACAAAGAAACTGACTAACTAGCTAAAGGCAAGGTCGAATTCAACAATACCTCTTGCTAATTACTCAGGGTCTAGGGCAGAATCCTAGCACCACACACGCACTCGAAATGGGGGCTTTTGTTGTTGAAATAAAAAGAAGAAAGTGAAATGAAAGTGCTCGAAAGTAAACACTGGACAGATTGTGAAACAATAATTGAGAGGTGTTAGAACCTTGGAATCCACTACTAGTTTTCCTACCCAAGTTATGAATGCATAGAAATTGACTCAAGCTTCATCAACAATAGATTATCGCATACAAGCCTATGGTATCTAGGTGCAGGATGCATGATTCTCCTAAGGCATGTAATTGTGTATGGTATCTACACAACACGTGATCTCTAATATGCAACCTTAGCATGGTATCTACTTAGAATAAAGCATACAAGAGTAATTAAGCTCCATGAGAATATGATAATCACACAAGTCCTAGAACATGGTATCTGTCCTAGTCAACATATGGTTATTAACCCCTTGAATGATTCTTAGGCCATTCATGTGTTGCTTGTGAAAGGAGAGTAGAATTGGTGAATCTAAACCCCTTCCCAACCTGTGCTAGATGCATAAAATCCTAGTTAGCTACTCTAAGAAAACATACATCAAGCACATAATAAACTGGAGATTAACAACTTGATAATGAAAGCAAGGAAAATCAATTAACTATAAATCATCCATAACATGGAAAATTCATAACTAGGGCTTCATCCTAAGCCCTAACTAAATGGATTAGTTAAACATAACTATGAATACATAAAATAAGAAATGCATAGATAGAATAGAAGAGAAAAGAAGAACTAGTTGGTAGCAATGTAGTTCCCAGGACAGCTCTAAGCTCTCTTCTCTCTTTGTGGTGAATTTGAATGTGTGTATGAGAGTAATGGATGAAGTGAATGTGTGTGTCTGCCTCATTCTTGAATGAGTGTGCAGCTCTCTATTTATAGAGTGCAATTTCGTCCTCCTCTTTGGCTGGTGAAGCACACCTCTCTTAGCTGCTCCCAACTGCTCCAGCTACCCATACTTGCCAACTGCTCCAGCTGACATACTTGTCAACTACTCCAACTGCCAAATACATGCTTTGGTATGGTTTCTTTATGGAAAGCTTGACTTTTGTTCATCTTTCTGAGTTCCTGAGCTGATTTGACTCCCATGTGTTGCTGCCCATGTGTAGCACATGGCTCTAGGGATGTAGCCACATTAAATGTGATGGCAGCCAACATGACATTTCTGTGAACTTGGTTCAGTCTTTGACGTACTGAGGGCTCTAGATTTATCCAATTGGGCTGAAATTTGGATATGTCACTACTACAAAAAAGGCAAAAGACGACGGGAATTCATCGTCGTGTATTCGGTTTTCAAACCATCGTGAAATCGACCGACATCTATTTGGGTGTCAAACTACGACGGCTTTTCACCGTCGTCGTTTAACTGTAACGATGACGGTTTTTAAAGAAAATCGTCGTTGTTTAGAGATAAAGATCATTAATTATAGGAGAAAAGACGACTATTTTCAATAAAACCGTCGTGTATTGTATGTAAAGAGGACGATTTTTTATGAAAACCGTCGTGGATTGTTTATAAAGAAGACGGTTGTTTTATAAAAACCGTCATCTTTATACATAATAGACGACCCTTTTTTTTATAAAAAGCGTCATCTTTACTTCATAATAGATGACGGTTTTTATAAAAAGCGTCATCTTTACATATAATAGACGACAGTTTGTTTATAAAAAGCGTCATCTTTACATATAATATACGATGGTTTGTATAAAAATCGTCATCTTTACATATAATAGACGACAGTTTTTTATAAAAAGCATCATCTTTACATATAATAGACGACGGTTTTATAAAAGCGTCATCTTTACATATAATAGACGACCGTTTTTTTTATAAAAAGCGTCATCTTTACATATAATAGATGACAGTTCTAAAGCGTCATCTTTACGTATTTAATGAATATATACACTCAAAAATAGTTTCTTTCATAAAACTTGAAGATTCAATAGTTATTACATAGTTAACCAATCTTTATTCTACAACAAACATAATTCCTAACAAGACCTACGTACTCATAATCCAAGCATTCCTCATCCAAACATACAAATGATGCACAGCTGAAGTCTCCTCCATCATCCCTGTAAATAAATCAAAATGACAAAGAGAGAGAAAAAAAAAGCTAAGATTATAAACATAAAAAATTAGGTGGAAGAGAAATTTTACCATTGGTCCATATTTCCATAGAAAACTTGTAAAATGAGCATAAAAAAGACCATCGAGAACTGATGTGTTCATAAATTCACATGATTTTATATCCTTTTTACTTAGTTTTGTGAATTAATTTGGACTAAAGATGCTGAGTTGAGTTATTTCCTGTTTTTCAGCTTATGAGCCACGGAATGAATAAATTCGTCAAATATTCATCGTAATAGAGTTCGACATTATTCGAATTGGAGATGGGAGACAGCATCTTGAAGTTTATCCATGAATATTTTCATAATTTTTGAAGACTGCTAAGGTGCCCATTTTTAATTAGACAATTCAGCATAAATCAATTCCCGGAGAATACTGAGTCAGCAGGGGTATTTTGGCTACAACTCACTCATACGACATCGGATTGAGGCACATGATATATGGCTATGATATATGGCTGAAAAGAAGACATCCAGAGCTTTCCAAAGAGTGGTCGTACGTAATTTTTGGAGGTCAGAAACGTGTCCAAATCGCATTCGCAATGAGGATCACGTGCAGTTTCCTGGAGGTTTTAGGAAACTTAGTTTTAATTAGCTTTTCTAGTTAGGAACTGACTTGGAAATCAAGTCTTCGTGTAAGGCCACTTGTTTAGGCCCATTCTAACTAGGTTTTAGGTTCTTTTAAGAGGGGAGGTCGTAGAGGCTCAGGGGACCAGAAAATTTCAGACTTCAACCGTGGAGCAAGGAAGAGCCACCGTGCCTCTAAACTCTAAGGGTTTTCCTTATCTCTTTCTCCATGTTTTATTTTTGCTTTGTTACCATGATTATGAGTAACTAATTTTCTTTTACTAAGACACAATGTAACCCTTTTCTAATTATTCAAAGCTTAGTTATGTCATGCTATTAGAGTTTCCATGTTGTTGACATTTAATCACTGTGCTTATTTTCCTAACTAATGATCTTGATGCTTAGCTACCATCTAGGTTTTTGGTTAAGTAATTTGATGCATGTTAGGGTATACGCCATGCCTAATATGAGTTTTGCTTTTTTGTGATTAAATTCATGAATGCGCCTAAGGTAAACACTATACTCTTAGGGGTTTGTGTGATTGTGTGAAGTTCTCATTGAACCTAAGGTCTTTTTATATGTTTATATTTATGCCTCACGCCAAGGATAAATTGCATGTAAGAAGAAGTGGTTAATTGCTGTGAAAAGAATTAGTCATAATTTTGGAGAACTAATCATCAACATAACTTGGGAATTTTGATAGTATGCATGCTAAGGTTTGGATAAGAGGAATTGTGGTGAAATTGTTGTCTTGGTAAGCTTCTTTAAAATCTTTCACAAACTTATTTAGTTCACGTTTTCCTTCGTTATCTTGTCTTTTAATTTTCTTGTTTTCAACGTTCTTTCAAAGAAAATCTTTCAAAACCAACTTTCAAAAATCCTCTATTAAGTTTTAGTTGAGTCATTAGTTTTAAGTTTATTAATTAGGGTGTCTAGAGTAATTTAGGATTTAAATTAGTTTATAATTCACAACACCTTGAGAATTTATTCAGTCTCTGTGGGAACGACCTTGTACTTGCCTTGGCTATATTGCATTAACCTTGTGCGCTTGCAAGTTTATTTCTTGAATTTAACTATCTAATTTTCAAGTAGTAAAATTATACATCAAGTTTTTGGCGCCGCTGCCGGGGACTGAGTTTAATTCTTTGTGTTGTGTGATTTTAGCTTTACTTTAGTCTTTATTTCGGTTGCATATCGTCCCTTTTTAATATTTGTTTTATTGTTTTACTTTATTGTATTTCTTTGATTTATTCTCTTTTATTATTTTTTTCTTTGTTTTCCAGCACCACCTGTTATTCACTATCTCTTTTGTTTTGTTGTCTGTAGGTTGCTCTCAAATATTTGCATGTTGTGTGTGTGTTAGTTGATGGTCAGCACAAGATCCCAAGGTCAAGAATTAGTACCCTTTGATCCTGAGATAGAAAAAACGTTCCGAGAGCTCTGTCACATCAACCAACGAGCATTTGATACTGATTTAAAGTCTGACACAGAGTCAATGGCAACCAACACTAAGCCCTTGAAGGAGTATTCACAGCCCACAATTTTAGAAGAGCCTTCATGTATCACATTTCCTGAAATTGATGATGTTTCGTTTGAGCTGAAATCCGGTACCATTGGTCTTCTTCCTTCGTTCTATGGTAAATCAAATGAAGATCCCAACATTCATATTAAGGATTTTTACATAGCTTGTGGTACGGTTCATATCAAGGGAGTTTCACAAGAAATAGTGCGTCTGAGATTGTTCCCCTTCACTCTCAAAGACAAGGCCAAGTCATGGTTCACCTCTCTTCCTGCTGGATCCATCACATCATGGGAAGAACTTGCTCAAAAATTCATGCTGAAATTTTTCCCTGCCACAAAAACATTGCTACTTAGGAAGGAAATCACGAACTTTGAACAAAAGCCTCAAGAATCTTTTCATGAGTGCTAGGAGCGATTTTGTGATCTACTACAACAATGTCCTCATCATGGAGTGGAAACTTGGATGCAAATGCAGATCTTTTACCAAGGACTAACCTCAACCAGTAGAAACAATGTTGATGTGGCGTGTGGAGGAGCTCTGAGTGAGAAAGATCCTAAGGAGTGCTTCAAAACTTTTGAGAGAGTTGCTGCCAATTCTATGCAATGGGGCGATGACAGATTCACAAGGAAGATTACTGTGCATAGTGTCGATACAAATCCTGGATTCGCTTCAGCATCTCAAGTATCCAACTTGGAAAAGAAGCTTGAAAATTTCATGCAGTCAATGACCAAATTTGTTTCTCCTTCCTCTGTGTGTGCTATTTGCTCTGATAATTCTCATCCAACTAATAATTGCCCTTTGAGTGATCTTACGCAGGAGCAGGCTAATCAAATAAATTCATTTCAAAAGCCACGACATGATCCCTACTCCAACACCTATAACCCGGGATGGAAGAACCACCCCAATTTCTCATGGAGCAACAACAATCCGTCTGAGCAGCGCATTTATCCTCAGCAAAAACCTGTCAATCCGAATGAACCAAGAGAACCAACTTTGAAGGAGATTATGACTCAATTTATTCAGACTCAACAACAAACAAACAATAACCTTCAAGCTGGTTATCAAAATTGTCATGCTGCAATTCAGAAATTGGAAGTCCAAGTGAGCCAAATTGCAAACATAGTCAATGAGAGGGAGAAAGGCAAGTTACCTAGCCAACCTGAAATCAATCCAAGAGGCCAGGAGCACATTAAGGCGATAAAAACATTAAGGAGTGGGCGAACTTATGAGGCTAGACCTGAAGATGTTTCTAAGGCTGAAACAGAGGGAAAACAAGCTGCTGAAATGGAGTTAGACGTGGAAGACATGAATACACTTCAGCCACACCCTGTCCCTGCCACAACGGATGTTACAGAGGCCCCTACAGCAGCTATTGAGCCTACCAAAGAACCTACAGCAGCTACCCCTTCCAAGGAGCGAATATATGTGCCTCAAGTTCCTTTTCCGCAAAGACTACAGAAGCACAAGAGAGATCAACAAACAATGGATATTCCGGAATTGTTTAGAAAGGTTCAAATAAATATTCCATTGTTGGATGCAGTGAAGCAAATCCCAGCTTATGCTAAGTTCCTCAAGGATGTTTGCACAAACAAGCGAAAGTTTGCTACACATGAGAAAGTGATGTTGTCCGAGGAATGCAGTGCAGTTCTCCTTAAGAAATTGCCACCAAAACTTAAGGATCCAGGGAGTTTTACAATTTCTTGCATTATTGGAAATTTACATATTGAAAAGGCTTTAATTGATTTGGGTGCAAGTATTAACTTAATGCCTTATTCTGTATTTCAGCAGCTAGGCATTGGAGAGATCAAACCAACTTTTGTGAGCTTGCAACTGGCTGATAGGTCTATCAAATATCCACTTGGAATCGTTGAAGATATACTAATCAAAGTGGATCAATTTGTTCTTCCAGCAGATTTTATCATCCTTGACATGGAGGAAGACAGAGAAGTTCCCATCATTATGGGACGTCCTTTTATGGCTACTGCTGGCACCATTATTGATGTGAAGAAAGGTTTATTGTCTATGACTGTGCAAGGCCAAACTGTTGAGTTCAAGGTGTTTGAAGCCATTAAGAAACCTGTGGAGATGGATGAGTGTTTTTGTGTAGATGTCGTTGATACTATTGCCCACACCACTTTCCTAGCTAATGTAAACGAGGATGAACTTCTCACATGCCTAGCTAACCCGGAGCTAAGATCAGATTCTAATGAGGCCCAACAGCTTGTAGCAGCTTTGGATTTGACACCTATTCAGTTCCTAAGGTGGCGTCACACATATGAGCCACTAGGGACACCTAGCGCACCTATCTTGCCTTCCGTTGAGATACCTCCAAAGCTGGAGCTCAAGCCATTGCCTGAACACTTGAAATATGCCTTTCTGGGAGAATCCGATACACTTCCTGTGATCATTGCTTCTGATTTGACTGTTACCGAGGAAGAAAAGCTTTTGCGGGTTTTGAGAGAGTACAAAACAGCTTTAGGATGGACCATAGCTGACATTAAAGGCATTAGTCCATCCATGTGCATGCATCGAATTTTACTAGAGGATGGTTCTAAGGCTACCATTGATGCGCAAAGAAGATTGAATCCTAACATGAAGGAGGTAGTCCGAGGTGAAGTTTTAAAACTTCTTGATGTAGGTGTGATCTATCCCATCTCTAACAGCAAGTGGGTTAGTCCAGTTCAAGTCGTCCCCAAGAAGTCTGGAATCACAGTGGTTCAGAATGAAAACAATGAACTCGTGCCTACAAGAATGACCACAGGATGGAGAGTCTGTATAGACTACAGGAAGTTGAATTCATCTACTAGAAAAGATCATTTTCCCTTGCCTTTTATTGATCAAATGTTAGAAAGATTAGCTGGTCACTCACATTACTGTTTTCTTGATGGCTATTCAGGTTATAATCAGATTCCCATTGCCCCTGAGGATCAAGAGAAGACGACATTTACCTGCCCCTTTGGGACGTTTGCTTATAGGAGGATGCCTTTTGGCTTGTGCAACGCACCTGCGACCTTTCAACGATGCATGATGAGTATATTCTCTGATATGGTTGAGAGAATAATTGAGGTTTTTATGGATGATTTTTCTGTTTTTGGAGATTCATTTGATACTTGTCTGTTTAACCTCAAACTGGTGTTGGAAAGGTGCACGGACACTAACCTTGTTTTAAATTGGGAGAAATGTCATTTTATGGTACAACAGGGTATTGTGCTAGGCCATTCAGTCTCTAGTAAAGGCATTTCTGTTGATAAAGCAAAGATAGACATCATTGCTAAATTGCCGCCACCAACCTCAGTGAAGGGTGTGAGATCTTTTCTTGGCCATGCCGGGTTCTACAGGCGTTTCATCAAGGACTTCTCCAAAATCAGTCGTCCCTTGTGCAACCTGCTCGCCAAAGACGCCATTTTTGAGTTTGATGATTCATGTTTACTTGCTTTTAACAATTTAAAAAAGCTTCTTACTTCTGCTCCTATTATCACAGCTCCAGATTGGAGTTTCCCTTTTGAACTGATGTGTGATGCTTCTGACTATGCAATAGGTGCTGTTCTTGGTCAACGAAAGGAAAAGCTTTTACACGTGATTCATTATGCAAGTAGAACATTGAATGATGCACAACTCAATTACTCAACCACTGAGAAGGAATTGCTTGCCATAATCTTTGCTTTGGAGAAGTTTAGATCTTATCTTGTTGGATCTAAAGTCATAGTGTATTCTGACCATGCTGCTCTGAAGTACCTAATGACAAAGAAGGATGCCAAACCCAGACTCATTCGATGGATTTTGTTGCTACAAGAGTTTGACTTAGAGATTCGAGACAAGAAAGGCTCCGAAAATGTGGTAGCAGATCACTTGTCAAGGCTCACACCGAGCCACAAAGAGGAAGTGTTGCCCCTGAATGAGTCATTTCCGGATGAACAACTATTTTCTGTACAGCATGGAGTCCCCTGGTATGCAGACATTGTGAATTATTTGGTTAGTGGAATTATTCCAGCTGATTCTAACTCTCAGCAAAAGAAGAAGTTCCTGTCCATGGTCAAATTTTATTTTTGGGATGAACCATACTTGTATAAGCATTGCCCTGATCAAATTATCCGAAGATGTTTACCGGAGAATGAGCAACAGAGCATTCTGAATTTTTCTCATAGTTATGCATGTGGTGGACATTTTGGTCCCAAACGGACAGCTGATAAAATTTTGCAAAGTGGTTTCTTTTGGCCAACTTTGTTTAAGGATGCCTACAAGTATTGTGCAGCTTGTGATCGATGTCAAAGAGTTGGTAATATTTCCAAAAAGAATGAGATGCCACTTCAAAGTATTCTTGTGGTTGAACTCTTTGATGTCTGGGGTATTGACTTTATGGGCCCTTTTCCGTCATCCTATAGCAACAAATATATATTAGTGGCTGTAGATTATGTGTCAAAATGGGTTGAAGCTATGGCGTGTCCCACTGCTGATGCTGCTGTTGTTATGCGTTTTCTAAAAGGATTCATCTTCTCACGGTTTGGCATTCCAAGAGTGATCATCAGTGATGGAGGGAAGCACTTCATCAACAGAGCATTTGACAAGCTTATGGCTAAATATCATATCCATCATAGAGTCTCTGCACCTTATCATCCTCAGATCAGTGGCCAAGTTGAGGTTTCTAATAGAGAAATCAAGAGAATCTTAGAGAAAACAGTCAGTGCTTCAAGGAAGGATTGGTCTCTGCAGCTAAACGATGCATTGTGGGCTTATCGGACAGCTTACAAAACACCTATAGGCATGTCACCATTTCGATTGGTGTATGGGAAAGCATGCCACTTGCCTATGGAGTTGGAACATAAAGCATATTGGGCTATCAAGAAGCTCAATTTTGACATACAGGCTGCTGGTGCGAAACGGAAGCTACAACTTAATGAACTCGAGGAGCTAAGACATGAGGCTTATGAGAATGCAAGGATATATAAAGAAAAGACCAAAAAGTTGCATGATCAAGCTATTTCCAGGAAGACATTCGTGACGGGAGAGAAAGTGTTACTTTATAACTCCAAACTTCGACTCTTTCCAGGCAAATTGCGTTCAAGATGGACAGGCCCCTTCCTCGTCACTCAAGTTTCTCCTCATGGTGCTGTAGAGATTCAGAATATGTCAACTGGGACCCAATTCAAAGTGAATGGTCATCGCCTCAAGCATTATCTAGAATCTCACTTTGATCCTCAAGAGGTGGTGTCATTCTTTGACACCATTCCATCACCATGTTCCTGAGCACCATTCTTAAGTCCAGCTAATGACTTAAAACAAGCGCTTCTTGGGAGGCAACCCAAGTTTTCTTACTTTTCCTTGTTAATTTCTTGTTTTTGCTTCTTTTGCTGTCTTTTTGGTTTCCTTAGCAATTTGATTATTTTGTTTGTGTGTAGGAACAAGTCGAACACATCCCAGCAAGTTTAAGGAGTCTTTTTCAATGTGTTGGCACTCCTCATTTGGACCGCAAAGCAAGGGAAGGCAACAAGTTGCAGTTCGAGACTCCACAACCTGTAGTTATAAGTATTTTCCAGGTTTCAATGCCCAGATTTTGATCCAATGCTCCCAAGGCTGCAAACTAGTTTTTGTGGGTGTCCATACACCTAGGCTAACTTCAGGGAGTAGGATTCACGGCTTGAAAGCCAAGCCATAAGGCCTTTGTGCACAAGGATACCAAACAGCTCACATATGCCTTTTTGTTGGGGTTGCAATTGCCAAGAGTTGAAATCATGCAAGAGGAAAGGTTATTTTGGTTGATGTTTTTGTTGGAGAAGTTGAGAAGTTTTCCTATGCACAATATCATTTTCTTAGTTCTTTCGCACCAAGGAGTGGCCCCCGCAAGTGACATATGGTCTCAACAAGATGTTCTGGATGCTGGTTTGGTTTGGAGAACTTTATTGTTCAATTTTGCCTTTTGGCACAATTATGGTCATTTTTGGATTCTCCTCATAATTTTCACTATGGAGTGTTTCACATGAATTCAAGGTTTCAGACATGTTGCAAATGGTTATGGTGATGATTTGGACTAAGTTTGGGGGTCCCGTATGACCTACATTGTGTTTTAGGTGGATTGGAAGTTCAAAAATGAGCCAAAATACCAAAACTGATACTGCTGCATTTTCTTGCTGTTCATCGGATTTTTCGTCACTAAAACCCCTTTTGCGAGGGGTGTTCATCGGATTTTTTGTCGACAAAAGGTTCCTGACAACCTTTAGTGACGGTTTTCTGCAGAAAAACCGTCGCTAAAGGTCATTTTTCCAGATTTTTGCTGCTGTTGCTGTCCTCAAAAGCTGCTGCTTCACACTAGTTTGGGGGTGGTTTGCCTCTCACACTAGAGCCTCATGCCTCACCATAAACCGGGGAAGTCTTCTTTTACTTGTTTCTCTTATTGATTGATTTATTTTTCTTTTCTATATGCTTCCATCCTTAACTATGCATTGCATGTTTTCTTTTCTTAACATTGAGGACAATGTTTAGTTGTAGTTTGGGGGTGGGAAACTTTTGTTTTGGTTGTTTTCTTTTAGTAAAAGTTTATATTATAAAAAAAAATTTAAAAAAAAAATTTAATTTAAAAAAAAAAAAAAAAAAAAAAAAAAAAATTGTTATTCTTAGTCCGTTTGTTCTTGTTAGTTGTGGACAATTCAAAGTATAGTGAAATTTCAATTTTGAATTTGATATTCATAGGTGAGTTTAAAGGTTTGAACATGCTTCCATTATGAAATCTAGGATAAAATTTGCAATCACAGTTATTTACTTTGGATTAGTGGATTAGTCATATGCTTCACCTTGAGACTTTCACATGCACGCCAACATTCTTGCAGGGAGTTAAACGAGTTTTGAGTATGCTCATCCTTTTCTTTTATAAAATATAGGACTAGTTAGCATTTAACTAAAAGAAAAAGGTATAACATATTGAAAGTGACCAAAGAAGTCACAGCCCTATGCAAAAGCAAAGTACAATTCAATGAAGCTAGGGTGAAAATTGAAGTGAGCTAAAAGCTAAAAGTCGGAATTACATACAAGCCTTTTCAACTCGAGTGAGTAAGTCCTTCGGGATGTCTTCACATTTAGTGCCCTAAAGTCATTTGATTTGGGAGTCACTGACCTAAAGCTCGTTACATGGGTTGATTAGAAAAAAACAGTTGTTTGCTAGGTAGTCCGTATTTTATAGCATAAGAGGTGCTGCATACTTGAGATTGGTTTAATTTTCTGCGTTTGTGTTGGCCTCACACTACACCAAGAATAGCATGTGAGTTCTTTACTAATCTTTTGTAAATCTCTTTGATTGTATGAATTAATTGTTTAAAATTTTGGAAGTTTGTTCTTTCTTTTAAACCTTTCTATGAGTTGAGAATTCTGATTGGTGTTCCAATGTACTTTTGATTGATTGCAATGGGCGAGGAGAAAAATTGTACTGAGACTAACACCTTTGGTTTGTACGAAGAAGAGTCCTGTCTGTCGTGTGTTTCTGTTTCTTTTTGTTTGTTTTCTTCTTCTTTTTTTTCTTTCTTCGTTCTTTATTTTTTGCTCGAGGACTAGCAAAATCCAAGTTTGGGGGTATTTGATGTGTTCATAAATTCACATGATTTTATATCCTTTTTACTTAGTTTTGTGAATTAATTTGGACTAAAGATGCTGAGTTGAGTTATTTCCTGTTTTTCAGCTTATGAGCCACGGAATGAATAAATTCGTCAAATATTCATCGTAATAGAGTTCGACATGATTCGAATTGGAGATGGGAGACAGCATCTTGAAGTTTATCCATGAATATTTTCATAATTTTTGAAGACTGCTAAGGTGCCCATTTTTAATTAGACAATTCAGCATAAATCAATTCCCGGAGAATACTGAGTCAGCAGGGGTATTTTGGCTACAACTCACTTATACGACATCGGATTGAGGCACATGATATATGGCTGAAAAGAAGACATCCAGAGCTTTCCAAAGAGTGGTCGTACGTAATTTTTGGAGGTCAGAAACGTGTCCAAATCGCATTCGCAATGAGGATCACGTGCAGTTTCCTGGAGGTTTTAGGAAACTTAGTTTTAATTAGCTTTTCTAGTTAGGAACTGACTTGGAAATCAAGTCTTCGTGTAAGGCCACTTGTTTAGGCCCATTCTAACTAGGTTTTAGGTTCTTTTAAGAGGGGAGGTCGTAGAGGCTCAGGGGACCAGAAAATTTCAGACTTCAACCGTGGAGCAAGGAAGAGCCACCGTGCCTCTAAACTCTAAGGGTTTTCCTTATCTCTTTCTCCATGTTTTATTTTTGCTTTGTTACCATGATTATGAGTAACTAATTTTCTTTTACTAAGACACAATGTAACCCTTTTCTAATTATTCAAAGCTTAGTTATGTCATGCTATTAGAGTTTCCATGTTGTTGAAATTTAATCACTGTGCTTATTTTCCTAACTAATGATCTTGATGCTTAGCTACCATCTAGGTTTTTGGTTAAGTAATTTGATGCATGTTAGGGTATACGCCATGCCTAATATGAGTTTTGCTTTTTTGTGATTAAATTCATGAATGCGCCTAAGGTAAACACTATACTCTTAGGGGTTTGTGTGATTGTGTGAAGTTCTCATTGAACCTAAGGTCTTTTTATATGTTTATATTTATGCCTCACGCCAAGGATAAATTGCATGTAAGAAGAAGTGGTTAATTGCTGTGAAAAGAATTAGTCATAATTTTGGAGAACTAATCATCAACATAACTTGGGAATTTTGATAGTATGCATGCTAAGGTTTGGATAAGAGGAATTGTGGTGAAATTGTTGTCTTGGTAAGCTTCTTTAAAATCTTTCACAAACTTATTTAGTTCACGTTTTCCTTCGTTATCTTGTCTTTTAATTTTCTTGTTTTCAACGTTCTTTCAAAGAAAATCTTTCAAAACCAACTTTCAAAAATCCTCTATTAAGTTTTAGTTGAGTCATTAGTTTTAAGTTTATTAATTAGGGTGTCTAGAGTAATTTAGGATTTAAATTAGTTTATAATTCACAACAACTTGAGAATTTATTCAATCTCTGTGGGAACGACCTTGTACTTGCCTTGGCTATATTGCATTAACCTTGTGCGCTTGCAAGTTTATTTCTTGAATTTAACTATCTAATTTTCAGGTAGTAAAATTATACATCAAAAAAACATACGACTCACATAGAAAACCTGCAAAAGAAAAAGTTATAAATCTGCAAGCTTCCTCCTCATCTCCTGATAACCAAATCAGAAAATCTAAAAGGAAACTAGAAATCTAAAAAAATATGTAAACAAACTATACAAATCAAGAGAGATAAAATCTAAAATTAGGGAGACAAAGAACATACCAGAAACGCAAAGAGACTAATCTAGAATTCACTAGCAAGATATAGAAGGGTATTAAGAGATTTGGTGACTTTCAAATCAAACCTTTCAACCAGATTTGATTCTCAAATACAGAACATCCCTCTACATCTTATGGATCTGCGAAGACCTCAATCTCTCAACTCCTTCATTGATATCAATTTTTTGATGATTTTGTAGAGAGTTTCATGAGGGTGTTTTAGAGAGTGCAGGAGGGTTTCAAGGAGGGGGAAATAAGGTTTTCAGAGACGGGGGAAAATCTGAAAATTTGTCGAGCGCGAATTCACTTAAGTAGCATTTTTTTAGCGTGTTATAAAAGACGACGCTTGTTAATGAGATATAAGGTTTTCAAAGACGGGTGAAAATTTGAAAATTTGTCGAGCGCGAGTTCACTTAAGCGCCCATTTTTTAGCGTATTTTAAAAGACGACGCTTTTTTTTTAAAAAAAATTGTCATCTTTACACATAATAGACGACGGTTTTTATAAAAAAGCGTCATCTTTTCATATAATAGACGACGGTTTTTTATAAACAGCGTCATCTTTACATATAATAGACGACGGTTGTTTTATAAAAAAACGTCATCTTTACATATAATAGACGACGATTTTATAAAAAGCGTCATCTTTACATATAATAAACGACGATTTTTATAAAAAGCGTCATCTTTACATAATAGACGACGGTTTTTTTATATAAAAAGCGTCATCTTTATTTCATAATAGACGACCCTTTTTTAAACAAATCATAATCTTTACATATAATAGACGACACTAGTAGATACCACAAAATCTTATGTTATATTTAACGAAAGTATAAATAAACTCTTAATTGTTAGTGAATATATTGTTTTGATGGCATACGCATTTTAAGAAACTAGTTTGAACGATCCAACCGTCAAACTTGTTTGTTTATACTTCGAGATCATATACACCAAAAATGAGAAAAAATATACATTCAGAGCTCAAGTAACAGGACAAAAAATTTCGACGGTTATAAATGAAAAATCATGATTTAACGGTTATTTTAACTCCGATTTTGATGATTTTTTACCGCTACACTCCTTGACCCTATATGAATACAATGATTGAATTTGATCTTCAATTTAAAATATTTACACTAGTGGATATCACAAAATCTTATGTTATATTTAACGAAAGTATAAACTCTTAATTGTTAGTGAATATATTGTTTTGATGGCATACGCATTCAAACTAGTTTCAACGATCCAACCGTCAAACTTGTTTGTTTATACTTCGAGATCATATACACCAAAAATCGGAAAAAATAAACATTCAGAGATCAAGTAATGGGACAAAAAATTTCGACGGTTATAAATGAAAAATCATGATTTAACGGTTATTTTAACAAACCATCATCTTTACATATAATAAACGACCCTTTTATTTATTTATAAAAAGCGTCATTTTTACATATAATAGATGACCATTTTTATAAAAAGCATCATCTTTATATATAATAGACGACCATTTTAAAAAAAAACGGTCATCTTTACTTCATAATAGACGACGGTTTTTTAATAAAAAGCGTCATCTTTACATATAATAGACGACCTTTTTTTTTATAATAAAAAGCATCATCTTTACATATAATAGACGACGGTTTTTATAAAAAGCGTCATGTTTACATATAATAGACGACGGTTTGTTTATAAAAAGCGTCATCTTTACATATAATAGACGACGGTTCTTTCAAAACAGCCATGTCTTTACCAAAAAATGACACTTCATTTTTAAAAGACGACGCTTGTCATACCTACTGTTGTTGTTTTTTGGTCAGATTTTAACTCTGAAGAAAACCTTTTTAATAAGACGATGCTTTTTTATTTGTGTGTGTCGTTATAAAAAAATATTCAACAGTACCTCTGTTTTTTTGTTGTTTAAGTCACTTATCCACGACGGTTTTTTGTTACCGTCGTCTTTTTAAATACAATGACGGTTTTTTCTTCTACCATCGTCTTTTTCACTTTTTGTAGTAGTGTGTTATAATAGACACTCATTGGAACAACTTCTATCAAGGATGTCTCCTCATCTGACCTATGTAAGTTGCTGAAATGAGGCCTGCAAGATGACCTACGAAACTGAACTGACAAGGAGTGTAGCCCAAATTGGGTTTGTCTTTAAGCTCATATTCCTCTTATCCCAATCAGCCCTTAACATGCATGAATTGTATCAAATGTCATCCCCTTGCTGTCTCAACCTACAAAATACACAAACATAAGTAAGAAACTCAAAATAAAGAGAAGCTAAACAAAATTACTAAGCAAAGAAGGCATGCAAATGTGTGAAATTATGACCTTATCAAGTTGTCTCGAATTTGAAGTCTCAAATGTATTAATTCTAAGAAAGATTAGTGTATAATGGTTTTAAAAAAAAACTTTATTAATTAGCATATGGTAAATGGCTATTTTTGTTCTAGGGTAGGTGAATGAGTTTTAATTTTTTTTTGTTAAAGGTCAATGAGTAAGCCCATATGCTATAGGAATGACTAACATTTACGTTTTTGTCCTTTTCCTTAATCTTTTTTTTTTTGCACCACTTTAAACCCCCACCCACAACTGACACCAGCTGCCACCCGCCACCCGCCAACACCCTCTTCCGCCGCTGACACCAGCCACTGCTACCATCCTCTGCTGCCACCCATTAACCACCATCTCCGGCCACCACCCACCACCCACCACCAGTTGTCATGTGACACCATTTTGGGGGCGTTGGTGGTATTGATTGGGTTGGTGAATTCAGAGGCATAGAAGGAGAAAGTGAGATGGAGAGAAGGGATTCCAATGAGGATGGGCCAGTCAGATCATCAAGGAGTTCAGATCCAACCCGATGTGGTTCCCGTTGATATGAGATGCATGACTTGTTGCACGATGCAATCGTAGGCGTCGAGGGAAGAGAGAGCTTGAACAAGAGGCAAGACAAGGAAGTGTGGTGGAGAGGTGAGAAGATAGCGGAGGAAAAAGCCTAAGAGAGCGTAGGATACGTCGATGGTGGGAGATTGGGGGTTGGAAATGAAGTTGGAGTTTGAACTCGACGTGGATGTTGAATTTAAAGGCAACAAAACCCGACTGGGTTTTGATGAGAGAGGAGGAGGAAAAGAGAGAAAGGAAAGAGAGAGTGTAACACCCTGACCCAACAAATTGTTTTATCTAATTAATTAATTGTATAATTACATGTTTGTCCTTGGGAGTAGGGGCACTTTAGTTGCTTTTTGTTCGGGAAAGAATTTGGGAAATTGAGCGGCACCATTGTGTAGAACTCGTCGATACGAGTTCATAAACAGGGGGCAGGTTCAATTCGAAGTTAAAATGAAGAATAAACTTTCAAAATACTAATGTTTTCAATAATACTTTTGGCGGTTTATATTCCTTACATTTTAAATAATCAAACATGATTTAATGAGATTTTAGTATAAAGTATATACATTGACTTATTGAGGTATCAATATTGATATAAACTGTATCTTATACTAAAACTGGATTTTAATATTTTGATTTGTTGGGAATTTGAATTTCTAGTATTTCTAGTATTTTTAATGGGGCATGAAAATAAGGGAATATAAGGCAATGGGCGGGCAGAAGGTTATAAATCCTAAGCACAAGCCCTATCCAACCTTAGAAGGTTGAGCCGAGCGGGCCTAATTAACCATCGGGTCAGGTTGGACTTTGGCCCATTAAGCCACGAGTTACCCACTTTGGTCCGCGGACTACGAGCCAAATGATGATATCCCTATTTTAGATCACCCATTCCAGATTATTTATATCAGCCTCAAGTGACTTTTGTATTTTCTCAATTACTTGTTTCTCCTTTTGGTTCTTTGTTCAATTTCTAGACTACTAAATGCTGTCTTGTACCTAACACACTAAATAAAACAAGGAATTCCCTTGGTAATGATAGCCAAAATCATCATCATCATCAGTAATATGATAAAAGTAGATATAACACAAACATACCTCATCATATGATGCACTAGTTTCCGAAGTGCTTTCTGAAATGTCACGAGATGTCATGCCCCTATAATTCAAGACCTTTAAGTTGGTCCTTCTATCCAAAGTGAAAAGGTCCACAACCTTGGGATGATGGTTCATCTTTGCCAAGTGCAAAGGAGTATTTCATCTGTTTTTGGTTTATCAACATTTGAAACTCAACATTCTTGAAAAAATATTTGACAAGATTGTCCTCGCCACATCTTGCTGCATCATGGAGTATATTTTGGTCGCTTGAGTTCCTCAGCTCCATTGAATCGGGACAATGTTGAAGTAGCTCTTTAACAATGTTGACATGACCTTTGCTTGATGCATGATGGATCGGAAAGTTGCCACAATGATCCTTTCGATGAGAATCCACGAGACGTCTGCCTAAGAAGCGAACCCCTTCTAGATAACCAATTGATGCTGCATAATGCAGTGGAGTCCTCCCTGTCTCATCTTTTGAGTTCAAAATATTTGCTTCCATGTTTGATATTATCTTTAGGACTTCTGGCGTCAATAAATGAATCAAGCATAAATCAGAACAACATGATTATAATAATAATGTTTTTCTATAAAGATGTTGTAATATCTATCAAAATCTATCACTGTTGCTGTGACAACAAGAAAAGTCACATTAATACAGGCCCTTACAATTTCAAAACTCTAGACCATAACCCACCAATAATAAAACCTTTAAGTAAAACTCAATTTTAAAATTAGATGCCATATAGGATGTGTAATGTAATTTGATTTATTTACCAATTATGCCTTTAAATTAGAGATATTTAGTCAAATACCCATTCTTGGCACTAAAACTATAAATAAACCCTACATCATTTAATTTCTATAAACATACCCAAAAAATGACAGTTGGCCATATTGAATTTAATTTTAATTATTAAATTACTTTGATGCCCCATTAAGTGTTTTGAGCTTTTTTATGAGGTTTTTGGGTTGGGTTTGTTTTAAGAAATTAATGGCAGTTTTGTAATTTAAAAGAAGTTACAAGCCTTTTTGTTATGTTGTAAATGGCCTTTGGGTGTGTTTCTAAAGTCCATTTCATAGGGCTTTTTTATAATTTGAGCTCCTATATTGGGTTTTATAGTGAATCTCCCTTTAAATTACTCTTTAATTGCTGATAGTTTTTTAAGTCCCTAATTTTAAGCAATGGAATAATGAGCTACAATCCAAATTAGTTCAAACTTCCATTAATTAGGAAATATTTTTGCTTACCACTTTAACCTAAGGTGTATGTTCATCACCCTTCTTAATACTTGACATGTGTCGATAGATATAATCATAATTAACCTTTTAGTTTGATTTATGCAACTATAGTTATGCTTATGGACATGGTAATTTATAAAATTACCAATTATTGTATTGTGCTGGCCAAAGAAAGAATATTGTGGGTGTTGGTGGGACCATATGCTTCTAGTATTAAATGTATTATTAATTATAAAGATGAATTGGCACCTCAAAATGGTGCCATTTTGTTTTAACAATTATTTTTCACTTTGGCACGGATAAGTAATGGTGTCCTTTCAATGGGCGCTTACAAAGATTTAACAGTATCTTATAATCAATGGAAACCCCAAATATCAGATTCCAAGTTTGGAGCCATTCAACATGGCTTGGCTTAACTTAAATTGCTTCTATCTTAAAAAAAAGGTATATCTTTAATGGAAAATAGGGAAGGACTGAGCCAATAAATGACACTCAATAAGCAATAGTAGTGATAATACATACTCTACATAAAAAGGAATTATTATTTCAATGTACGAAACTTTTTTATGGAGGCCTAGAATTGCAGCAAACAACGGCGACTTGCCTTGAATTTCTGTGTTCTTGTTTGTCTGTCGCGAATCTCACGACCTGGTGCTCCGGGCCGAGGGGATGTGCATCAACACGTGACGTCCTTCTTTTGGATGTGGTGCGGTTATGCGCGGGCGTGCCAGCACGGTCTACCGTGCGTCGAGATGATGATGAGGTTCGGGTAGAAGATGGTTTAAATGTTGCGCTTGTTTTGCGTTCGACTCCTAATCAAACGGTCGTGGCCGAGAAAGGAACTGATCTCGGCCGTCAGGTTCATGGCCTGAGCTACAAGGCCGTTTAGTGGTGGTGTTGGTGGCGGGTTTTAGGCGGTGCTCCGGCACGTTGCTCAGAGAGCGACGGTTGTGTGATATATGGGGTGAGTGAGGCGATAACAGAGATAGTGCTCCGGCGCCTTGAAAATCAAGGGTCGTATGATATATTGATGAACGGATTTTCCTTACAATCTACCACTACTCCTAAGAAAACAAATAAAGGTATTGAAAGTGCATTATAGGAAAATATAATTTGCTCTGTGGGAGGCTTTTGGTTGGTGTTTGAACCCTTTGAATGTAGTCCTGAGCTTAGTATTTATAGGAGTCCTGGTGGGACATTCGAGGCTGACAAGACCTGCGCGGTGGAGCATGATCGGGGCAAGTGGGTAGTCAAATCGGCATTTGGGATCGTGAAGCATGGCTGTTTGGGGTTGAGACGCATGGTGGTGTGACCCCCATAAATCTCGGTAAATCTCGGCCACCGCCCTGATCTTGGGTTCTGCCCCCTTGGCCGTGGGAACGCATTTAATTCCCTGGTCTGGTGGTTGGTGATCTGACCTTAAGTTGTAAGATTACTTGTGAGAATGTCTGCGCCTAACCACCTTGATTTCCATCACCAAATCCTGACTTCAGCCACTTCCCTTGTACATTAAATGCTTCTTGTGACTAGTGAGTTTGCTGCGAAGTCAGAGGCATTACTTCATTACATGGAGCGTGGGGCCCTGAGGCCACGTGGTGATTCAACCACAGCTTTTTTAAGCCGTGTCTTTTACGGCATTCGGCCTCGACCTTCAATACTGCGGTCGCGAGGCCGAGAGGATTCTGCCTTTGCAGCTTTTCTTTTGTTCTTGGGAAGGTGAAATGCTTGACGAAACGGTAGGCGCCAAGGCCGAAGGGAAGTCCCTTCAATCAGTTCATGACCGTGATTTATTAGGCACAAACAGTTCTTCTCAACTGCTTTTTCTTTTATTAGCTTCATTATCTCAACAAGCCCTTGTTCAGCGGCCAGATACAGTGGGGACTTTTGTTCCTTATTCGTGTAAAGTGAAACGTTAGGATCGGCATGTTGATGTATAACCCTTGAGCTGAAATCCTTGACTCCAAAATTGCTCTGCTTGCATTTTATTTCATTTTTATATGTTTAAATTCTGTTTGTAACGTGAGCCATTGGATCATAGTCCAAGTGGTCTCTTATCTAGCCTAGGATATAATCTGTCAGATTGTGACAAGTGTAATCATCTCATAGGGTGATAAGATCAAAGGCTAAGATTTAATTTCTGTGTAAACCAGTTAGAGACGCAGTTCACTTCTCTCTTTTATACGAATATACATATGAACAGTAAAATGGTATGAACATATATCTAGCTTTCTTACAGAGCAACATTCTCTCTTATTTCATTTGATTTCTGTGCTTTCTCCCTTCCTCCCAAACATCCAAAAACATTGAAAACTATGAATTCTAACATGGCCTCAGAGCCAGGTTCGGTTGCTTAAACTGGGGGTGAATCTGTGAATAAAGAATCAGACTCGATTCAAGCTATTTTTGAGCTTATTTGAAGATCGAAGCTGTGATTTCTTGAACCCAATGTCTAATATGGCAGGATCCGGAACAACTGAGCTTCGCACACCAGTTTTCAATGGAGAAAACTATGAGCTTCGCACACCAGTTTGCTTGTTATGGAAAGCGTACAACACAGGACGTGTGGCATGCCCAACTTGGACACGCATCTCATTCAGTTTTTACTACATTGTTGAATAAGTACCACTTACCACTTGATGGTACAATTGTCTCCAATAAAAATTGTCATGTCTGCCCATTGGGAAAATCTTGTCGATTGCCTTTTGAATATAGACAATCTCATGCTCAATTTCCATTAGCTCTATTACATCTTGACTTATGGGGCCCTGCACCAATCTCCTCAAATTTTGGTTACCACTATTATTTATCCATTGTCGATGATAATACTCGGTTCACTTGGTTATATCCATTGGCTAAGAAATCAGAAGTTCTTGCTACATTTATTCACTTCAAGAAGATGGTGGAAAATCGTTTTAGCTCTCGCATCAAACAACTGCAGATTGATGGTGGCGGTGAATTTACTAGCAAATTATTCCTCACATTTTTAAGTGATCATGGAATATCACATCAGATCTCATGTCCATACACTCCCCAACAAAATGGAGTGGTGGAAAGGAAACATTGGCATATTGTTGCAACAGGACTTTGTTTGTTGGCCCAATCCCGCCTACCCCACAGCTTTTGGGTTGAAGCCTTCTCTACTGCGATTTTTCTGATTAATCGCCTCCCAACTCCTCAACTTGACCACATGTCTCCTTATGAGAAATTGCTTCAACGCATACCGGATTATACATTTCTCAAGAGTTTTGGTTGTGCCTGCTTCCCTCATATGGTGCCATACAACAGGCATAAATTATCTTTTAAATCTGTTCCATGTGTATTTATTGGCTATGATGATCATTATAAAGGCTATCGTTGTCTTGATCCTATTTCAGGTCGCATTTATATCTCCCGGAATGTGATTTTTGATGAGACAAGTTTTCCCTACCAGCAACCTCAGATTACACCTACCGCCCAATCCACACCTGCCTCTCAGTTTGATATTGGGCCCAGCCTGGACTCTTCACAAATCAACATTTCTACAAGTCCAGCCCAACCTGCCCCAATTGTTCTTGACTCTTCATCAGTCAACCCGTTCGCCAGCCCACCTCCATCTAATCCGACATAATCTGACCTTTCTCCCCGCTCCAACAGACACCATTCTTTCATCGTTCTCCCACTCCCAAAACCCCTTGCCGTCGCCTCTGTTTCCCTCGTCGCCTACAACCTCAGCATTAATCACAGACACCATAAACCCATCACCGGAGTCGACACCCCCCCTCTTCCCCTCTTGATCAGTCCATTCCTCCTTCTTCCCCTCTTGACCCATCTCTCTTCCCTAATTCTCCAGCTACACCAAACCCTCCCCAAAATTTTAAAAGCCTCAAGTCCATCATCCCCTTTGGTCCTGCCACAAAGCCCCTGTACTCTCTGACCAACCCGCACTCCTTACCCCATGCTCTCTCTGCCGCCTACTCTGATCCCATGTCCTTCGAACCAACAAGTTTTACCCAGGCTTCGAAATACAGTCATTGGCAAGCTGCCATAAAGGATGAATATGATGACGAATCAAACATGATCTTTGGTTCCAGCAACCTTTCAAATGAATATTGTGGGATGCAAGTGGGTTTTCAAATTTAAACGGAAAGCCGATGGCTCTATAGACCGCTACAAGGCTCGCCTTGTTGCCAAGGGATTCAATCAACAGGAAGGATTTGATTACAAGGAAACATTTAGCCCAGTCGTTAAACCGGCCACCATTCACACTGTCTTGTCTTTGGCTATGTCTTATAACTGGTCTCTTCAGCAGCTTGATGTTCGAAATGCCATCTTGAATGGGTACTTGCAAGAAGAGGTGTATATGAAACAACCTCCTGGTTTTCATGATTCCTCGCGTCCTCAAGATGTATGTCAGCTCAATAAGGCTCTCTATGGCCTTAAGCAGGCTCCTCGAGCTTGGTTTCAACGCCTCAGTTCTAACAACCCGGTCCTTAATTAATATTTAATTATTAATTTATTCCAATAAAAGACCACTATACCCCTAAAATATTTTAATGGTATAAAAGTTGACTTTTTGATCGGGAAGGAATTTTGGGATTTCAGTTATACCGTTGCGTAAAGCGCAGCGAGATGAGTCCGTAGACACATAGTGGACTCAAATCGGAGTTGTAACGAAGGAGTTATGATTAAAAGAAGTTCAGTGGCATAACTGTAAATATTTCGAAGTTCAGATTTTGTAAACCCAGAAATTTCTGGATTCGGGGGGGGCCTGGAGCAGCTGACTTTGGGAGCTATTTTCTCTCAGCTCCGACCCCCGATCCAGGCAAGACTAGTGCCAAACGAACCAACAAACTTTCCTCTTCCAGCCCTAGCCTTTCACCGCCTCGATCTGCAACCATAGTCCCAGAATCCGCCACGAAACAGGCGGTGCTGGACAGTTTTTGACAGAACTTCCAACCTTTCGTTCTTCGTCGTCCGGCCACCAAATCGGATGAGTGAGGTATGGTTTTCTAGCTATTTTTCATGCTCTAGCTGCTGGTTGGGTAGGATTTCAGAAATTTCAAGCGTAGATAGCTCGATTTACGACTTAGGTTTCAGCCAGTTTTGAGGGCATAGTTCCGGCCACTTTTTGGGATATGTCCAAGAACAAAAGTTGTTCCAAATGGGGTGTTTTACCTAAGTTAGGAGTTTGGGCCGGTGGTTCGGAGTTTTTCCGGTCGCCGAAAATTGATCAAGCCACCCATGCGCTGCCGGCGCATGGGCAGATTGGTGGAGACCACTTTCAGTTTTAGAATGATCCTTGTGTCGTCACGAGCACGTAGGATTTGGCGGATCTTAATTTGATTAACGTTTGAATCCCTAACGGGTCTCGCATCTTGTGTGATTTCTGGGTTCAATAGTTTTGCACCGTTGGATCGTAACCATTTTCAGATAGGTTAATCTAAACGTTCCCAGGATCGTATAGTATTTTATGGATCGTTAAACGAAGTCTCGGATACTCCAGGAATGCCAACCCTAGAACCAGGTTTACAGTAAACAGTTCAGTTACAGATCAGGAACAGAAGAAAGAACTACGTGTGGCTTGATCCCTTAGAAAGGGTACGTAGGCAGCCTACTGTTAGCAGGTGCAGCCACGAGTTGGAGTCCTCCAGTTTGTCTTATTGTTTATCAGGGTATTTTGGTCTTTTACGACCCACAGTCACCAGGTGTCAGTTTTAAACAGGATTCGGCCCGGATTTCAAAGTGGAATTTGGGTCGGGTCGTTTCATCAATGCCTTTCTTCTTGCTCAGGGATTTGTTCACAGTCACTCTGATCCATCACTCTTTATTCATCGCTCCTCTTCCTGCACAGTCTATGTTCTTGTATATGTGGATGACATCATTGTCATCGGGTCTGAAACTCAAAGTGTCCACCGATTTCTTGATCAATTGTGCTCCACCTTTGACAGTCGCCGAATGGGTGAGCTCAATTTTTTTTCTTGGCATGGAAACTACTCGGTTTCCCGATCATTTAATTCTTTCTCAAACCATATCTGCAGTTGATTTATTGAAACAGTTTAACATGACTGACTGCAAACCGTGTCCTACACCATTACCTTCTGACACTCGATTGTCCTGTATGGATGGTGATCCCTCTACCTATCGGAGCATGGTGGGTGGCCTCCAATATCTTACTCTACCGCGGCCTGATATTTCCTTTGCTGTTAATCAGGTGTGTTAGCTCATGCACAACCCTCGTTCTTCTCATCTTCAGGTTGTCAAGCGCATTTTTTGGTATATCAAATGTATAGTTGAGCAAGGTCTTGTGTTTCACAGGTCCAATGACTTTACTTTACGCAATTTCTCTGATCCTGATTGGGCTGGTTCTGTTGATGATAGACGGTCTACCACTAGTGCTTGTATTTTTTTCGGACCTAATCTTCTCACCTGGACTGCCAAAAAACAGTCTACTGTTTCTCGTTCTAGCACTGAAGCTGAATATCGTGCTCTTGCTCATACTGCCGCTGAAATCCGGTGGTTTGGTTTCTTGTTTCGTGAACTTGGTATTCCTCTTCGCTCTGCCCCTTGCGTCTATGTTGATAATCTCTCCGCCATTTATGTGGCTGCCAATCCTATTTTCCATGCTCGCACCCGTCATATTGGGATCGACTATCATTTTGTTCGCGAACTCGTTGCTCGCAAAGCTCTTCATACCTTCTATGTTCCCTCCTCTCATCAGATTGCTGACATATTCACCAAAGGCCTTAGTCATGAGCGATTTTCTCTTCTTAAATCCAAGCTCAATCTTCGCATTGCTCCGTTACGCTTGAGGGGGGGTAAAGAGAATACTACACCAGCAGATCCCATCCAATCTGTCAGTCCCAGGAAATCAGCTGATCCCATTACATCAGCCTTAGAAGCCTCCTAACCACAAGCACGGCATTCATCAGCCAGAATGATTAATTGTCAATTGCTCTGTAATATATGTAATTGATTGGACTTACCTTATATCGTTAAGTTTCTGTAAATAGACTTGAGAAAGTCTAACCCATGTACCAATATTTATACTGAAGATAATACAGAGAACGGGATCTTGACTGGCAATTATTCTTAATCTCTCTGTTCTCATCCCTCTCTCTTCCTCTTGAGTTCATTTTCTCATAATACACTGCTCTCACGAACAGAGATCATGATTAGTGTTCTGAAGATTCAATACTTGTGCAAATGACGCCAAATTCGGATATATTGTAGTAGACATCCTAATGAACAACTTTCATGAAGAACGAATATTCATTTGAGGAATGGAAGCTGGCCTGAATTGGGCCATAATTAGGCCCGAATTGCCACTGTTATCAGCTTTCGCTGTTGCTGGTATGCTTCTGATGTTTGATGTTGTGAGGATTCCAAATATATCCAAATGATCCCAAATTTGGATATGTTGCAGTAGACATTCTAATGAATAACTTTCATGAAGAAAGAAAATTCATTAGAGCTTTGGAATTAGGCCCGAATTGCTGCTATTAGCTTTTTGCTGGCGGTGTGCATCTGGTATTTTCAGCTCTTAGGATTCAAAATTTGTCCGAATAAACCCAAATTTGGATATGTTTCAGTAGACATAGAGATGAACAACTTTCATGAAGAGCGAAACTTGATTTGAGCGCTGGAAGTTGAAGTTTTGGCCCACTCCATCTCACTGCAGCAATGCATGTCTAGCCTTATTCTGGCCATTTTGATGTTCATAGAAAACTATCTTCCATTTTAGGCAAAAATACAATTTTTGGTACAAACATAAGCCCCCGAGTTTTCATGAAGTTGGGCAAAATTTGTGAAAATTATAGCCCTTGAGAATTTTGTCTTCTTGCTTCCTTGATCATGAACAAGCCACTGGATTTGGCCTTTTGATCCAGAATAACACGACATCATCCATGTATTGGCTGATACCATATTGAAATATTTGTGCCTAAGGCCATATTTGTGATAGACATTGCCATGTATTGGCTATGGAAAAGATGTGATGCTTTTTGGCCTATTGTTCTTATTTTATTGAAAGATTAACACTAAACTAACAAACAACTGAAAAATAGAAACCAATTAACTAGACTTAAGTAAAGCAAGAAAATAAAGAGTTTCAAAGTGCGGTTTTGACAAATCTGACCTCTGTTCAGTTTTTAGCTTTTAACTTTCAAACCACTAGCCTGATTTTGACGTTCTTTGCATCATTGGATTCAGCACGAAAAAACAAAGAACGCTATGCAGGCCAATTTCTCAAAATGTTACCTCACACCATAGGGGGTGGCCAACCATGTTTCACTCCAAGCCTTGCTTCCCTTGCTTCTCTTGAATTTTCAGCATGAATTTCATGTTTTTGTAGGATATGAAGCAAGGTAGGAGGATTGTGCTCCAAAGAAAATGGATGCTCAGGCCCCTTAGACATGGATATTTTTGGGCCACTTTTGGCCTCAAGTTCTAACTTAGTCATTGATGATTTTGGCAAGTTAGTTTTGTTACCCACAACCGTATCAATTTCTACCCTGACCATATTTTGGTCTTCGTAAAAATTAACTTGTGAGTCCTCCTTTGTTGGGATCTCCTCATATTTTTGCTCTTGGACCATTTTTTGGTCCTCATCCTTCACCTCCTCCAGATTTTCGATTTTTTCAACAGTAGGAGGAGTTGGTGGTACAAGAGAATTCTCCTGACGCAATGTATTGAAAAAACTCCTTAAAACCTTTTAACATTTTTTCGCAAGCTTGGGAGAAATCCTCGCAATGTTGAGATGACAACTTGGACAGATTTTCATTGGGTTCCTCCCAGGCTGTTTCAAGTAATGCGTGAGATTCATTGATTGACCCTGGGCAACCATTGAAGAAGTTATTACAGCCATAGTTCGGCTTGTAGCATTTTGAATCATTATCTTCCTCATAGCCATAGTCAGTTCGCTCATGAGTACTTTGATGATAATCAGTTTCTTCCTCATAGCCATAATCGTTTGGCTGAGGATTATTTTGATCAAGGCCATAATTTGGTTCAGGATCATTTTCACTATAATCACTATCTTCTTCATAGCCATAATTGTTTGGCTGATGATTATTTTGCTCATAATCTGTATTTAGCACACAGCCATTATTATTTGGCCGTTGTTTAAGTTAGATTTAAAATTCTATCACATTTTTGGAGAATAGCCATATTTTGGTCTGAAACAATATAGTGTCCTGTATTCTCTTCATAGCCATCATTAGTTGGCTCATGAATATTTTCATAATAGTTAGTTTTTAGCACATAGCCATAGCCTGGCACGTACTTATACTGATTCAAAATAGTATTCTCCTCATAGCCATGATTAGTTGGCCGAGTATTATTTGATCAGTTTTTAGTACTAGCCATTATTGTTTGGCCGGTAGCTAACTTGATGATTAATATTAATATTATTATTAGGATAATAATAATAATTTGGATCCACTACAAAAAAAAGTGGCAACAGTCACCATTTTGTCACCAATTTTGGTGACTGTTGTGGAGTTACTAAAGGCTTTAGTCACCTTTTTTGACTTTTTTGGTAACTAAAAAGGCTTTCAGTCACCTTTTTTGCTTTTTTTAGTGACTAAGGCCTTTAGTAACCCCCACAACAGTCACCAAAATTGGTGACAAAATGGTAACTATTGCCACTTTTTTTTGTAGTGATCATAGCCACAATTTGGCCACTCATCTCCATCATCCTCGCTATAGTCCGAATCATAGTCGTTGGGACCATATTGATTCATGACTTGAATTTCGCCACGGACCCAGGATTTTAAAATGGGGTGGGCTAGATTTACCTTATTGAACTGTTAGATTTTAGGCTTATGGAATTGATCTAATGTGTGTGTGTGTGTATATGTGTGTGTATATATATATATATATATATTTGTTTAAAAGGCCTATTTTACACCGACAATGTCAGTTAAGGTCTACCATGATGAACAAAAATGAATTAAGAGAAAAGAAAATTCATAATAAAATTCAAAAATGAAAATTTATCATCACAAAGATAGAGTCAGATAAACACACGGCAACTAGAGGTAACACTACAATTATCCAATTAGTTCAAATTAATATTTCTGCTATAAAATGGGATTAACATTAACACTAACTATAAGAAATAAATAAATAAAACTCACCTGGGGACCGTCCCTGACTAGATGTCCCATTGGGCGTGCCAAAAATGTTTACCCCGAAAAGGACCTGCCGGCCATTCACTTAGGGTTTGGCCGTGGAGTTTGTTTGTTGCGATTGCGAAGGCGTGCCACTGTTGGCAGTGAAAAACTCCAACAAACTGAAAATGATAAGATTGGAAAATGCGCACCGATATTGACTTTAATCAATTGATTGTGGATTGGGCGGAGAACTGACCCATTCATCTAGGTCGAAAAGGGTAACTGACAGAGAATGACAATGGAAATGACATAAGTTTATCGGAATATTTCTCTATTCAGACAACTTGAAAGAAAAAGGAAGTACATAAACAACACAGCCTGAAGATTTCTCTATTCAATCTTGTACAAGGAAATATCATACCAAGAGTTGGCAGAGAAAGATAAAGAAAATTCCTCAGGAGTTGTCAATTGGGAAATTCAGAGAATGAAAAAGGAAGGCTGTTTCAAGCTTTTGAGTTGGGTTTATAGATGTTGAGTCTGGTTTTTTGTTGGTTGAGTTGTCTGTTATTTGTTGATGAATTTTCCTTCAATTTATAGAGAATGGAGGTCGGTTGAATAGACCAACAGTCAATTTGAAGTACCCACTTGCCATTGGTTTTGGTGTGTGGGTTGCGTGCAAATATAAGTAAACCCAAAAAAGTTGCTAAGAGGCTTTGATATGATTTGACAAAAGCTATCACTATTAGACTTAAAGAAATCCAAAGTATTAGTCCACTTGCCATTGATTGGTGAGTGACAACCAAAAGTAGCTGACTAAAATACAAAAAGAAATGGAGAGATAATGACCACCATCCCTACTTCTTTCTTTATTCATTCTTTAAGCCCACTTGAATATTATTTTATTCTTCTTTCAACATTTGTGTAGACTTTTCACGTTTTGAACTTTGGCTTTGTTTTAATATTCATCACAGAGAATATTAAATTGTTTCCATCTACCACATCTTCATTATATTCTTCTTTGAATCAACCCACTTGTGATGAAGTCCCTACCCGAGGATTGACGACTGTAACGACGAGAAGTTTGCCCAGAAACTGTCGCCATCGTCGACGATTATTCTTGCCACTCCAGGACGCGCCACCACTTGGAAAAGATAGCTCTCTTCTCCCTCATCCCTTTCCTCAGTTGTTTCGACGCTATTGGTGGCCATAACTTCCGGCCTGAAATTGGGAAATTTTAGTTAAAACTCTCATGGGTTTAGCCGTGATTCACACTTTTCCAAGAAATGTTCCCCTTATTGGTCTGATTGTGTTGGTATAGGGCTTGATGGGTAGTTTGGAGATTTTTCGTCGCCGGAAATTTCTCAAGACACCGATCGCTGCCCTCGACGGGTGGAGGCGAGTCAGCTAGATGTCAATGACATCTTTTTGATCTAGAATTGTTCCATTGTCATCCCAAGCACAACGCTATGCTCGGATTAGCTATTTTTGACCATTTGAGTATTATACCAAAAATCTCCTATTAGGCGTTTCCGAGTTCAATAAGTTAGGACTGTCGCGTCATGACAAAACTCTTGGGACATGTTTAGTGGATTGCATTAGACCTATAGAAACTTTCAGAATGGTAATCAGAGGTCGTGGACCCAGCGGGTCTAGTTGATAGTTTTGGAAACTATGAAGACTCGGTTAACCACAAGTCTTATGAGATTGTCTCAACCCTTGTTTAGCATTAGAATGGGCCCAAAACCTTTTCTTAAAGGTTGGGCATACACTGTGAGACCCGGGAACTAGGTTATTGATTTAAAGTTTAGTGTTGGGTTCGATTACTAAGTTAATCCTTGTATTCTCTCAAATAGGTTTTCAGGCACAACGTACCCGTAGAGGGTTAAGTGTGCTTTGGACCTACTGTGAGTGGACATTTGTTTTCTAAATAGTTTTATGAAATCCTTGAATTGTGATTATCATTTGTATTGTTTTGTGGAATTGATGAATTATGAATACCAGATTTAGTTTGAGAACGGTTTTGAAGGATTATACATGGTCTGAGTGAAGTTAATGAATTTTGGGATTCATATCGGTTTTTAAAGGGATTTTGCTTATTTATTTAAGATAGGATTTTTGGAAAGGTAATTGAATTTTGGAATTAAGATTGGTTAAAAGAATTATGCATGTTACTTGTGGATTGTTTTGGAAAGTGGACTGGTGGAAAAAGGAAATTTTATGACAAAGTTTTGGGAAATGGATTTTCAAACCCACCTTAGGTACCCAATTCCTAGTTGCCTTCGGAATATGTTGGTTACCTTCCGAATATATCGGTTGCCTTCTGTAGAGTCTGTGCACATGACTAGTTTTGCATGTACCTATGTTTAATATATAGGCCTAGGTGTCCGACTAGTGATATGCATGTACCTACAGTTTGATTACTCTGTAGGTGTCTGACCAGTGTATTACCTGTATCTGCTTTTGTAGGAATTCGGCCAGTGAATTGCCTATACTCGTATCACAAATACGAGTGTCCGGCCAGGATTTTCTATTGCCACCCTACCTATTGTCTACACAAGGTTGGTCAATTTCCTCATCGGTATGCCTGGGTGGAGAGTTTTTATCTAGATTGGTTTGAGGCTTGAATTTTGTTGAATTATGTGTTGAGATCGTTTGCTTTATTGGATTTTAAATGATGGTTTGAATCACAAATTGTGTTAATTGAATTTTGCTTACCAGTTAATTGCGAGTTGGTTTTAGGTAGTTATGTATTTATCACATTTCATTCTTGTACGTGTATTTACAAGTGTCTCGGTGAGTTTTCAAAAGTTTGTGAAAATAGAGGGGTTAATATGTTCTGTATTTATATTTCGAGAAAAACTTTCTTTTTGTCCAGTCACATTTTTACTGTTTTGCCCCCCCCAGGCAGTTGATAGCTCAAAGTTCGGGCTACCACGTGAGCTACTCCATCTTCGTTTCCTCCCAGTCAATCCACTTTGTAGGACTCTGCCTTATGTTGCTTTGTATTTTGGAACTGATCTTGTAAACTAAACTCCAGTAATTGCTTTGATATTGCCCATGTAGGATTGAATTTGAGGCCGGATGCCTATTTTGTGAATTGTGTGTTTTAGCATTGTGTGTGTGCTGCCAGTTGGGTTTTTGTTTATGTTGTTTGACAGGTGGAAAATTTTGGAAAATGTTTGTTTTACAGTGTAGACGCCGCCAAATTTTCAGTAGAGAATGTTATTTTAGTAAGTGGGCCCGACATGTCACATCCTAGGATTGGCTCCGCCGTAGCACTATATTGTTCGCTTTGGGCCCCCTCTCTACCCTCAAGGTTTTGTTTCTGGGAGCTCACGAGCAATTTCCCAGTGGGTCACCCATCCTGGGATTGCTCTAGCCCCAACTCGCTTAACTTCGGAGTTCCCATGACTCCGAAGCTAGTGAGCTCCCAAAAGGCCTCGTGCTAGATGGAGGCGGGCATGTACATATAAAGCACATCACCCCCTCTTTGTTTGTCGATGTGGGATGTTACAATCTACCCCCCTTAGAGGCCTGACGTCCTCGTCGACACACTCGCACCACACAGTAGAGTGGCTCTGATACCAAATTGTCACATCCCGGGATTCGCTCCGCCGTAGCACGATATTGTCCGCTTTGAGCCCCCTCTCTGCCCTCACGGTTTTGTTTCTGGGAGCTCATGAGCAATTTCCCAGTGGGTCACCCATCCTGGGATTGCTCTAGCCCCAACTCGCTTAACTTCGGAGTTCCCATGACTCCGAAGCCAGTGAGCTCCCAAAAGGCCTCGTGCTAGATGGAGGCGGGCATGTACAATTGGATGTGGGATGTTACACAACATCGGTTAGATGTCGGACGAGAACAGGGTTCATCACAGATTCCAGGAGGAATCCGGGGCAGATCCTGTCAAACCACACGTCAGCTTAACTTCTCTCTTTACAATTAGCCAAACACTAGAATTACTAATATATACTTTGCATTAGTTATGCATCCTGCAAAGCCATGAAGAATTTCATATATCTTCTATCAGTTATCGATAGTTTGAGCACTTCTCTTCAAACAATTTTCACCAAGCTTTATATATGTATATGTATATGTATATATATGTGTGTGTGTGTGTATATATATATATATATCTATGGAGTTTCAATTGAGGGATTCCTCAAATATACTTATTTGAGGGACACATTTGTAGAGCCCATTCCGTATTGTATTTCACTAATCCAATTTCTATTTTATATATTGTATATAAAAAAATCATCATCACAAAATCATACAAAAAAAAAAAAAAAAAAAAAAAAAAACAATCACTGAATCCGATATGATTTGACCACTAAATTAAATTATTGAAATTTTAGTACTTTCTTGAATACTGTGTTCATTGATTTTGTAGGACACAATTGGATATTGAAATGGTTTCCGATTTGTATAATTTTTTGCAATAATGATCTATGAATGTAGACTTAAAAAATAGATGGTTTGGATCGTTTAAAAAAAATATTTGTAAGAGACCCTAAAGGGCGTCCCTCAAATAAAATTATTTGAGAGATTCCTCAATATATATATATACAATCCCCTTCTATTGAGGAATCTCTCAAATAATTTTATTTGAGGGACGCCCTTTAGGGTCTCTTACAAATATTTTTTTTAAACGATCCAAACCATCTATTTTTTAAGTCTACATTCATAGAAGGAGACTGTATATATATATATATATATATATATATATATATATACAGTCCCCTTCTATTAAGAAATCTCTCAAATAATTTTATTTGAGGGACACCCTTTAGGGTATCCTACAATTTTTTTTCCCATGATCCAAACCATCTATTTTTTAGGTCTTCATTCATAGATCATCCTTACAAAAAATTAGACAAATCGGAAACCGTTTCGACATCCAATTGTGTCCTACAAAATCAATGAACACGGTGCTTCAAGAAAGTACTAAAATTTCAATAACTCAATTAAATGGTCAAATGATATCGGATTCAAGTGATTTTTTGTAGAGATGATCTTTGAATGTGTATCTAAAAAATAGACGGTTTGAATTAGTGAAATACAATCCGGAGTGGGCCCTACAAGGGGTGTCCCTCAAATAAGCTTATTTGAGGAATCTCTCAATAGAAGCTATATATATATATATATGTGTGTGTGTGTGTGTGTGTGTGGAGGAAATAAAAATAGATTTCAGAATAATAAACAAACTGATCATTCTGAGTCACTCTTGACAAATTCTAACAGAAACAAATTAAGGCAAACACAGCTCACTAGCCAAACACAACCTGCTGGTTCTCGTTAAACACATTCACCATCGGCAAATAGATGGTTTACTGTAGCAATCCGGTGTAGTTCCTCCAACACGCAAGTAAACAACAGGCGTATATTCTCCTCAGAATTTGTTGGCACGGTGACGTGCTCTCGAACTATCCACCAAACTATCAACCACTTTCCTGAGGCTTTTTGGGAACTTATGCTTGAACCTGCCCCACAATTTCCTTGACAACCAAATGATAAGGCGAATGGTGTGGATTGAAGCGATTGTTAGAAGCAACGCAATCCAAACGAACACAGCGGATTTACGGGATCTAACTCCTTCCGGAACGAGAATGTCAGTATTTGGAACCACCAACAGGGAAGCCAGTAAAAAGGTGAGCGCCATAGAAGTGAGAGTGAGACACATGGCCATTGATAAAAGCCACATAATTAAGCGATTTCGGAGGGGAAATCCGCCAACAAGCAAAAGGTTGACACTGAGAGAAGCAAGAAACGAGATGGTATTGTATGTTTCGAACGCGAGGTAGACTTTTGGGAGGGCGCTGCCTGCCACTGAAGTTCCAGCCAAGCATATGCTATTTTGGGTGCAATAAGTAGTGCCTCCAGCGCTACTATTTGTATGATTGTCTTGCCAAACACCACCGGGTGGGTTAACTGCAGCTTGGAAAGTTGTAGTTGATATCATGGTTGCCACAATCATCAGCATGCTACGTGTCTCTTCCAACCAAGTTTTTGGGTATTCCAAGCAATTTACCAGTCTATTTATCAGCCACCAAGCTGTTGCTATTGCTGTGTGCTGCTGAATCTGAACAGCAGCGGCAGTAGTTCTTTTTGTTTCTATACCTGGCTCAACCAAAATTTGATCAAGCTCAGGCAGGCTGCTCGAGTCTCTTGCATTTTTCTCTGAGGAATATAACTGGATCACGCCATTTGGTTCTTCTTTCACAGCAGGTATCACCTGCGCAACTCGTACTATTATTATGTCGAAAACTTTGCTGCTTGAAACCCAACTCGTACTAAGAATCGTGCATGTAGGTGTAGCATAAAAAATTAATCCCAACTCAAAAAACAATAATACCGGTGAATAAAATTTAAATTGTAGTTGTCTCGAATTTAGAGTGTCAAATGTATTAATTCTAAGAAAAATTATTGTATAGGGATAAAAAAAACTTTAATAACTATTATATGATGGCCTATTTTTGTTCTGGGCTGGGTGAATTAGTTTAAAATTTTGTTTTGTTAAAGGTCAATGAGTAAGCCCATATGCTAATACCTATAGGCATGACTTACATTTACGTTTTTGTCCTTTTCCCCTTTATTTTTCGGCACCACTATAAACCCCTATTGCCACCTGCCACTAACCGCCACCCGCCAACACCCTCTTCCACCACCGTCATCAGTCACCGCTGCCATCCTCTGCTGCCACTCATTGGCCACCATCTCCGGCCACTGCCCACAACAATTGTCATGTGACACCATTTTCATTTAATTTAATTTAAAATTATTTTTTTAAAAGAAGAAGATAAAAAATACGCACACTGCATTGCAGTTTTATTGTAAAAGCCTAAGTATACCAATAATAACATAAAAATACACATTGCATTGCCCTTTCTATTCTAAAAGCCTAAACAAAACCAATATAAAAGTGGCATAAAAATACACACTGCGTTGCAATTTCTATTCTATAAGTCTAAAATTATCAATATATAAGTAACATAAAATTATACACACTGCATTGCAGTTTCTATTGTATAAGTCTACATCCCAATATAAGAATAACATAAAAATATATACATTGCAGAATTTATTGTATATACCTAAAAAATAACAATATAATATACATAAGGGTTTAAAACTTATAAATTTTGTAAGTTTAAATTGATCTATTTATATAACTCTAGAGTATGACAAATCGGTATTGATTAAATAATTTTTTTCTTCTAAAAAAACCTTTGTCTTTAATATAAATATTGTGTAACTGAACAAATATCACAAAAATAAAGTTGGTGAAGGGGTTTGTGATTGAGGCTTCCTCCTTTGAAGGAAGGTTTGAGTGCCTTAAAGTACACAAAATGTTCTATTTTTTAGAGTGAATAAGGGGCGCCGGAGTTGGTCTCCAGTTGGAGGAGGTGGTGGCAGAGGAGGCGGGTGAGAATGTGTGTAATTTTTAGGTTTTTTAATTACATTATTGTAAAATTAGATGCTATATTTTAGTCATTGACCTTATCTAGATTAGGTGAAATTGGGTTCGTATCTACCACAATAATAAAGTTCCTATTGAGTTCCCTTAATTCTATGTGTTAATTTACCAGATTTCACTATGTCAAAATTCACTTTAGGCATTAGTTGATAGGCATCGGTAAACTGGGAAACTGATGTTGTTAGTCTCTAAGGCACCAGTTCCATAAGTAATAGGAGGACCATAGGTTTATAAAGACCTCGCTACTAATGCTTGGCAATCCTTGCAAATGAAGTAGCATCAGTCGATATTTAAACTGATGCCATATATATTTCAAGTTTTTTTTAGTAAAAGTTTTAAGGACCGATGTCTTTTACGCAGTTCAATTCATGCCAAAACATTTACACTTTGCCTTAAAAAAATTTGACCAAAATATTTAAACCCACTCGCACTCTCTCGCGTAAGTATCAAAACTCATTCTTCGTCTCTCTGCTCTCGAAATCTTACTTTCCATCAAGACTTTAACGATCGCAAGGGTTTGGGGAGAACAAGTTGAGATTGAATGCAAGGATTTGGCGAGCAGTTGTTGGTGGTGTTGATTAGGTGGGCGAATTCGGAGGCATAGAAGGAGAAAGCAAGATGGAAAGAAGGGATTTCAACGAGGATGGGCCAGTCAGATCATCATGGAGTTCAGATCCAACCCGATGCGGTTCCCATTGATATGAGATGGATGACTTGTTGAACAATAGGGCTGTCGTCGTCAAGGGAAGAGAGAGCTTGAACGAGAGGCAAGATAAGGAAATGTGGTGGAAAGGTGGGGATATAGGAGACGTGGACGGTGGGAGATTGGGGTTTGAAATGAAGTTGGAGTTTGAACGCGACGTCCCGGAGGGTGTCGAATTTAACGGCGATGGAACCCAACCCTTGTTTCGAAGAGAGAGGGGAAAAGAGAAAAAGGGAAGAGAGATAAGGGGGAGGGGGTGGGCGGCAGCGCCAAGAGGGTGGAGTGGAGATGGGTGACGATCGGTGGGGGTGGTGGCTGTGAGGAGATGGTAGGGTGTTAGGGTTTGTTTCTCCTTTTAGTTCTTTTTTCAATTTCTAGACTACTAAATGCTCACTTGTACTTAACATACTAAATAAAACAAGGAAGTCCCTTGGTTATGATAGCCAAATTCATGGTCATCAATAATATGATAAAAGTAGATATAGCACAAACTTACCCCATGATATGATGCACTAGTTTCCAAAGTGCTTTCTGAAATGTCAAGAGATGTCATGCCCCTATCATTCATGACCTTTAAGTTGGTCCTTCTATCGAAAGTGAGAAGGTCCACAACCTTCGGATGATGGTACATCTTTGCCAAGTGCAAAGGAGTATTTCCTCTGTTGTCTTTTTGGTTTATCAACATTTGAAACTCAACCTTCTTGAGAAAATATTTGACAAGATTTTCCTCGCCACATCTTGCTGCAACATGGAGTATATTTTGGTCACTTGAGTTCCTCAATTCCATTGAATCGGGACAATGTCTAAGCAGCTCTTTAACAATGTCGACATGACCTTTGCTTGATGCACAATGGATCGGGAAGTTCCCACAATGATCCTTTCGATGAGAATCCTTGAGACGTCTGCCTAAGAAGCGAACCCCTTCTAGATAACCAGTTGATGCTGCACAATGCAGTGGAGTCCTCCCTTTCTCATCTTCTGAGTTCAAAATATTTGCTTCCATGTTTGATATTATCTTTAGGACTTCTGGCATCAATAAATGAATATTGTATAAATTAGAACAACATGATATAATGAGAATGTTTTTCTATGAAGAGGTTGTAACATCTATCAAAATCTATCACATTGGTCGCTGCGACAAAAAAATAGTCACATTAATATAGCCCCTTACAATTCAAAAATTCTAGACCATAACCCACCAATAATAAAACCTTTAAGTAAAGAATAATACTACTCTTACCACATTTGTATACCACATCCCTATACCATCTTATGTGGCAGCTAAGATAGACAGCTACGTCAATTAAAATTATTTAATATTTTCTTTTCTTTTATGATTTATTCCAGTATTTGTTTTTCTAATTGTCTTAATTAAAATACACTTCATTGATTTAATTGATGTGGCATATAATATGGACATGCCACATCATGTGGTATAGAAATGTGGGATAAAAATGTGGTAAGTGTAACATTACTCTTAAATAAAACCCAATTTTAAAATTAGATGCCAATAGGATGTGTTCATGTAATTTGATTTTATTTACCAATTATGCCATTAAATCACTCTTTAATTGCTGACAGTTTTTTAAGTCCCTAATTTTAAGAAATGAAATAATGAGCTACAATCAAAATTAGTTCAAATTTCCTCTAGCTTGTGTAACAAAATAAAATTTATGCAAAATTGAAACACCATTAATATGCATAATGGAAAACAGAAATTAGAGGTATTTTTGTAATCTGAAAAAGTACAATAAATCATATTTTAAGCTTAATTAGGCAACTTGATGAGTTAGACTATAGTCATCGGATTTTACTTATAATAGTTGGGTTTTATTTCTAGAAAAATAAAATGATGGGTTGTAAATAAGACAATAGTTTGAAGAGGAAAAGTCATATTAACTATTTGAAAAAACAGAATTATTATTTCAATGTACGAACCTTTTTTCTGGCGGCCTAGAATTGCAGCAAACAACGGGGACTTGCCTTGAATTTCTGTGTCCTTCTCAATTGCTTTTTCTTTTATTAGCTTCACTATCTCAACAAGCCCTTGTTCAGCGGCCAGATACAAAGGGGACTTTTGTTCCTTATTAGTGTAAAGTGAAACGGCAGGATCAGCCTCTATCAAACACTTGGCTACTAATTGGTGACCTTGAATCAGGGCTTCGTGCAGGGCAGTGTTTTCCTCATTATTTTTCATCCTCAGCAACGTCAATACATCAGCATTATTTTCAACGTTTGTTGTTCCTCGTGCTTCACGGAGAAGAGTGTTTGTTGTCGTATCTATATCTTTGGCTTTGGCCGCAATGTGGAGCACGGTGTCACCTTCAAAGTTTTTCTCTAACAAAAGGGGCTTGTGTTCTTGCAAGATCTTGGCTGCTAGTTCGACATGGCCAGAGCTCACAGCTATGTGAACAAATGTGTTATTCTGGGGGCTTCGTCGAGACAGAAGCTGAACTCGAGCATTGGGATCATGAAGCTCATTTGCAATAGTGTCGTTAAATCTATTTGTGTTGCCTCGAGTAGCATAGCTGTACAGCTGCTGGTACAAGCGCAAGTTATCAGCATCACCATCGTTTTCGTCAAAGTCCTGTGTTCGATGATGCGCTTCCATTTCCTGTGATGGTAGTTCCGTTACAGTCCGTACCTCCCTATTAGTTAACGGCCTCTTAATTATATCAACTTAACTATATATATGATTACAGACAATTAAGTAATTAGATACAATCAAGGTCTGAACGTACTTACCGAAAAATGAGTTAGGAGGAACCCGTGAGAGAGAGAGGGAGAAGAATAGCTCGCTTCACTTCAAATGAATACAGTATTAGTTCTACACAACAACTCAATATGTCGCTTGGGAAACCCTAAACTGCATTATTTGTTAGAAAACTAGTAACTACTGGAGGAAGCCCACCAGGTCTAGCAAAACCAACTAGGTCCTCATGAAAGTGATGCTCCGCCGTTGGATCTCTAAAAAGATGGACGGTTGATGTTGGATTAGCAAAACCACCTAGTTAAAACTGATTACTAACATGAACGGCTAGCAACCAAAACAATGAGGAAATGAATGGCCGAGAAAACTGATGTATAAAAGGGTGTCTGACAGTAGAGAAAACCAAAAGAGGTGGTCCCAATTTGTTGGTCAGATCAGAGAATGTTAAGGGACAATTTGTGCTTTGTAAAATGACTTCTAAGAACTTAGGGCAAAAACCTCAAGTCACATAACCCTACACGGGATAATTAATTACTATGGGAATCAACAGACGTGGCTGAAAGCTATGGGTGGTGTTGGGAAAGCTCCACAAGTAATAATCACTGACCATGACAAATCTAAAAAATCAGTTATCTCAGAATGCTTATCATTGTTCTTGTTTGTGGCATATGTTGGGGAAGGTTTCTAAAAATCTTGGCCATGTAATTAAATTTATTAGTTAATTTAATTAAACTACTATGTATATCCTATTTAAAATACATTTTAGAAGAGAAAAATATTTTGGGATAGGATTTTTGACATCCACATGTCGGCACGTGATTACCTCTATAGATTTCTGATTATATTTTTTTATTGTTTTAGTCTTTGTCTTGTTTTAAAAACAACTTAACAATTAATTTAAATGGAAAAAATTAAGGATAGTCTGTAAAAGAATGAAGAGAATGTGAGAAATTATGTCAAAAGAATAAATTGATGAAGGATAATATATAAAATGATGAAGATGTTTTGGGGATTTTGAACTATGTTTCAATTTGTAGTCCTCACTTGGAGATGGCCTAATACACTGATGTTGAACAAAACAAAAAAGTTTAAAAATTATAAAATTCATGATATTTCTTGGCAGCACCATTTGGAATTAACCTTCTTCTTTTTGTTTTTTTGTTTATTTTTCTTTCTTTCTTTGGGCATGGTATAGTAGACTAGTTATCTAGTTTTCAAATAAATCACCTTAAGGCATGTTTGATAACAATTTTGTTGTACCAAAAGTGTCATTGGGGCCCACTTGTGAAGACCTAAATTGAAATCAGACCCAATTAGGTCATTGTGTTTTACTCTCTTTGCCAATCTTGTCTATTCCGTTATATTACCATTAAAATATTCATAAATTAATATTAAAAAACTATAATTGTTTAAAAAAATTACTAATTGTAGTTTACAAGTAAAAACACATGAATAGTTAACAAAATAAAAATCCTTTCAACCAAAAACCTTACATTTTTTAAATAAAGAAAAAAATATTGGGAAACCCTGCAGCCTCTAAGCCCTTTTCTTCTCTCAAGCAGCCACCACCCACCACACCACCCAACCACGACCCACCACCCCCCCTCTCTCCCTCTCTCTGAATGATCTTCCCTCAACGGTCCCAACCTCTCGATTTCACTTGACCGCGTAATTCTCATGAGCCGGTACCACCTCGCCTCGATTCCCCCTTTCCTCCACCACAACGTCAATCTCCCGCCTTTCCGACCCCCGCCGAGCTACACCCTTACATTGGTCCCTCCTTCCCAATGCGGCTTTGATTAATCAATTATTTTTGTTTTTGTTTCTATTCCGTGCAACTTTTGGTTATTTTAACTCTGATTTTGATGATTTTTTACCGCTACACTCTTTTACCCTATATGAATACAATGACTGAATTTGATCTTTTCAATTTAAAATATTTACACTAGTGGATACCACAAAATCTTATGTTATATTTAACAAAAGTATAAATAAACTCTTAATTGTTAGTGAATATATTGTTTTGATGGCATACGCATTCTATGAAACTAGTTTGAACGATCCAACTGTCAAACTTGTTTGTTTATACTTCGAGATCATATACACCAAAAATCGCAAAAAATAAACATTCAGAGATCAAGTAACGGGACAAAACTTTTCGACGGTTATAAATGAAAAATCATGATTCAACGGTTATTTTAACTCCGATTTTGATGATTTTTTACCGCTACACTCCTTTACCCTATATGAATACAATGACTGAATTTGATCTTCAATTTAAAATATTTACACAAGTGGATACCACAAAATCTTATGTTATATTTAACAAAAGTATAAATAAACTCTTAATTGTTAGTGAATATATTGTTTTGATGGCATACGCATTCTATGAAACTAGTTTGAACGATCCAACCGTCAAACTTGTTTGTTTATACTTCGAGATCATATACGCTAAAAATCGGAAAAAATAAACATTCAGAGATCAAGTAATGGGACAAAACTTTTCGACGGTTATAAATGAAAAATCACGATTTAACGGTTATTTTAACTCCGATTTTGATGATTTTTTTATAGCTACACTCTTTGACCCTATATGAATACAATGAACTAATTCGATCGTCAATTTAAAAAATATATTTTCTAATAAAAACCCAATCCAAAAAACAATAATATATTTTTCTAACAAAGATTTTAAAAAATAATTTTTTTATTTTATTTATTTTTATAAGGACTTTGGATTGGGTAGCTTTGTGTGACGAATTGTTTTTCGTCGCGCAAAGTCGCTTTGCGCGATGAACTGTTTTTCGTCGCGCAAAGTTACCTAGAGCGACAATTTTTTTTCATCGCGCAAGGTTACTTTGAGCGACGAATTATTTTTCGTCGCGCAAAATTTGGTCGCGCAAGACTTTGAGCGACGACGTATTGTCGTTGCGCAAAAGTTGGTCGCGCAAAGTCGCTTTGAGCGACGAATTATTTTTCGTCGCGCAAAAGTTGGTCGCACAAGGTTTTTAGCGACGAAGTTTTGAGTTTCGTCGCGCAAAGTGTCTTTGCGCGACGAAAAATTATTCGTTGCGCAAAATTTGGTCGCGCAGGGGTTATTTTGTAGTAGTGAAAAGAGGTGGTCCCAATTTGTTGGTCAGATCGACAATGTAAAGGGATAATTTGTAATGAATGTTGTTATTTCCACCCAATATTCTATTTTCATATCCACCTTATTTGTAAAATTTTAAAGACAAATTTATGCCATAACCCTACACGGGATATGTACTATGGAAATCAACAGACGTGGCTGAAAGGTATGGGTGGTGGGCAAGCTCCAAAAGTAATAATCACTGACCATGACAAATCGAAAAAATCAGTTGTCATAGATATGTTTCCAAATGCTTATAATTGTTTTTGTTTGTGGCTTATGTTGGGTGGTGGGCAAGCTCCAAAAGTAATAATCACTGACCATGACAAATCGAAAAAATCAGTTATCTTAGAGATGTTTCCAAATGCTCATCATTGTTTTTGTTTGTGGCATATGTTGGGGAAGATTTCTGAAAATCTTGGCCATGTAATTAAACGGCGTGAAAATTTTATGGCCCTAAACCCTATTGAAGACCATCGTCAAAATAGAAGTATGGGCAAGTAAAATAAAAAAAATATTCCAACCCTATAAGAAAGGTTTGTTGTTGGTAGATTTAATTATGATATTCTTGTTATAATTAATAATTGGACTAACAACAAAAGACACCCTGCTCGTTTGGGGTGATTCTCAATATGGACTCCAGGGTATCAATTTTATCAATTTACAACCTTACGTTTGCAACATCGTCCAATTTCATCATTCTGTTAAGCTGACCGTGTAGTCAATCGTTAAATGCTGACGTGTCTACTGTGGGACCCACCTATTAACAAAAAAAAAAAATTAAAATAATAAAATAACATTCTAACCATTATAAAAAAAATTAAAAACATTTTAAATTTTAAAAAGAATCAACTTAAAAAATCCCAGCCCCTCTTGATCCATATCGTCATCCACACCATCGCCTTCCTCTAATTCCAACGAAGACTACAAATCTGGAAAACATTTGCCATTGTACGCTTGTTATTTTTTTTTTTTTTTTTTTTTTTTTTTTTTTTTTTTTCAAAACCCAACCCAGCAGCTCCGCCCTCATCATTCTTCTTCCACTCCCCCTCCTGCAGAACAAATCCGTCTGATGTCAAAGACCCAAAAATCCCAGAAATAATGGAAATGCTAGTGGCGAAGAGAGAATGATATGATTGTGTTTTTTCAAATTTATATGATGAGTGAGAAAATAAGATAAGTGGAAAAAAAGGATATGTAAAGGTCTTTTATTGCTCAAAATTATTGTAGCAACATTGTGGTCTTTTATTGCACAAACACATAGGGAATTAGGTTATTACTTGGGTCCGCATGAGATTTTACATTGGAGTTTTTATTATTATTGAACTTCCACGTTGGAGTTACAATATTAATTAGCTTATTACTTGGATTCGACGAGAAGAACCATCAACATCAAGACTGAATTACTGAACATAGACAATATTCTACTGCCTTCCCGGTTTGCTGTCAACACATGGACCCAACACTCTCTCTGTCTCTCTCCGTAGGGCATCGCTTGAAAATTGGGTTTTTGTTTTTGACTATCTTTCGAGCGTAAGTTTGAAAATTGTATTGTGCAAGTTTAATTGGGCATCTTATTTATATAATTTTAAATTTGGAGTTTGTTTGATTTTTGGTTCAATTTGCACTACTACAAAAATTGCAATAGACGACGGGAATTCACCGTCATCTAGAAGGTTTTCAAACCGTCATGAAATCGACCGCCATCTTTTGATTCATAAAACAACGACGGCAAATAACTGACGTCGTTAAGACATTCAACGTCATACCA